AAAAAAAATTCTTTGTATTTCAAAACATGTGTAATGGTCATTATCATCATCAAAATTGAATTTCTACAACCACCACCACCACCATCATATTTATTACTTTGATGGATTGATTGATTTTTACGTTATCATTAACAACATTAGTGAATTATTGAATATATGATGATGAAGATGATGGAATCACTTACCATCCAATCAATTATTATCAAACACTCTGTATGTTGGTTTGTTTGTTTGTTTGTTTTGTTTTCTTGATCATCAATCATCATTATAGAGGTGTTCATGTTCGTGTGTGTTCGTTTTTTGAATGCCATAATAAAATGTGTTTGTGTCCATATTCAAATTACTGAACAATAATGATAATAATAATGTATTTCAGGTAAATCCTGATGAAATTTATATACACAAAATTAAATTCTTCAATACAAATCATACATCCGACGACAATAGCAACAATTTTGTCCAATGTTTTTATTGTAACTAATTTTCATTGGAAAAAAAATTTCAATTTAAAACACCGATAATGATGGTGATGATGATGGTGATTCAATTATTTAAACGAAAATCAATTTCATCAGCAGCTATAATGACAAAAGTAGCCAACAAATATATGGCAAAAACAAGAACAACGATGACAATGACAGGAATGATTACATTGGCAGGAATAATTTCATTCATTATTAGTCATACAATATCATCATTAACAATGATTATCATTATTGGTAATCTATTCACATCATCATTATATTCATTAAGGCCATTCGTAATCTGTGATATTATACATGATGATAATAATAATCATGCAAATAGTGATCAATATCAATATCAACGTTTAATTATAAATCAACCAAACAGTAATGAATCATTATTAGCATCTGAACATTATAATCGTGTATTAAAATATGCAAAATGTCAATATCCAATGGCCAAAGTGGTCAATATACAGAATGAGCTACAGAATCCTAGTGCAACGAAAAAATACATACCACATTGTACAATATTACATTATTGTGGTGAACATACTGGCTGCTGTCGTCTTGAAACTGAACATTGTATTGCCAAAACAATCGAAATGGTTAGATTATATTTTTGGACCATTGAAATTACTGCACGTGGCCATAAAAAAGGTATTGAAGTGATAATGATGAAAAATCATACTGAATGTATGTGTGCACCAATTAATCAAAAATCATCATCATCGCCATCATCATCATCGTCATCGTTATCGATCAATCATCATGGAGCTAATCGATCATCATCATCATCATCATATCATTCTAATCATCATCAACATCGTTTTAATCCGACAACATTACGATTTGAACCGGTTACAACATCATTATTATTATCATCATATCCAACAACATTGTTACCGACAACAATAACAACAACAACAACAACAACGATGAAGAAACAACGTAAAAAACCTATTGTTGATCGTTCCAAATCAATCAGAACGAATAATTCAACATGAATCGATATAAAATCGTCATTAATGATATTAATTATCATGTTGACGATTGAATTAAATTATTAAATATTCCACTATCAAACATCACCATCACCATCACCATCACCACCACCACCACCATCTTGTCACATCATCATCTTTGATTTTTGATTCTTTATATTCACCCAAACACACACATACGTCTGAATTCTGTTATTATCTTTACTGTAACGAGCTATGATCATGATCATCATTTTCATTTTCATTTTTTTTTCTCTTTTTGTTGTATTGTAATTTATTGATTTTAATTCATCATCATTATTATATTTGTCTATTTTTTTTTATTTCTTCAAAATAAAAATCAATCAATTAATCGATCATTGAATTTGAATCAAAGGCAAAAAAAAACATACAAAACACACACACACACACAATGAATTTTTGTTTTTTTTTTTTTTTTTTTCACATCACCATAAAAGAGAGAAAGAAAAATATTTTCTTTCATCCTTTCTACTTGTGTTTGTTTGTTGTTTTTTTTTCTTTGGTTTTCCCCAAAAAAATCTTTCAATTAATAATGATGATGATCCTGGTTGACCCGATTATTTAAAAAAAAAAAAAAATTTTTTTTGTTTTTATTTTTGTTTCAACGTTTGATTGAATTGACCTTCATCGAAACTAACCCCCATCTAATTGATATTAATAACGATTGCTTCAAGCTGATTAAAATTGAAAAATATAACTAACTGACCGGTATGGAGAGGAGGAAAACAAAACAAAACAAAACAAAAAATTCATATTTCTAATGGAAAGTAACGAAGAAACGAAAAAAAATGGCATAATAACAAAATAGAATTTACTAAAAAGATTTTATCATCATCATCATCATCATCAACAACAACAACAACAACAACAACAACAACAACAACAAAACAACAACGACAAGACAACAACAACGACGAAGATGATTATAACTGGACAACCAACCAGTTAAAATTGGCTAATTATGTGATGTTTGTTGGATTGGCCATCGATTCATTCCCATTCGCCATTATTATTATTATTATCATCAACAAATGAATAATCTGTGTAAATACCAACCAATCAACAACCAAATTTTTTTTCAATGATTGAATAAATTGACTAAATTTCTTCTTTTCAGTTTTATTTTTTCCACATCAAATAATCTAATCTAATCATTACATTAATATTTGTTTAATTTAACCCGATTTTCATCGAATCCAGTTTATTAAACCAATTATAAACGGGTTATTTTATCATTTTTTTTCTAGCTGCTTCTTTGCTTCCGTCATCTTTCATCATCTTCAGATTTTTTTGTTGCAAATCAATCAAAATTTCCATAAGAAAATAAAAATAAATCAGATAAAAAAGTTAAAATTAAAAAAATCAAATCAAAATTCTAAAAATAGCAAAACAACAACAAAAATAAAATCGATTATCACTATCGAATGTTACTATCGATTAATCGATTCCGGTCCAAAATAATTTCTGAATTTAAAATAAAAAAAAAAAATGATTGATGATTATCAATGTATTTTATTTGTAACGAAAAACCAAATCTCTAATGATTTATATTTCAAGGTAATCTGTTTTTTGTTTTCATATTATGGGTATTTCCAATTATCCGTTGTTGCAGGATTTTATTTTTGAAAAAAAATTAAAAAAAAAAAGAGAAAGCAAGAGATGAGAAAAAATATTTCAGACATTCGAATTATGAATAATTATGCATAACATCCATATTAACATTTACATTTTTCTCTCTCTCTCTCTCACTCTTTCAGAAAAAAAACATGGCACCTATATTGAAAAAAAACGTGTTTATTAAACGTTTTTTTAAATTATTTCCAAATTGACAGGCAATAATAATAATAATAATAATAAACAACAGCAAGATTGCTGTTCAACGTTGATGACGGCTACAACGACTATTTGGCTTATAGGTTATGACGATGATGATGACGATGACGATGATGATGATGATGATGATGGACAGTGTGGTGATTCGCGATAAAAATTCACACCAAATGATTTTTTGCTAATTGTCTTTAATCAATTCAAATATTTATGATTTGTTTTGTTCATCTCTTGCTGTAATCCTTATCAATCATTCGAATCGAAATTATTCATTTTTTTAGGATTTTTAATTGATTATCATAAGTGCATATATTTATCGTAATTAAGAATGAATAATTCAATCGAATAATGGTGTATAAATCAACAGGTGATTAAAAGATTACACAGAAATAAATCAGTCAAAACAAAAATGTATTCTTTTCTTATTGATGCAATTGTCCATCATTAATATATACGAATGAAGAATGTCACAATAATAATAATAATAATAATAATGACCATTACGTTTGCAATTGGAAATTGTTGGAAAACCAAACCAGTGATGAAAAAAAAAACCAACCATAAATCTGGCTGATGGACAGTGATTGAATTCTATTCAATAGGAATTTTCTTTATTAATTCACGAAAATGACAATCAAATATTTATTAAAATAATGATGGTGATGGACAATACTTTATTGAATGTGGTTCAATGTACCAATTGGCCAGAAAAAAAAGCTGATTACATAATTGAAATTTGCAATGCTAATTTTTTTTTTACACTAATCGCCATTTTGATTATCATTATTATTTTTTGGAATTTCTCCCGCTGCTGTTGCCGCTGCAGATGCGGCTGATGTTGTGGTTGATGGCGATTCAATGGTGGTATTGTTTGAAGATTGATTACCTGCCACAGTCGATTTTATTGTTGCTGTCGATGTCGTTGTAGATGATGTTGATGTGGATGATGATGATGATGATGGCAATATATTATTCTGATGTATCAAGGACGAACCTTTTGATTCAACTTTGAATGCAAATTGTAGAAAAAATTGTTTCGATTCACGATTCCATAATGTCCAGAATTTTCCTTCAGCTTTATCCACTTCTCTTGATGGTATTTTGAAACCGATTGTTTCATATGGTTCAGCGGCGAACAATAAATATTGCCAATGACGATCTGGTGGTTCAATTTTCTGTTCATATGCAGACATGAATCGATGTCTTGGCGCAATATTTTCGGAAATTTCTGGATAATCAATCTAAATTCGAGAGCGAAAACGAAATTTTTCATTCACAATTTTTTTATATAATTTTAAATTTCATTACCTGAAACAAAAGCGATTGTTGTTGATTCTCTTGGTCAAATTGTTTCGTTACACGATAACCTGGACGACCAATTTTGACAAATTTTCGAATATCAATTCGAGATTTAGACAACATTGGTTGAGGTGCATCTTTGGCATCTTTTGCAGCACGTCTTGCCAGATTTGATTGATGTTTTTTACCCTGGGTATGAGCCAGATATGAACCTTCATTATTGTGTAATGTTAGACAAAGTTTGCATTCATAGGAACCAAGATGATTTTTCATAAAATATGGATCTTTAGCCAAATCGATTGTTTCCAATGCCAATTGTCGTAAACGTTCACGACGATCACGATTTGTCTCGGACCATGATGCCACACCACCACCGCCAGTTTTAGCGCCAGGTCGATGTTGAAAATCCATTCTTCTGCCTTATTTTGGCCAAAAAAAAATTCACAATTTAAATTTTAACGATGGAAAATTTTCTATTCAATAAAAACAGTGAGCCAGCCAAAATATTTGACATGAACACATGATTTGTCCGCTCACAAACACAGTTACCGAATAACAAAAATCGGTTGACGTGTCTTCGATAATTTGGTTTTTTTTCTGATTTAATCCAAAAAATCACAGTAAATTACCAACAACAATTTAATCCGATTATTGTTATAACCAAAAAAAAAAAAAAAAAAATCCATCATCTACTGAAATAGAAAAATTTCCATGAAATTTGTTACAAATTGTGATTGAAGAAAGGACCGAATTTTCTCAGTAAAAGCTGATTTTCTATCGGAAATTTTTATTTTAACAAAAAATCAATTCAACTAAACAAGAAAAAAGAATGTTCATCATCATCATTTCTAGCTGATAACTTTGCTGCCAAATCAATTTATTCTACAAAATTCAAATTGAATTTTAATCATAAAATTTTTTTGTTGTATATAAAAGTTCGAATTTACTGATTTAAAATGTTGCCAAATCATTATTTGATTATCAAATTATTCCACCATATTGTGGCCATTCTTATTTTCCAAATAATTTTACATTCATCATCAATTGAAGCGGAAAATCATAATTTTGAATTGAATGCCGAAAATCTTGGCACTGCATTTGAATTTAAAATTCATATTGATGCCGGTAAAGAAGACTGTTTCTATCAATACATTGAACAAGGATCATCATTATATATTGCTTTTCAGGTAAATTGTAATTTTGTCTGTTTTTTTTTCATTTAACTTTTTTTGTTTTGTTTTTAAAACAAAAAAATATACAAAAAGGTAATGAGAGGCGGTGACAGTATGGCTGGTTTCTATGTAAATGGACCAAAAGGTGAAACAATTATGCCATATCAATGGAAACAACATGCCGAAATTGATGATAGTACTGTTCCACAATCCGGTAAATTGATATATTATCGATTATTTTTTCTAAATAATTGATCAATTGAAATTATCTCTTACAAATAAACAGGATATTATAGTCTATGTATCGATAATAAACCATCTAGTTTTCAATCAAAATTAGTCAGCTTATATTTGGCATCATTAAAACGTGATGAATGGGAAAAATATATACAAGAATTATCTGAAGTCGATGTAACATCGAATAATGCAACAGCATTACTACGTAATGTCCAATGGAATATAAATGAAATGATGAAACATTTGGAACATTCAAAACAACAACATTCATATGATGGTTATCTGGCTGAATCGAATAATCGTTATGTACAAAATTGGTCCATTTTACAATGTGCTGTCATCATTGCCTGTTCAATTGTACAGGTTATTTTCGTTAGAAAATTATTCGAATCTAATAATGAATTTGGAAAAGGAAAAGTTCGAGCTTGATTATCGATTTTTTTTTTTTGAATTGTTTTCTCTATTATTCCGAAAATTTCAATTTTTTTCGTTTTGGTTTGTTAAATTCGATTTTTTTTAAATTTCATTTTCAATAAAAAAAATATAATGTGTACCACAGATGATTTATATTTTCAAAATTATAAATCCGATTAATGATTATTTTATTGAATCGTATGATTTTTCATAATTACAACTATCACATGATGGTGTGATGCCAATCATTCAATCAATCAATTAACCTTAATGTTTTTAATTTGATTCTCCATCCATTGTAAAACATCCATATGTAAATTGAGTAGCTTTAATATCCGTATCATTGGATCATCGGCATCATGATTAGTGGATTTGGTTTCATTTAATTTTTTTATAAAATCTTTCAAATCCGCACCAATAGCATTCAGATCATTATGGACGGTTTCAATCAATGAATATGTATGTTCACGTTCAGCATTCACATTGTTGGCACCAAGATCCAATTTATTATCTTCAACCTGTTCCAATTCTTTTTGCTGCGCAATAATAAAATCCAATTGATGATCTAATCCACGAAGTGAGACATTCAGTTTTTCAATCATTTTATCCATTTCAATCAATTTTTGACCATTCGAAATCAATAATGAATCCCATGAATTTATTGTTTGGCTTTGTTCATGAAAATCCACTTCAAATTGTGTCAATTCATTCATCCATATGTTTATCTGATCTTCGAGCTGGCCAAAAGTTAGCTCTACAATCAAAAAAAAAAAAAAAAAATCAGAATTATTTTTTTTATTGACAAACAAATAACTTACGTGCAGGTGTTGATGCTACGGCTGTCGAAGCATTCGAAGATGATACTGTGGCTGTAGTGATAGGAGTCGAGGTTATTGTTGTTGTTGCGGTAGCCGTTCCGGCAGCTGTTGTCGTACTACTGGAAAGTGGTGTAATAACAAATCCGGTATTCGGTTTGGCAGTTATGGATGATGATGATGCTGTTGTGGTTGTAATTGTAGCCGATGAATTCAAACCAAATGAAATAGACGCAGTTGTAGTTGTGGCTGCCATTGTAGTTGTTGTGGCCGCTGTTGTACCAAATAATGATTTAGATATCGAAGGATTAGCAGCAGCAGCAGCACCAGTTGTTGCTGTATTCGAAGTTTGTGATGATCCAAAATTGAAACCAGAAACAGCTCCAGTATACACGCACGCAAATCATACACAGAGAGAAAAAATTACAAATGATTAACTCAATATCCAATCAATAAACAACGTTACCATTGAATTTGTATACAGAGAGAAAAAATTTTGGTAACGTTGTCTATTGACAGTATATTGAGTAAATCGAAAAGCCAATTTTCTTGGGTCAAGCCCAGTGATATATGCAGATTGATCATGTCAAATAAATCGATTGTTTCTCAAATATTGTTGGAACAAGAAATTAAAAAAAATAATGAATTTGACAAATTGGCATTCAACGAACATTTACAATGCAATACCGAACGAAAAAAAAACTTTTGGGTACACTCCAATTGGAGTTTGGATTTGACGATTTCTCAATCGTCAATCAGCTCGGAGTGAAGAATAATAACCACACGTATATGGCATTATATTTGACGTTTCCACATATACCATTGAAAATGAGATTGAAACAGAGGAACATTTTCATGGTTATGCTGGTAAACCGAAAAGAAATGAAAGATGCTGGTTATAATCTTAACGATATTTTCAAGCCAATGATTAATGATATGAAATTGGCTATGTCTGAAGGTATTGCCATAAATTCCACAGAAAACCAAAAATTTACAATCTCCATTAGCGCCCTTTGTGGCGATAATAAAGGAATTTATGAATTTTTAGGTATTATTATTCATATATTAATGTTTATAAATAAATTAACACAAGTATTGATTATTTTAGGTTATAATACGGCATTCCAAGCTCGTTCATTCATATGTCGGGTATGTGGAGCTAAAGGGTCCAAAAATGAGCTTGGAACTTGCAATGAAATTATTGATTTCAAAGCTGATTTGTACATCCTTACAAATATATGCTATCAAAAAGCCTGGAAAGATGACGAAGCTGTAAAAAAAATATCGGATAAAAAATTTGGACTGGCAAATTATTGTGTTTTCAATGATTTACCAAATATTTGCATTTCTGATTTAGCCCCCATTGGACTGGTAATTAATTTATTTAACATTTATCGCTTTCAGATTTGCTAAATTGAATATTCTTTTTTTCAGTATGCATGACTTTGATGAGGGCATGGCCGAGCAAATAGTTTTTGCAATTTTAAAAATTTTGAAAATCTCGACCGATTCGGTTGAGAAAATCGTAAAGAAAAAATTTTTCAAGAACGACAAAGTCAAAATTCGTGGTTTCAGCGGTTCCACCAAATCCAAAGGGAAAAAATTTAAGCTCAAAGAAACCGCAGCTTCTGTAATTTTTTAAAAATCAATATATTCAACACATTAATTTTTTTATTTTCAGAAATACGAATTTTTTCTTCGTTTCGGTGAAATTATTGCCGAAATCAAAAATGATTTCGATACCAACAAAACGGCATTCGAATTATATTCGAATGCAAAAGAATTTGCATTGTTAACACACTCCTTTGCGCTAAATCAAGATGAAATCTTGAAATTAAAACAATGCGCAAAGAACATTGTTGACACGTATGCTAAAATACCAGGCTGTAAAGTAACGCCCAAATTCCATAACATTTTACATTATTGGGAAAATGCATTGGAATTTGGTCCAATTTACAGACATTCATCATACAAATATGAGAGATTTCACCAATTGAACAAACGTTCATTTTCAACATCGAAAAATATGAGAGATTTCACCAATTGAACAAACGTTCACTTTTCAACATCGAAAAATATGAGAAATACCCTCATATTCCATGGTGAATTCAATTTATTCTAATCAAAAAAAAAAAAATTGTCATCCTCACACAATTACACAAAGCCAAAAATTTCTTGAACAAAATTTGTACGAAGAATTTTCGGAAAATTATCTTTATTGAATCAAATGTATTTATTCATAAAAATTTTATTAATAACTTACGAAAGAAAAATTTCTTGAACAAAATTTGTTTTTCATAATTTTTTAAATTTTTCTATACAGATATCAGAAAAAATTTTATTAAAAACAATAAATATAATTCATAATTATTGTTATTATTATTTTATATTATTCTTTTTTCATAATTTAGTGAATATTATTTCAATTATTCAAAAGACGCGCTATTAACTTTAAATATCAAATTCATGTCAAAATAGATTCAATTAATGTTAAAACAGTCTAATTTCAAATCAAAATGCTGTTGATGCTGCTGTCGCATGCATGCATCTATTTCGATTCATTTTCAACTTACGCTGTTGAAACAGTCAAATTTCAAATCAAAATACTGATGATGCTGTCGCATGCATACGCATATATGATTCTGTTTATCAAAGCGATTCTTCAATTGGTCGATGATTTCACTTGGCAAATCATATTCCAAAAACGCTTCTCTTATATCTTCTCTTATGAAGCACAAAATCCGCGCCCGAAGCATCTTCAATTTCTTCTTTTTATCAGCATTAACATTTTTAATTGATGTTATTTCCAAGAGATCAGAAAAACCACAACCATCACACCAAAGTTTAATTTCGTCAAGCCAGAATTTAAAATTGGTACCATCAAATTTTTTGATGTCCGAAATCGATAAAGAACTGAGCAATTGAAGTTGTTCCATTTTACTTTGATTACACGATGAGCACACAAAACAGATACAAAAATTTTCGTCTATAAGACAGTCAAACAATCACATTTAGTAATCACAATCAATTTTAATAACCACAAACGAAATGTGAGACAATCAAGGTAAATCTCACAAGTCAGATTCAAAAACAATTTTCAAAATGTCAAGCAGGAGAGAACCACGCTCTGCTACCATGTTACGATTCACAATGATTTTATTTAGGCATGTGACTGTGTTTATATACATGGGTTTATGTTACATCCATAAAGGACGTATGTTTAGACATTATCATGCAACACATGTTACATTGTATATGAAGGGTTAAAAACTCGCTTAACGCTGTATGCTTCGCTATAACGCTTTTCGGGTTTTTTTGAATTTCGAATGATTAAAATATAATTAAATATAAAATATTGAAAGCTCATCATCGGCGTTATAAAAATTCAGTCCACCAACGTAGGGTTAAATGAACCCTTAAATGAGTGAGCGCACATTTTCAATAAAAAAAATATAATATGTACCACAGATGATTTATATTTTCAAAATTATAAAACTGATTGATGATTATTTTATTGAATCGTATGATTTTTCATAATTACAAATCACATGATGGTGTGATACCAATCAATCAATTAATTAACCTTAATGTTTTTAATTTGATTCTCCATCCATTGTAAAACATCCATATGTGAATTGAGTATCTTTAATATCCGTATCATTGGATCATCGGCATCATGATTAGTGGATTTGGTTTCATTTAATTTTTTAATAAAATCTTTCAAATCCGCACCAATAGCATTCAGATCGTTATGAACGGTTTCAATCAATGAATATGTATGTTCACGTTCAGCATTCACATTGTTGGCACCAAGATCCAATTTATTATCTTCAACCTGTTCCAATAATTGTTCCAATTCTTTTTGCTGCGCAATAATAAAATCCAATTGATGATCTAATCCACGATGTGAGACATTCAGTTTTTCAATCATTTTATCCATTTCAATCAATTTTTGACCATTCGAAATCAATAATGAATCCCATGAATTTATTGTTTGGCTTTGTTCATGAAAATCCACTTCAAATTGTGTCAATTCATTCATCCATATGTTTATCTGATCTTCGAGCTGGCCAAAAGTTAGCTCTGCAATCAAAAAAAAAATTTGAATTATTTTTTTTATTTACAAACAAATAACTTACGTGCAGGTGTTGATGCTACGGCTGTCGAAGATGATACTGTGGCTGTAGTGATGGGTGCCGAGGTTATTGTTGTTGTTGTTGTTGCGGTAGCCGTTCCGGCAGCTGTTGTCGTACTACTGGAAAGTGGTGTAATAACAAATCCGGTATTCGGTTTGGCAGTTATGGATGATGATGATGCTGATGTGGTTGTAATTGTAGCCGATGAATTCAAACCAAATGAAATAGACGCAGTTGTAGTTGTGGCTGCCGTTGTAGTTGTTGTAGCCGCTGTTGTACCAAATAATGATTTAGATATCGAAGGATTAGCAGCAGCAGCAGCAGTTGTTGCTGTATTCGAAGTTTGTGATGATCCAAAATTGAAACCAGAAACAGCTCCAGTAGCTGATGTGGATGTTGTTGTATTCGTAGTTGTTGTTGCAGTCAATAATGAAGATCCAAATGTGGATGCTGATGTTGTTGCGGCTGCTGGCGTTGTCGTTTGAATTTGTGTGATAGCCGGTATTCCAGAAGCGGGATACAGAAATGGTTTTGATACAGCAGGAGCTATTGTGGCTGGTGTTGTTGTACTAGCAAAACCGAATCCAGATGTTGGTAAAGAAGTTGTCGTAATTATTGATGACCGAGAAAATGATGTTGTACCACCAAATGATAATGGACCAGCAGTAGAAGGGGCAGTAGATGCAGCCGCACCGAAAATACCACCACCACCCCCGCCAATCGAAGTTGTCGGCTGATTAGTACCTAGTATAGTGCTACCACTAACAGTGGAAGTTGTTGGAACGCCAAAAGTTGAAGAAGTTGTACTTGTCAGTGGTTGTCCAAATAGCACTGATTGTTGAGGTTGTGGTTGACTTGCTACTGCAGCGGTATTAGCATTGCCAAGATTCAACCCAAAGGATGTTGTGCCGAAATTTGAAAAGCCAACTGTAGCCGATGTAGCTGTTGTTTTCGTTCCAAACAATCCACCAGATAGGAATGATGATGATGATGTGGGAGCAGATGTGTTGATCGCTGGTTGACCACCAAACAATGATGGCTGATTTGTCTGCGGTGAAATAATCGATGACACTGTTGGTTGAACAGCGACTGTTGGTTGTTGTAATTGTTGTTGTTGTGTTGGACTGGCAAAACTGAACGCTGTTGGTTGTGCAGTCGAACCGAATGCGAATCCAGATGATGATGATTGAGTTGTCACCAATTGTTGTTGTGGTTGATTAAAGCCGATAGCGAATGTATTGGTTGGACTTGAAAAATTAAAACCACCAATACCACCTGTTTGTTGCGGCTGGCCAGTTGCCGTTGCAATAGGAGTTGAAGTTGGTTGTCCAAATAATGATGATGATTGTTGTTGTTGCGGTGTACCAATAATATTGGCTGTTTGGCCACCAAAAATATTTCCACCAAATGTTGTTGATGATTGTTGTGGCGAAGCAAATGTTGTTCCAAAAGCATTGGCCGAAGTTGTGGCCGTCGGTTGTTGACCAAAATTAAAACTAGTATTTGAACCTCCAAACATAATTCTAGATTAAAAATACGAATGAATTTTTGAAATGAAATGAAAATAATTTCAACGATCAAATTTTCATCATCAAAATAAGCCAATGTGCTGAGACAAGTGATAGCCACCACTAATCGATAGTATCGATTAATAATAGTGGTGGCAGCAACATTCGAAAAATTTTTTTTCCTCTTTTCATCATCAATCATCATCATTCTTTTATTTCATTACATTTTCATTAAATCAAGTAAAAAAAGGATGAAAAATTCATATATGAATGCAAAATTTCAAGATCAAAACCATTGCATTACAATTTAGCAAAAATGACTGTGAAAATTTTTTTCAAGAAAAATTATATTAGTGATGAATGATTTGTCATGATGAATATTTACCATATGAACTATTCTTGGTTGATTCAATCATAAATGATGCAATTCCTAATAAATATGGTTCACCATGATAAAAATATTGCAAAAGTGCTCCATTGCTTAAATCACAGGCCTGAGTTTGTGGGTGAGTGAAATTTTTTTTTTTACTTTTTTTCAACTTTTTTAATAAAACTTATTATTATTACCTTCACCGTTAAAAAGATGCACATTTCTAATAATAAACGGGCGGATGAAAGAAAAAAAATCAATCATTAATTCATAGAAAATTGGATATCATATGCACACACAAACTGACCACTTTCAATATCAATTGATCGATATGAATTTGATAATGCATTTTGACAATCATCATTGAAACGAATTTGAATATCGGTTTTTCATAATTTTGATGTTCCCAATTCCATGTGGATAAAGTTGCCCATTTATTATTCAGCCCTAAAATAATATGAGAAAAAAATCGAAATTTGTCTGTTTCGAATTCAAATCATCATCAACAACTTACATTCAATGGGGATTTTTCCGGTTAAATTTGTATTGATTATCTGTACAAATGGTCTTTCATTACAACCAGGTGAATCGAGATTAAATTCTTCATTTTCAATTTCAATCACTGCATAATTATAAGCAAATGTTTTCGGATTCCAATGTAAATTAAGATCAATTTTCGATATTGTATAAATTGGATTTACATTTGGATTAAAAGTGTTGATGATTTTTATTCGAAAATCATTCGTATCGATTGCTGTTTCATTATTTGATCTGTAGAGAAAAGAAGAAAAAAAAACACAAAGATTTTAACACATAAATTCAAAAATGCAAATGCAAAAAAAACTTACAAATTCAAATCAACACAATAAGCTGGCACTATTACATCGACGGAACTAACAATTGCACCATCACATATATGATATAAATGGCCAGTTTCTTGATCATAATATTGTAATGATACATGCCAACGATATTGAAACAGTTTTGTCTTGTCAACAACACAATCATCGCCATGTACTACAACAACAACAACAATCATCATCATCATCATCATCATGGCTATTTTCAATGACCGAAACATTTTTTCATTAAATTTTTGTTTTCGGTTTTGTTTTACCATTGAAAATTACATCGAAAAAAACAATCATAACAACAACCACCAGGACAACGATAATGGAATTTGAGTAAAAAATTTTTTTTTATTACTTTTGATGATTATTTAATTTCATTACCGTTTCATTTTTTTTTATTTACTACTACCATTTAGGTACATTATGATGATGATGGTGATCATTGTCAATGTCTAGATTTTATGATTGTTTTTGTGTGTTGTTTCTCGATGATAAATAATCGGAAAAATGAAAACAATAAAAAAATGGACAATAAATCAGCGTTTCGTAGATTGTTGTCTAAAGATTATTGGACAACAACAACAACAAAAAAATAGCCAAAGAAAATGATAAAAATCATCAATCCAGATGTAAAACAAAATGGTTGTTTCCGAATGAATTTCAAAAAAAAAATCATCATCATCATCATCATTATCGTCGTCATTAATCGGTAAGCAAAAATCAGAAATTCCACGATTCAAAAAATTTGCATAAATAATTGCCTTGATTTTATCGAAAAAAAACCAATTTTGTCATTTCATCATTCATCAATCCATATGAAGATCTATTATGAACAACAAACAGTAAACTTTCATCATATAAGTTGTTCATTGTTCATTTATTATTTCTCATTTAAATTGGATCGAATAGTCAAAAGCTTAATGATGATGATCATTGAAAACATCACGAAACTTGTTCCGAATTGGAATTCATATGATGTCTACATCTGTTTCTCTGTCTTCTTCTTCTTCTTCATGTGTAAGTCCATCATACACATCAATATTACGATAACGATGGTCAAGACGAAGACGATAATTTGAAATAAAAAAAAACAACAACTAAATTGCTACTCAATTCAAAACAACTTTTTTTTACTGTTCCAAACACGCAAAAAGTTTCATGATTCAACACGTTGCAAGATTGCGATTCAATAACATTTTTGTGGTCAATAACAACAACAAAAAAAAAATTTCTTTTCGTCTACGGGAAGAAAAAATCATGTTAAAGTTAGTTAGAGATAGCTCGAAAAATTTTTTTTATCGAAATAACAGAAAAAAATTTACCTTTTCAATCCGATTTTGTTGTTCGGTGTGATCATCATTGTCGTTCGATTGATTTTTATTTCCATCAAGAAAATCATCAATCATTCATAAAGTCCGTGATCCCAAAAAAAAAACAATTTGAAAATTTTGACTGCTCATCATCATCAGTCAGGTTTGTTTGTTTTTATTATTTTTTTTCACTTGATTCGATATGATTAAATTGTAATCAAATGCCAAATTTAAACATGATGGACACTTGGATCTGATCATCATTATCATCATCATCACATTGCCATCGACGATGATGATGGACAATCCGATCCATAATCGGATCGACAATCCATAAATTACGATTATCAAAATGATGTAATTCGTAATTAGTTTTTTTTATATGTCACATGTGACCGCCATAATTTTTTTTTCTGACATTTCATTGATTTAATGATTCACATTTGATATGAGCAATTTTTGTCAATTTTGTGTTATCACAAATTTTCTTCTTCTTTCTAATCATCACCGTCAAGATTTTTTTACATTTTTTTTTTATCACCGTGTCTCTGTGCGTGTATGTCGTAAATGATGAAATTCAAATAATTTACGTTTCAAATTTATCTAATCGAATCGAATATATAGTTTTTATTATTCATCATCGTCATCATCATCATTATCACCATCATGGTGAAATATTCCGATAAAGTTATTGGCAAAAAAAAGATTGAGAGATCTCGACCTCTGAAATGTTTTTTTCCTTTCAATCCATTTGAAATAATTTTCATGTCAATGTTGATTGATTGATTGATTGATTGACCGATTAGATCCAAATTGATCTCAATTAGAGTGGTCATCAATCATTTTTTTTATTATTATTATTGGCCACAATCAAATGGTCAAACTTGTTGATTTTATCACTGAATTTAAATTTTTGGTGAATGATTGACATTTATTTTTTTTTTCTTTGCACAAATCTCCAAGTTCAATTCTTTCATAATTTACGTTTTTTTTCTCTCTCTCTCTCTCTCTCTCTCTCTCTCTCTCTCTCTCTCTCTGTGTGTGTGTGTGATATATGCCTGAAGAGTGAGATACATTTTTTCTTTTCCATCAAATGATGATGCATTTTCTACTTGTCGATCAAAAAAATCCATTCAATTCAATTCATCATTCTTTATTAGCCATCTTTATCACACACATTCAATGACAAAAGAAGAAAATTTTCATTATCTTCATCATCAATTTTTTTTTCTTCTGTAAATTGCATCAATCATCATCTCACCTTCTCTACAAGTATCCCTTGTTGTTGTTATATCCAAATAAAGTATCACATGCACACATATGAACAGCAGGTTTGTTTTTTTTTCTATTATGTATAAATAGATTGAATGTGAAAATGAAATTGATCTATTCATAGTGTGAACAAACAAAGAAACAAACAAACAAACAGACAGACAGATAGAAAACATCATCAAATTTCGCAATCTTTCAACAAGAAGAAAAAAAATCACAATTTTAAATGTAGAAATTTTTATTCTTTAATAAAAAAATTGTCAGATTTTTTTTTGGAGAATGAGAATGACCGAGCTAAAGAGAATGATAATTTTTTTTTTCGTGGAAATTAACTCGATGTTGTTGTTGTTTTCCCCTATAGGAAACGAAAGAGTTGAATTATCATTTTTCGTCATGAATGTTTTGGAATGAAGAAAAACAAAAACAAAAACAAAAAAAAACAGCAAGAGAGTAAGTGAGTGAGAGAAATTTTAAGTGGAAAAAAAGAAAAGTTTTTTATTTCTCAAAATGGCAAACGATGTGTTTGTGTGTGTGTGTGTGTGTGACACACGCAACGATTCAAAAATTCTTCGTGTTCGTGTAACAAACATTTCAACTGATCAATACAAAATTCATCACATTGAAAACATTCGATATTCGTGATCATTACCATTGCCATTTCTATTCTGGTTTTGTGTGTGTGTGTACTGTGAATGTCGCCATTTTTTTATGAGAAAAAAAAGAAGAATGGTCATTTTGTTGTTGACGATGCCAACAACAACAACTAACGAAAAAAAAAATAAAAATCTTAAAAGTCACGACCATTTCATCATGATGAAAAAAATGAAAATTTTCAAAGATCAATGCTGATGATGATGATGATGATGATGATGAATATATATCGAACGTCCATCACCAACATCATCATCCACTTTTTTTTAATAATAACAAATAGTTTACATCATTCTATTTTGTTGTTGTTTCTTTGATCCACACAGTAAAATGACCATGGTGGAACATTAATTTCCAAACATTTTTTTTCGTATATTGACAACATACACGCACACATGAATTGCAAGCACCGCCACCACCACCACCACGAGGATTATTTATCCAATCCTTCAACTATACATACACTACACCAAAAAAAAATTGAGAAAAAAAAATCCAATCGAATCCTGTGTATGTTCATCATCATCGTTGTTGATGATATTACTACATGATCAACTACATGGCCAAGATCATCATCAATATAGACTCTTCATATAGACGAAATGGAATGGATTGAAAATTTTTTTCTTCTTCTTTTTTCACTCATCATCTTTCGATCCAAAAACATTGAACTAGTTTCATCATTCAAAGACTTATAGACATTGAACATACACACACACACACACACACACAGACAGACAGACAAGTTTCTTAATTTACATTTTTTTTTTGTTTCTCAATTGATTAATAATTTTGGCCATCTCTTTATTTATTTTGTTCCATTTGCTGATGAAAAGACAAAAAACGAAACGAAACGAAATCTTTATCGATTTGCCATTTGATTTTGTTTTTTCTCATTTTGTTTTTCCTTCTTTTTCATTCATTCATCAACATCTATGATCAATTCTAATAAAGTGAAATAATTTTTTTTCTCGTTTCATCACCATTACATAATCATCATCAACTACAACGACAACGACAACGACAACATTGAATCATTTTTTTTCAGTGACGAAAAAAAAATTACAAACAAACAACGATCAATTCAATCAACATCTGAGCGTGTTTATCATCATCATCGGTGATAGTTTTTTTTTGTCAAAATGATGATAATAACATTATCATTATCAGGCCTAAGGCCTAAAAATAATAATTGTCGTTTTGGTTTTGTCATTTATCTACAATCAATATTGATTATTTTTCAGGTATGTTCGAATTTGATTGATTTGTTTTCATCAATTTTTTTTGTTGTTATCTTCAAATTTATTCGTTTATTTAGACAATAGCAGTGATTAAATGTTCATCATATGGCCATAGAATATCATCATTAACACCAATAAAAGCTGCAATCAATTCTCATCATATTGTCAATCATTATGAGATTGATACACCAAAAGAACCATATAAACCGAATCTAATTGAAGTTAAAAGTTCAATGCCAATGTTTCATATAAAATTTTCATCAGCATCTAGTAAAGTGAATGTATTTCATCAACATGAACCATCAAAAGTGAATAAAGAACCGATTGAATCATTTTCACAAGATGAACCACATATTATACGACAACAGGTGGTTAAACCTATTGTACAACAGATACATGAAATTATAACACCAGTGCGAAAAGTTGTACAGGAAATCAAACCAGTTGTTGAAACAATCGATACGATTATTTCAAGATCACCGAAAAAATCCAATGCAATCAATAAACCAATATCAATGCCACCGATTCCATCAAGACCACCATCAATAAAATCATCATCATCACCACAATTAACGCAGTCATCATTAAAAAAATTATCACCATCAATACAACAACAGGATATTGTACGAAAACAAAAAGCATTCATTGGTGATCTAACATCATGGTTATTGCAAACAAAAAGAAAACCAGATTTATTAATATCAAAAGAAAATGAATTATTTGACAATTCATTATATAATGGTGCAAATGAATATGATTTAAAATATCCATCACATAATAGTATTGATTTGCCATCATCATCATCATTAAAATCTAATGATTATCGATTATATGAAGATTAAAAAAAAATCAAAATCTTTCCCATTGTTTTTCGTTGTTGTTAGTGTTGTTTATCAGTGAGATTTTTGTATTTTATTTTCATTATTTATTTTGGTTTTGTTTTTCAATTAAAAAAAACTTTTTTCTCTCTCTCTCTCTTTCGATTGCTGTGCGATTATTAATCAATTAACAAAATAATCATCGATAATCATTGATGATGATGACTGTTTTTTTTTGTTTTAATTTGAGAAAAAAATTTCATTTCATTTTTTCATTTGATTTAATTTGAAATAGGAAAAAAAATGACGATGATGATGAAAATATATGTTTTTTTTCATTTCTTGTTCTGAAGAAAAAAAAATCATCATCATCATCAACATGAATATGAAGAGAAAAAACGAAATCAAAAATTTTTTTTTATATACACAACATCAAATTGTGTGTGTGTGTGTGTGTGTGTGTGTGTGTGTGTGTGTGTGTGCAACGTTGATGTGTGTGTGATCATTATGGCCAAAACAACATCATAGTCATAGTCAAAGTTGATTATTGACCATCATCATCATCATCTATCGATGGCCTCCACTGTGATGATGATAGTCTTTTTTTTGCTGTTTTTGCTCTTTAGTGGATTTTTTTTCAATAATTTTTTTTTTGTTTTGTTTAATTCAAATGAAAAAAGCAGAAAAATCTTTTTTATGTTTAAATTTACTATACTAAATTATTATCTTCATCATTGATTTCGTATGTTGTGTTATTTTTTTCTCTCACTACAATGATACCATTTTACGAGAAATTCATTCGTTTGTTTTGAACAACCAAACCATCAACTCAACCAACCAATAATCATCATCATCAAGATAGATTGGCGAAAAATGTGAAAAAAAAAGAAAAAGAAAACAGATCCTAGATCCAGGAAAGAGAAGAGAAGAGAAGTTAAGAAATGGACAAAAAAAACATAAAATAAAATAAAATAAAACAAGAAACATCCAGGAACAGGTGAATGTGTAAACAGAACAAAAAAGAGAGAGAGAGAGAAAACATAAAAACATCAGGAAGTTGTTACATCATGGTGAATAAAAGTGAGAGTGAGAATAATTTACGGTTTGTAAAAAAAAAAAAATAATAATAATCTGAGACAAAAATCCGAAAAAAAACAAAGTAAAGAGTAAACCAGATAAAAAGATGGCCAAAAGAAGAGTATCAATCCCAGTTGATGATGATGATGATGATGATGACTCTCTTTCCTGGATGGATTGATCCATCGGATTGGATTGTTCCAGGATCGAAAAATATATTTCAATAAAGAAAGAAAAAAAGAGTAATCAGCAATCTGGGCCGGAACAACAACAACAACAACAACAACAACAACAGCACACGTATTGATCACGGAAGCAAAAAAAAAAAGAAAATTTTTTTTCCTTGCCATTGCTTTATCCAACGTCATTACATGAATACAATTAATTTATTTTTGTGTTGACAACAACGACAAAAATTATCGAACCAAAGAATTTGATCATCAACGATTCAGAAAGATATGGATAAATTATTGGTTTCATGTAATGAAGTTTGTCAAGAAATAACAACAAAAATTAAAGGTAAAGTCATTCATTCATTCATTTATATTTGATCCTAATTGATTCAAATTCACTTTTTTCCATTTCCACTTCCATAATCATTTGTTTCATTTAGGAAATATTCCTGAATGGTTAAATGTTGAATTAATACGTTTAGGACCAGGAAAATGGGATCTAGATGATGAATTTGTATTGAATCATTGGCTTGATGGTTGTGCAATGTTGTGTAAATTTTCCATAAGACATGGTTGCGTAAAATATGTGTCGAAATTTCTTGAATCTGATGCATATAGAAAAATGGTAAGATGATGATTGAATTTTATTTGATGACAATCCATTCATTCATTCATTCATTTATACATAGTTAAAAGTTAAAAGACCAGTGTATACAGAATTCGGCACACGTGCATTTCCAGATCCATGTAAAAATGTATTCAATCGTATATTTTCACAGATTGTACCATCAGATTTGACCGATAATGGTTGTATTAATGTTTATAAATTATCAAATGAATATTATGCATCATCGGAAACATGTAATATTTGGCGTGTTTGTCAAAAAACATTGAATGTTAAAAAAAAGGTATGGAGACAAAATTGTCAATGTCAAAAATGATTATTATGATTATCATCACATGAATGAATGAATGACAATTGTATTTGGCCATTTTTTTTGTCATCATTCTATAGATTAATTTAGACAAAATTATCGGCGTAAATCTAGCCTGTTCACATGTACAATATATGGATAATGAAAATTATGCTTATAATCTTAGTTCAAGTTTTTTGACCGGCATGAAATATCATTTAATTAAGATTCCATTGTTTCATTATGATGATAATAATAATAATAATAATGGTAATGGTAATGGTGATGATGACACTAATGATGATGGTAAGTTTGGATGATAATAAGTAAAAAAAAAATTGAATTTCGAATGAGCCAACGCACATTCAACAACAATGATGATAATTATATTCTATTCTATTTTAACAATCACAGACAAAAGCCTATTGGAACATTCACAAATATTGACAACGATTAGCTCCAGATGGACTACATGTATTGCATATTATCATAGTTTTGGTATAACGAAAAATTTCATAATTTTCATTGAATTACCATTAATGGTGAATGGATTCAAATTGGCCACCTGTACACCGAAAGGACGACCATTAAAAGATTGTTTTGAATGGCATCCAAATGAACGTGTTAAATTCTATGTTATTTGTAAACAAAATGGCCAAATCATACAAAAATATTATTCCGATCCATTTTTCTATTTTCATATTATTAATTCATATGAATATGATGGTCATATTGTTGCCGATTTTATGGCCTATCAGAATGCAACCATATTGGATAAATGGGATCTTCATCAGATGCGTAAAAATGTTTATGATGATAATAATCAAGCAATGCCTACACGATTTGTAATGCCAATTAATATAAATAAAAATGATGTAAGTTTATTCAGTTTTTTTTCGCCAAAAAAAAATACTACTAATTCCTATGAATTGATAAACAGATAAAAATGGGTGAAAATCTTGTCACATTGGCCAATACACAGGCAACGGCCATAATGATGGAAAAAGATTTGATAATATTGACCGGTGAACCATTATGTAGACCAGGATTTGAACTGCCAACAATAAATTATCGTCAATTTAATGGCCAAAAATATAAATACTGTTATGGTAGTGGAATTTTTGAACAAGGAAATTTTTATCGTTCAATTTGTAAACTAAATGTTGATGATAAATCTGTCATAACATGGAAAGATACGGATGATTTTTTTCCTGGTGAATGTATATTTGTTGCAAGACCAGGATCCATTGTTGAAGATGATGGCGTATTATTATGTATAGTTTTGTCCGGAAATGAATTATTATCACATTATCTTCTCATATTGGATGCACATACATTTAAGGAGATTGCACGTGCCGAAATTGCTACTGGCGTTGGTATTATTCCACCTACAATACATGGTGTTTATGATTATGTGGTTGATGAATAAAAACAACAACAAAAAAAATTTTTTTTTTTGTCTTTTAAATTGATTTTTTTGTTTGTTTCGTATACGAAAAAAAATAACAATATAATGACCATTCGTAACACGTGCCAATTAGTACGTGTCGCAGATAAGAACAAAAAAAAAGTTCACCATTCTATTCAAATTACCATGTTTTTTTTGTTTTGTTTTGTTTCATTTAATCCACAATGTAATGTTCCACCATTGTTGTAAATGATGATCAGATTTTTGCTTCATGCATTGAAATGGAAATCAGCTGACATGCAGACAATACATTTTTTCGTTTTTGTTTTGAGCACAATACACACACACACACACATACAAAAAACAAGTGTGTTGAGTTTTTTTCTTTCTCTTTTTTTTCAGGTTCCATTCATATGGTTAATCTCTTGTATTTCTCCGTAAATCGTGATCATCGTGCCTGTGTGTGTGGTTGATTTTCAATAATAAAGAAAATGAGCGATTAAAATGATTTCATTGAATCCAAAACTGTTGTTGCTTATTGCTTTCTTTACGACAAAATTATTTTATCGACAATTTTTTCTTTGCCTTTAAATTTTGTGAAATCATTTTCATTGTTTCTAATCAATCAATCAATCAATGACAAATGTACGAAAATGACATCACCAGCAGCAATGGAATATCTTTTTGATGAAAAAATTCTCAATAATGCATTGAAAATTGATCCAAAAATCACGATAAAAGGTAAATTTTGTGTTGTTCACAGACACAATGAATAATTTCATTTTTTCTCTTCACCATTTTTAAAGATAATTTTCATTTACGGCCATTGGCTAGAAATGATTTCGAACATGGATTTCTTGCAGCATTATCACAACTAACAGAAGTTGGTGATGTATCGCGTGAACGATTCGATGGTGAATATTTTAATTTGATAAAATTTTTTGTTGATAAATAATCATCATGTTGTTGTCATATTTGTTTATATATAATAGAGATATTTGATAAAATGAAAACAAACGGCTGTTATTATGTAACAGTCATTGAAGATTTGGATACAAATCGAATTGCTGGATCGGCCACATTGTTTACTGAATATAAATTCATACATGGTGGCGGTTTGGTAAATATGAATCGTTTTTTTTTTTTGTTCTCGTCTATCAATAATTTTACTGATTATTTAGCGTGCAAGAATCGAAGATGTTGTCGTCGATAATGATTATCGTGGCCAAAATCTTGGCGTTGCATTGGTACAAACATTGAAATCTTTATCACAAGTATTACATTGTTATAAATTAACATTGGATTGTAATGATCAAATGATATCATGGTATCGGAAATATTTTGATTTTCAAATTGAAGAAGGTCGTTCAAATTTTATGACTATTCGTTTTTCATCATCATCATCATCACCATGATGAAACAAATCACATCCAGTGGAACTAACGAAAAATTTTTTTTGCCATGATTTTCTTTTTCTTTTTTTTTGGATACGTGATGCCATTTATTGTATTAAAAAAAACTGAAATTATTTTGTCTATTTGGCCATTTGTTGGTCGTCGTCCATATATTATAATCAAATTAGCTAGAAAAAAAATAACCAAAATGTTCAGGTTTGTGAAATGCAAAAAAAAGTGAATTTCGTTTTTTCATTTCGTTTCGTTTCGTTTCAAATTAAAAATTGACGAGATCACGAATCAGGTTAATAGGTGTGTGTGTGTGTGTGTGTGTGTGTGTCGATATAGTGAACACATCTGAACACACATATATTCTGATTCGAAACTGAATTTGGATCGATTTTTGAAATTAAGACCATTCGTTCTTCGAAACACAAAAATTACGTTAATTGTTTTTTTTTTGTTTTGTTTTGTTTTGTATTAATGTTCAGAAATTTGTGACCATCACTTATTGAATCAAATATTTATTATTTGGATTATCGATCTACGAAAACAGGAACATTGAAACAATTGACTGAATTATACAAATGAAACAAACAAGCGAAAAAAAATAATAACAACAACAAACACAACGACATAATAACAATATATTCTGAATAATTAATCAACAATGAAATTGTTCATTCAATTTTGTATAATGTTTGAATATTCACAAAGATATTGACGACCAACACAGGTAATGCTTGAACATCCTTTTATCGAGATTTGTTCCAGATTTTTACAATCGATTAAATATCTGTAAAAGATTTTTGTTTTTTGAGTGAGATATGAAGATGAGAACAAAAAAATGACAACTTACTTTAGACCGGAATCAGTGATTTTCCAACAAAATGATATGTCTAAAAATCGAATATTCAAACAAAATGTTCGAATAGATGACAGTGATTCATTTGTTAGTGAATAAATTCGTGCAATGATTAGATTTTGTATTGAATGGCCACATTTTTCCAACAAAATCTTTATGGATTCATCATTTAAATTCCAACAACTGGCCAGATTTAATGTGATCAATTGATGACAATTTTCAGCAATGCAATATAATGTTTCCGGTTGTAGCCAGCCACAATTTTCCAATATGATTGTTTCCAAATATGGACAATATAAAGCCATTACCATCAATGATCGATTACTGATATAAAATGTTGATGAAAGATTGATAGATTTCAAACGATTTTGATTGGTAATTAAACACAAGAATCTTGTATCATCGATCCATTTACAATGTGATAGATTCAAATCACAAATAGATCGATTATCTTTGAGCATCAATCGTAAACAAGGCCATGATATTCGTGAATTTTCGCTAGAATAAATGGAAAAATCAACCGATTCCATTCGTTCGAAATATTCATCAATCAATCGTATGAATCTATGGCAAACATTTTGAAGACAAAATAAATCTTTAATAGTCAAATGAATGAAAATGTGATCGAAACAAATTTCTTTCCATGGTGAACAAGTGAAATCTGGCTGCAAATCAATCATTACCAAAAAACCGATAATGGAAAAATAAAAAAAAATCTTAATCATTGAAAACAAACATTTCGAATACCTTGGAAATGGATAAATACCTGAATGTCCGAAACCGAATTCAAAGATAAGAATTATAAGAAAAGAAAAGATGCGCCAAACATTTTTTTTTTGGTAACAATCGATGTTTTACGCATCGGCGCAAAACGATACAATCGATTCGTCGAAAAGTAAACTGATATGATCATATGTTTCTATTAAAATATTTATTTTGATTCGATTCATCGCTGGCTGGCTATAATCGATTTGAATTGATTTTGTTTTCACATCAAAAAAAAAAAAATGAGACCATCAACGTATCCTTTACGATTATTTCGATCAATTATCGATACAAATCGTACATCGACAATGTTAATGATTCAATCAACAAGATCATTATATGAACAAACACGAAGTGGATCCGTTGATTTTGAGAATAAAAAACGTGCTCAAATGAATGAAACACAACGTTTAAAAGAAACAACAAAAATGATGAAAAAAGATCTAAAATGGGCATGGCAAATATTCAAGGATGCAACATTTAATGCATTTCGTGCAGATGTTGGTACCGTAGCATTTGATGATAATCAATTGATAAAAATTTGGGATTTCAATCAACGTAATAATGAAAAATTATCTAGCTATTCATTGGAATTTAAAAGTGATAAATTGAATGATATGAACAATTGGCTTGTAACTTGTGATGCTGATTATGATGTTGGTAAGTGATATTTTATTGTATTGTTTGTTGTTTTTTTTACATCGAATTAAATGACCACTTTTTCAGGCTTTTCCAAATGTTCATGGACTGTATCACCATCTGGTCATGCTTTATTCTCCGGATATCTGGACACCACTGTACCAAAAGATGGTAAAACTGTTCGTACTGGTTATGCATTTTTATCCAGTCAAAAAAGTCGTCATCCATTCAATCTACCTACAGATGGAATGAATATTTTTGAACAATTTACACACGTTATTCTTCGAGTACGTGGTGATGGCCGTATGTATCAGATATCATTCGATACAGCCGATGTATTTGATATTACTTGGTTTGATCGATATAATTTTATGATGTATACATTTGGTGGTCCTTATTGGCAATATGTTAAAATACCGTTATCACGTTTCTATTTCCATTATCAAGGTTTTATTCAAGATGAACAATATCAATTTAATCCAAATACAATCCGTTCGATGGGTATAATGGTACATTCACCTTCATATTCTGGTCCATTTCGTTTAGAAATTGATTACATTGGTTTTGTTAATGATTGTCAACATAATGATCTTATTGAATATGAAGGTTATTATCATGAATCAAGTCAATTGAAATCGACTTGATTTATTTATTATTTTACAATGTTGATGTGTTGATATTATTTAGTGTAAATATAAATATTTTTCAATCAATCAAATATTTAAAAAAAACCATGTACAAATCTCTGCAAACAGATGGCGATATTGGTTCTTTCTTTCGTTTTTTTTGAATTCGATTTTTATTTTTTGATCAATATGATGGATGATGATTATGATCGAATTCGATCGATTCGTTAGCCGTAATAGATATGTATTGACATTTATGAATTTCAATGGCGATTTGAAATTTAGTTAAACTTGATTTATCTAATGTCAATACAGATTGTTGCAATGTACAATTGAATTGAATGTCCATTAATGTCGGTGAATGTATTTGTCGGTGAACAATTTGACAATTTACAGATTCATCATCTGTACATTGATCAAAATATTCATGACGATCTTTTGGTTCGATGACAAAATAAATCCAATCATGTTGTAAAAAATCTTCGACATTGAATTTTGGTTCTTTGTTATAATAGACATTTTCTAGCTGAAGAAATCTTGTCATACCGGATTGAGCGGCCAAATCACAAACATAGACACCTATTCTAGAAGTTTCAGATTTTGATTGCCAATTATTTTTTCGGATATCGTCATTAACAATTTGGATTGCATAACCACCAGGATAATTATAGCTTGAAATGTATAATTTGATAATTGTCAGTGTTAGATTTAGTAATAGATTAACGATAAGACCATAGAGAAAAAATTGTTTCAAACGTTTGATGAAATAAATCGATATTGAATTGGTCAATATTATGGTTTTCATTGTAGTTTGTTTTGACATTTTCATCATCAATTCGAACACATAACGTTGAAATTGAGCAATGAGATCCATCATTGTGACGATGATATGAGCAAATGTTGTATTCAATAAAGGCACAGCATAGATGATGAATCGTAGTTCTTTATGTGGTAGAAATGAATAAAGAAATATGAACAAAATGGATACAAATGTATATGGATGACCGAATCGTGACCACCAAAAACAGGCAAATGGTAACAATAAAATTGTTGTGAAAAATATGTTTGGCAAAACATTGATAAAATACCAATAAAATGGTTGAACACCCCAAAGATGAGATTTATTTTCAACAATATTGAACCATATTGTATCGCCTATGTACAAAAAATTAAAATTGTCAACAAAAAAAAAAATTAAATAACAATACACTAACCTTCGGGCCAAATCCATTTGTTCCACATGAATGAATCAAACAATATGGTTAATGATAATGAAAAAATACCACTTGGAATTCCATAAACAAAAACATTGATCAATGATAATCTTTGTGTATAGAAACATTCAATCAAACAGATTGCTGAAAACAATATAATAGTTTCAAAACGTATGACAATCACTGTGAAAGCAAATAAAAATATAAACATTGACCATTGGTTACGGTTCCAATAATCATAAGCGAATAACATGAATATCAATGCATATGTATTCGGTAATGGACGTGATGCATAGAAAATTAAATGAAATTGTGTGATTGTTATCAATGTCAACCAAATGGCAATCGATGATCCATTACGATGACTAGCTTGTATTGAATGAATAAATCTTCCGAATGCAAATGTAAAACAAAACAATAATGATAAACGTGATAGAATTTGTGATGGAAATTTATCCAATGATTCGGATTGTAACCAACAGAATGGTTTAGCCAATATGGCCACAATAAAATTCGTTATAAATGTTCGATGTACAACACCGGGAAAATTTTCATGATCCCAAATGGCCACAGAATCGTTCGATAGCCATGGCGATAATTTTGATAGATAAAGAAAATCATGACAAGCTTGTATGCCGAATGATTCTTCTACTTTTGTATATGGAACAATAAATAAATGTAAAGAAGAAATGATAAAAATAAGAATCGTTAAAAGAACCGCAGAATTCTTCATGATTCATCATCATGTGTGTAAAATTATGATTATATATGCCCAGATGATAATCGAATCCATCTGGGAGAAAAAAAAACAACCATCATGTGCCATCTATCCACAGTCAATAGAGTTAATCATTATAAATTGAATTTTAAATCTACAGATTTTTGCGCCAATTTTTTTTTGCAAGTCCAAAAGAATATTTTTATTCAATCAATGGAATAATAATAATTTTATCAAATTAAATCAAATATATATGGAAAGAAACGAAAACAGACAAATTCTTTTAATTCTTCTCCTCAATGTTTTAAATCATCTTCATATAAATCGTTTATTTGGCACGATATTTACCATACGATTTTGCCAATGATTCCAATTCTAAATGAGCAACATCATCTTCTTCATTATTTTTTGCCAATACCAATGCTTCATCAATCCATTGCATTGCATCTGGATATTTTTTCATCGAAATCAATACTTTTGCCATCCACAAATGATTCATTTTCCAATCATGTTTTAATTTATCGGCCATTTTCAATGAATCCAATGCATCATCATATGTTGCTTCAGGTGGTGTACCGAAAAATGCTTTGGCAATTTGTCGTTCCATAAATGAAAGATTGGCCACTTCCCAACACCAACGTCCATACATATGATGCATTAATTGATCATTATTATCAATGGAAACGGCAATATCACGATGTTCTTTGAATTGATGTCCCATTTGAATACGTTCTTTTGTGCTAACATGTGGTGCCATTCGTCCAACGGCAGCACAATACCTTTATTGTGATTTTTAAAAAAATGATATGAGATGAAAATTTAAATCAGTAGATAAAAAAAACCATACCATTTATGAACATTCATCGATTTTGGATCCAATTCTACGGCCTTTTTAGCATATTTAAATGCTTCTTCTTCCCATTTTTTTGCTTCAGATTTATTTTTATTTTTCAATTGTAAATCCGATAATATCAAACAAATGACTACTAGACGCCAACATTTTTCGGCATCTGTTTGTCCTTGTTCATTGAAATGTGTCAATAATTTATTATACAATTCCATACGATCAACAGCCGGATTTTCTACATCTTTATCCCAATCGGTTAAATAATCAGCCATTGTGTTTTTTGTATTTGTTTTCGTTGACAAAATAAAAAACAATCCAGAAAGGTTGAAGCGAACCAATCCAAAAATGGTAAATCACTATGGAAACAGACGAAGAAAAAAAAAATCGAATTCCAAAAACAAAACAAAACAAAATAAAAATGAAATTCGAATCAAAGGAAAAACCAGAAAAAAATGGTCATCAATTAAATCAAAAAAAAAATAAAATAAAATAAAATAAAATACTAACCAGGAACAGCCAGTAAGCCAACGATCGAATCGAATGATGATGTGTTCAATACAAGAGCAACCACACACACACACACACACAAATGGTGAATGAATGAATAAATCGATCTATTGAAAAAAAAAAAACCATGGAAATGATTTGATTATGTATATGGTGTGTGTGTGTGTGTGTGTATGTGGATTTGTTTCGTAACTATTGGTCACCGCCTACAGATCTAAACATCATTATGTTATATGTGGATCGAATCATCAAAGAGAGAGAGAGAAAAACGATATATTTATCAATGTAGTTAAAAAAAAAATTTTTTTTTTTTTTTTTGGTTTGTTTGTCAATGTTACGATTTGATTGTTGTTGTTGATAATTCAAAATTTGTTGTTGTTGTTGTTGTTGTAGTTGTTGAGTGGAAAATTGAACAGAAATCACTAGGAAAAAAAAGAGATTGAAACAAGGATTTTGTCATGACATGAAACATGACAACAACAACAACAACAACAACAAAAAATTTTTTTTCAAATCGACATACATGAGATTGATTGATAAAGAATGGATTCATGGTACATGTGTGTGTAGTGGTTCGAATTTTTTTTTTCCCAGAAATAACTATATAGCTGCTACTAATACCACTACTACTACTTACTGCTACTACCATGGTGAAATGATAAAATTTTTTTTTTTTTGATTGATTGATTAATTGGTTGATCTTTGATTTTTGATTCTAAGAACGGAACAAAAAAAAATGCCGGGAACATGCATCAATGTACTCCGTAATGTATCGAGTAGAAAGAAAAAAAAAAAATTTTTTTGGAAATTTTGGGGAAATTTTTCGGGAAAACACCAAATTCAATTAAATATCAAATCAAATTAAATTTTTTAACAAAAAAAATAAAAAATTTCTTTCTCTTTCTGATCATCATTTTCAACATTTTTTTTCCCCAATCGATTCATTGAATAGTGGTCAAGCAATGATATTTGTCTGATCGATCATGATGATGATGTCTGTCTGTGTTTTGTTTGTTGGTTTTTTTTTCTATTGGAATCGAATGAGAGGCTAAATGCACACATCACTGGAAAAAAACAATCGATTATTACTAACAAAAAAAAAAAATCGAAAATTTTTTTTTTTTTTTTTGATTGATGGGTCCGTTAATTTTTTTCTTTTTCGCTGGAAATTTTCAATGTGTAAAACACATTTTATTATTACGACAATTATGTATGATGAATAGAACTGAATCTGGTTAACATGAATGCATGGCATTTAGTTTTGATAGGTCGGTTGGTTTGGTTGGCAACATGCGAATTACATCATCACAGTGTGTGTGTGTGTGTTGTCTGATCAAGGTTTTTTTTAGATTAATTTTTTTTTCGTTTTCTTTGATTGCAATCGATGCATAACGATATAAAATAAAAAAAATGCACATACATGCATTTTCACAACCTGAAAATCATAATTTGGCCACAAAAAAAACAACAAACAAACAGACAAAAATTCAAGGTAAATCACATACCAATAAAAAAAATGAAACAAAACAAAGATTAAATCAGGTCAAATATTTTTGTCGTTTTAGCGTGAAACAAACAAACAAACAAACAAACAAAAACATTCCGAATCCACAAGTTTTTCTTTGATTGAATGAATGAATGAATGAATCATGGATATATATACATTGAAATGAAAATGAAAATATGAAAATATGAAACAGCATGTAACAAAATTTTTTTTGTTGTTGAAATATGTTTGATGATGATTATCAAGATAAATGATTTTTTTTCCAGTAGTAGTAGTGGTGGTGGTGAAATATTAAAAAAAAAAAAAATGTCAGTTGTTTGAACCCAGTCAAGGTTATGGTTTTTTTTTTTTTTTCTCTCTCTCTCTCTCTGTCTGTCTGTCAGTCTGCCTGTCTATATCTCTCTTTATACATCATCAATTATTTAATAGATTAAATGATCAATGGATGACCACAAGCTTGACCATGTATTAATCACATGTATCCTTTTTTTCTTCTTGTTTTTTTTCCTTCTCTCAACATATTTCTCTTTTCAGTATTTTTTTTTTCGCTTCTTGCTGGATACATATATTGTGTAATTTGGATTTCTGATTCGTAGATTTTAAAAAACGAAAGGAGCAAGAGAGAGAGAGAATCATCTAATTGACCGATGTAAAATGGATTTTTTTTTGTTTCAATTAAAATTTGAAAATTTTTTTTAAAATTACTTTTTTTTCTTGCTTCAAATTCTCCATTTCCATCAAGAATTCACTAATTGAACAGACAAACAAAAAAAAATTCTTGATTTGATTGAACTGGTTAACAATTTTTTTTATTTTTTATTTTTTTTTTTTTTTTTTGACAGAACAGAATATTCATTTCATTTGAAATTCTTTTCCCCAGTCTCTCTTTCTCTCTCTCAACACCGACAGACAGACAGAGATCATTATGATTCTTGTTAGTTGATTAAATGAATGAATGAATGAATAAATTTTCGACTTTTGTTCAAAAATAAACACTGCAATGATGATTAGATTTCAATCGTTTCAATTCTATGAAATTCTAAATGAAATGCCATTTTTTTCAATATTTTCCATTTTGTTTCATAATTTCAATGATGATGGATTCCATCACTTAATCCAGTATCATCACCACCACCACCACCACCACTACCATCACCACTTCTCCACACACACACACAAAATTTAAAATTATCTAGCATCAATTCAATGGCGTCGACTCATGTATTCAAAAAAAAAAAAAAAAAAAAAAAATCAAATTCTTCTTTGCTACTGCAGTCATGATAATAATGGCCAGAATAACCAGATAAACGATGCTGATTTTTGTTATCAAACAAATTTGAAATCTAGTGGTCATTTTCAAATATCGGTAGTGGTTCATTGTCGGTCGTATTGGTGCTGCTGGTGGTGGTGGTGGTGGTAATGTTTCAACAAAAAAAAAACGCCTACCCTTTAACCATTTAGTATTTAGAATAAAATGATCATTTCTTTACGCATAAAGAATTCATTTGTATTCATTCATTCATAGAATTCTTAAATGTTCACAGATCAACAACAATAGAAGTACCTTAACTTAATAAGAAAACATCACCAGTGGACAGAATACGGAATTTTTTTTTAAAAAATGATGCAATAACAACCACAAAAAAATTGGATTCTATAACAAAAGAAAGAAAGAATGAAAAAAACTGATTCCAATTCTGATTAATTCATTTTGCTTCAATTTTGGATCAATATGGATCATTATATTATTATAATCACCAGAAACATTAAACTTTATTCTTTTGTTGTTGTTGTTGTTTGGCGAGAACAAAATTCTCGCCATTCTATTCTTTGATGGGTGATGTGTATGTGAGATTAATTCAATGAAACTTTTATTCGTTCATTGGTCCATACGTTACTATACAGACCGTATTGGATTTTATATATATAGATATATAATATGACTATACCGCCTCGCCAATATCCAAAAGGATGTTACTCTTTTTCATTTTCATCATCATTTTTGTTGGTGAAAAAAAAACCATCATCAACAACAACAACAACAACAACAACATGACCATTTTCATCAGAAAAAAACACATCCAGACATGAATGATATATAATAAATAGTATTCCACAAACCAAACCAAAACGAATCTAAACGTTTTGTTGGATATAGTTATTCGGGATGCATATACAGAATATTTTTCTTATGGTTTCCACTTCCTTTTTCATGATTCTTCTATCGGTTCATGTGTGTGTGTGTGTGTGGGTGCATGGTTCACACACACACACATCATTCATTCAATATTAAACTCGATTTTTGTTTTTTTTTTTTTTTTGATTCAGAATTTTTCTTTATCGAAGCGGTTTTTATATTGATGTTTTCGTTGTTGTTTTTATGATGAATTTTTTTTTCTTCTTCTTCTTCTCTCAATAGAATCTTCTAGCATCCACTATAGTATTCAGGATCAGTAAAACAACAACAACAACAACAACACAGACATTGAAAACCAAACCAAACCAAACCGATTATCAACATCAACATTAACATTATATACCAGAATTCTTCTTTGGCTCTTTTTTCTTCTTCTTCTTTTTTTTTGATTCTGGTTATTTTTTTTCTTTCTTCTTCTGGATTCTTGCTCTCTGTATCCATATATATGTGTGTGTGTGTGTATGTTATTTGTATATAATGGATCAAAGTATAATGAAAAGATGTTTGTTTAACTCTCTCTCTCTCTCTCTCTCTAGTTATTCTTGATGTCTGTGTCTATGTAATTTTATCTTCTGTATGTTTTTTCCTCTACTCTCTCTCTCTCTCTCTTTGTCTTCATGTATCAATGTTAATAATTTTTTTTTGGACTCTCAACACACACACACAGAATATTGAAAGAATTTTTTTTTAACTATGAAGAAAAAACAAATTGAAATTATTTCCATAAATTGATCAAATGTAAACCGACCACCAACCAACCAGCCAACCAATCAAGCATTGATTATCATCATCATAATATAATTGATCATCATCGATCATCATAATCATCATCATCATCATCATTTTTTTTATATATATACAGTGAAAATATTTTCAAATCAAAAAAAAAAAAAAAAATTTTCTTTCATTTTTTTTTTTTTTTTTTTTGGTGTTGAATAAATAAATTTCCGGGAATAATTCTCAATCATCATCATCATTGAATTTTTTTTTTTTTTTCTTGTTTATTTCACATTGACAAATTGATGACACACACACACACACACACACACACACACACACACACACGGAACTGTTTTGTCTGTATATGGGTGTGTCTAAATGTTGATTTTTTTTTACTATTAAAATTTTACAAATCATCATCATCATCATCATTATTATCGGCAGTGATGAAAGTGGTGATTATTATCAATTAAACTTTAATAATCATTTGTTTTTTTTTATTCATTTCATTCATCAAATACAAAAACCATCATTAGATCTTTGATGTTTTGTAAGTTCATGTGTGTGTGTGTGTGTGTGTGTAAAATTTTGTGTTTAAACCACCATCACCACCAACCACAATGATTAAACGTAAATCATCACATTCTGGTGGTGGTGGTGTTGGTGAAAGCAATGGTGATGATACACATAATAATGATAAAAACAACAATAAAGAAGAAGAAAAAGAAGAAGAAGATGATGATGATGAAAATGATTGTCTTTCACATTCAATTCCATTACCAATACAAACATTTTTATGGCGACAGACAAGGTATGATAAGAAAAAAAAAATTTTTTTTTCTTTCTTCAATAATGAAAAAAAAAATTTTATTAGTCCATTCATAAGGCCAAAAATCAGTAAATTACAAGATGCTGCCGCAATGGAACAACGTGAAGCATGTAAATTATTTGAAAAAGTTCTTGTACAAAATATTCGTTTCGGTCTTTCACCAAGTCTAACAAAAGCTATTGCCAGTGTTAGCAGGTAAGTATTTTAATTTTAAATTTTGATGAATGAATTTCAATTTTAAATTTTTGATTCATTTAATTTAACAAATGACAAGATGGCGGCTCATTGTATCGGCTTTACCACATGTGATGCATTGTTGTTCAACATTATTATATATACGTAGAAAAAATTCATTTGATAAATTATCAGCATCAGAAACAAAATTATTATATACATTACATTGGATATTATTGGATGCAGCTGAAGAATGTGCTGATGAAGAAAATGAACATGGTATAAATCGTCCACAAGAACATTATATACTTCCAGTGACAACCATACAGACATTTGTCTATTTATTTGCACCATTAATACCTCATTTAAAGCAATCAGATTTTTTAACATCATTTCGTCTTGAAAATGGTTATAAAATATGGATACCATTATTCAATTATTGTCATCCAGAGTAAGTGTTTTTTTGTTTGTTTGTTTGTTTGTATTATAACAACAAATATATTTAAACTGACGATCATTCCATTTATTTTTTTCCACCCCAATCAAGAATACCAAGTTTTCTTGCACATGCAAAACAAAATACATTTTCATTATCAAGAAATATGGAAAAAAAATTACCAATTCCAAAATTTGGTGATGTATTCATTGGTTCATCAACCCAGTTGGATAAATCTGCAATTAATGTTATTGATGATGGTGGTGATAAAAAATCGACGACGATGATGATGATGATGAACACTGAACGTAAAGATTCACATGATATATTTAATTTTGGTTCACCACAACCATCAGATAGTTCACCATTACATATGATGAATGGACATGATCCACTTTCAATTCCACAACAGCAACAACAACAACAACAACAATCATCATCATCATCGACAACAACAACAACAAAAACACAAGAATTAAAGAAAAAATATGAATATCAAAAAAAAGATTTAGCCGAACCATCGATGGCTACATATTTAGATGTAGCTGTATTACGTTGTTTATTCACATCACAATGGATCGAAGATGGTATTGATTGGGCATTAAATTTTCTTTATTATCGTTTGGAATGTATTGAAAAAAGCCGCCAAAATCAGCAACAATTTTTTCGTACACGATCATATTCATTACCAGTACCAAAACGTCGTTATCGTGATTCAACAATGTTTGCCACTGCTGCTGCTAGTAGTGGTGGTGGTGGTGGTTTGACCAATGATTCCAAACGAAACCGTCCAAATGATGATCAACAACATCATGATCAAGAATTGAATAAAGATTCTAAATTGAAAACATTTCGTGATGTACGTCGTTCATCATTTTCCGGACTTCCAGGTTTGTTTATTTGTTTATTTGTTTCATTCATTCATGAATTTTTGAATTGAAATTTTCATTTTTTTTTTTTTTGACAAAAGGACTGTCAGGATTTCAGGCTTTAATAAGCAGTACTACATCAAGTGCCTCATTTGGCAGACATGGAAGTGAAAAAGTTAAACATAAAAAATCTAAAAAACAACAACAACAACAACAACAGAATCAAAATCAAACGACATCTACTATTGATTGTCAACAACAACAACAACAACAATCGAACACAATATCATCAACATCATCGAAAATTTATCATAAAACCATCAATAATGCTATAAGTAGCCATCATGTGCCATCAAAATCTGATAATAATCAAAGTAATAAACAACAACAACATCATCATGGTCATCATAAATCGAAAAATTCAACCACTAAAACAGCTAAACAGACAATCCGTGATGTTGTACTGTCAAAACATTTACATTATCATTATCATGGTCGTGGTCATGGCCATCAACAATCATCAAAATCATCAACATCCGTAACTGAAGCTGTAAATGATCAACAACAACAACAACAGCGACCAACATCGGCAAATAGTTTTAAAAAACGAAAAATTTCACTTTCAACTGAACATCGTTTAATTGATCGTAATGATTTTAAAGGAAAATCAATGCCAACATTACATCTAATCGATGATGAAAATCAACCAATCAATTTTAATGATGAATATTATGATTATGATGATGATGAGAAATATCCAGCCATCTATTTATCACCGGAAACAGCTCGAACACCAAGTCGTACATCATTAACTGAAATCGGTGGTGGTATATCCACCACAAATGATACACAATTGTTAAATGCACAATCCAACAACACAAATCAACAATCAACATCGAATGTACCAATGTTTCCAATAATAACGATCACTGAACATTCACCGGTTTCATCGATAAAATTTTTTCACAATAATAACAATCAAAATCGTTTGATTGATGATAATATCGGCGATGGTGGTGGTGGTGGTGGTGCTGGTAGTGATATCGATGATCATGATGATGATGATCAATTATCTATACGACGACGAAAATCATCTTCATCAACATCAAAATATAAATTCTATATTGCTGATGATGATGATGATGATTATAATAATAATCAACAACAACAACAACAACAACAAAATGAAATGTTTTATTCAAGTGCCTATTATTCCGGTGGTAGGAGTGGTGGCGGTAGATCGGCAACATTATTATTACGCTGTAAAAGTGATGGACAAATTGATTATACAATTGAAACAAGTGGTGAATCACTTGCATCAATTAATTATGTTAATAAAAATGGACAATTAAGCCTAGTGATCGTGTTGAAAGCTATACATTCGATTACATTAAAAGATTCTGTATGCACAATGCGTGTATGCAAAATTATACATAAAATTATAAACAAATTAATGAGCTTTAAATTGATCTCCAAACGTATTGGTAGTATTTATATTGGTAAGTTGATTGATGTGTTTTGCTTATTTGTTTTATTTGTTAACTTTCTTTTTTTTTGCTCAAACAAAATAGCCAAAAAATTCAAAACATTCAAACCGAATTGTGAAAATCCTGAATTATCTGTACATCATTTATTCATGGATACATTGTTTCGTATTATTAAACAATTAGGATGTTCACGTGGTTGTGGTGAAGGTCGACGAGAAATGGAAGCAATTCGTTTAAAAGAAAATGTAATGAAAACATTAAAATCATTATATGATATGTCCGAATTATTATTTTTACAATATTGTGAAATGTTGGTCACATCACATCCTATTCAAGAGATTATGGATATTTTCCATGCATTTTTTGGTTTCTGTTCCGAAGGTACCACCACCGCTACCACCACCGCATCAACAAATGTTCAACAACAACAACAACCACCACAAACACAACATTTGACAACATTTTCAATAAAAAAATCTTTACCTGGTACTGGTATAACCAGTACTGGTACACAATTGAAAAATGGTTATTTTAATAATTTTGGTGCCGGATTTCCAACAAATGATTCATCATCATCTAAACGTAATTATTGATGATTAATGTAAAAATAGAATTTATATTCATTCTTTTTTTTTTCATCTGATTTTTCAGTTAAACTTGAAGTCGATACGATAATCGTTAAATATACGTTCAAACCATTCATAAGTCGTTTGGTTTTTGTACAAAAAGAATTAAAAGTTCAAGAAAACATGTCACTCTATTGTGAGATTCGACAATTCATATCCTATGTTCGTGAATATCATGGTGGAATATTTCGTAATGTAAGTTTTGTAATTCATTTACTTTTTCATTGGTTCATCATGTTTTTTTTATAATTGAAAAGGCTGCTCTAAGTGGTCTAATAGAAAGTACAAAATTCGTATTACAAAATGATCGTTTATGGATATCAAAAATGGCATTAAAAGATTTAGCCGATCCACAACAACGATCAACAAACAATGATTCAAATATTCAAAGTAAAGATGATCAAACAACAGTTCAACAACAACAACAACAACAACCACCACCCACCGCCGCCATTATCATCATCATCATCAACAACATCAAGAATTGCAAAACATAAAAAATGGGGTGCAAATCGATCAAAATCAACATTAATTGTTGAATATAATAATTCGGATTCTATATCACAAGAATTAATATCACCAATATTTCCACCAATAGTTGCTCAACAACAACAACAACAATCATCATCTAATCAACGTAATCAACAAATGGAATTACAATTAATATCAACCACAACGACAACTGTTTTAACAGGCTCATCATCATTGAATCCGATTCAATCTAAAATGGATTTTTTCGCAATCAATGATCCAATATCACCATCAACAACGACAATGACAACGCAACAATTAACATCAACGGATCATTTTATGATGATGAATAATTCAAATATTAATAATAACAACAATCAAATGAATAATCACAATAATAATATTCAACGTGATTTTGATGGTGGTAACCTTCCAAATTATCTAACTATTGCATCAAATAATGAACAACAACAACAACAACAACAACAACAATCACCATTATCAGTTACATTGATGCGTCGTGGTAGTTTTAATAAACAAACTCTTAAAGGTATAATGATCATTCATCATTCATCCTTGACATTGATCAATTTTTCGTTTTATCAATTTTTTTTCATGTAGGATTTTCACCTGCTAATCAATCAGCAAATGCATTTGCCATTACAATAACGGCTGGTAATGCACTGAATCAAAAATCAACATTTTTCAAAGCTCGTAAACAATTTAAAAATGTTTTTGGTGGCAAAAATAAGTTCAAACAAAATAGTTTCGATGATACACCTGATTTATCGAGAAAAAATTCTTTACAAGATATCGACCGTTTGCAACAACAACAACAACAACAAGATGGTGTTGGAATTAATACTACAATGGCTGTAACAACTGGTTCGGGTGGTTCTGGTGGTACCACCGGAATTATGACCACAAATGTGGATATTCCATTGAAAAAATCTCGAACAATTTTATTCGAAATACTCAAAGATGGGATGCTAAAATTTCAATTTCTTTTGGATTCATGTACGCCTGGATCAATTCCAGATGCTCAATTAGTGGCGGCAATGTTGGATCTCAAAGCACCAGTATTGGCAAGAGCAGCTTTTCTACTCGAATGTTGTCATTTTGTTCATCGATGTAATCGGGGACAATGGCCCGGATGGATGAAAATGAATTTCAATTTTTTTAGACCTTCAGGTAAAATCACCTGTTTTATTGGCAGTGTAAATTAAACTTTTTTTTGTTGATCAAATTTGACTATCTAGGTCCAAGACATGGTTCTCAAACAGTAATCAAAAGTCGAGCATCAACTACATTACAAAAACATGCTGGTCGATGTTTTTATCAATGGGCAGAATTATTATCATCACGTTTAGAAGATATTCTACAGAATGATATCGACATGATGCAATCGATTACCGATAGTGATGGAAATCAACAAATTCAACAACAACAGCAACAACAACAACAAGAAGATAATTTTCTATCAATTTCTTGTGTAGATAGCAAAGAAGGCAATTGTCCGTTTGCATTGAAAATTATAGCCTGTCAACTTTTATACGAAATAACAACATATTTACGTGAAACACATCAATATCTATTGACACAAAATTCACGTCGAACATCTATGGTTAATCCAGCGATAGTAGCAGCGGTTGCTTCTGCAAAAGAAAAAAGTTGTATCGAACCACCAAGACCATTGGCAATGCATCAGAATCGTCGTTGGTCGATGGCTTTAAGCACTGGAACTTTTAACAATTCTGCTCATAGTCTAATGTCATTGGCAAATTTTCCGGGTGGTCCAATGCATGTTCTGGAACATATGTTACCACCAAGTGATAGACGTATTAGTTTTGTATTGCACGAAGCCGAAGTGGAAAACGATTCGAATAGTTTGATTGATTCAAATGAAGATATTATACATCATGATAAAAAACGTTTATCACAGGTTGGTCCATCCAGCTTAGTCACCTGGAGTGGTAGCGGTATTGGCCGTAGCGGAAGTGGTCATCATGAAAGTTTTCGTCGTCGTTCAATTAAATTGAAAAAGAATGATAGTGGTAAAAAAAGTACGGCTAAATTACGTTCAGCAACATTGGTTGAAGATGATTATAAATCAATGTTTAAACGTTCAAATTCATTACGTTCAAAACGTAAAGTTAGTGGTGCATCAGAAAAATCCGATACATCTGAAAGATATTCAGGTGAAGAATCACCGGGTTTATTTTCAGAAGAAGGACATAGTTTTGAATCAGCATTGCTTGATAATAATATCGATACGAATGATGTTGATATGGTAGAGAATATTCCATGGCTAAAGATAACAACATTGTTTGCATCGGCAATCAATTTTGAATGTAATCATCATCAAACCTGTACACATAATTGTCATAAAAAAATCATTCAATCAGCATCATTATTAACAAAAGAAGTGCAAAGAATCTATGAAAAAGATGTACAACCATTGTTTGATTTCGATATGATGGCACAAAAATTATTGGATGATAAAGAAGATGTTGCTAAAAAGGAGAAAAAATTAAAGAAAATTCTAATGGGACATGCATCACCATTAAAACGAAAAGCATCCGGACTACAAATGGACAAATATCTTGATCGTGATAGTCATGGACATAGTGTTTATAATAGTCAAACAGGTCTAGCACATTCTGCAATCGATGTTGAATATGGATTCTATGAAAGTGAAGATCCACGGCTAATATTTCATGATGTTCTTAGTTATCGATTGGAAAGTAAACATGAAGAGAATACAACAATGTTGTATATATTGAATCAGGTGAAAAATCCATTCCATTCAATTATATCGATGATGTTGAAAAGTGCATTGATATTGAATCGAAATCAATTTGAATATTTGCTGAATCTTTCATGGAATTTAATATTGGATGAAGATATACAAATATCATCGTCAGCATCTGTCGCTATCATTGTTTGTTCATTAAAATGTCCAGATATTGTTATCAATCTATTGAATCAAGATCTTAATCATCAAAATGTTGATATACGTGTGAATGCAATTAATAAATTCTTAAAAATCTGGTGTAATCGTCATCAATGTTGGCAACGATTAGAAGAAGGTGCACATCTAGTGTTAAAATTGCCACCAGCTGCCATAGAATTTACAATACCATCACCAAGAATTGCACTTGAATGTAAACCAGTGGTAGATCCACCATATATGCCAATCGTAAAAACAAAAGTAGATGAAGTAGCCATTAATCAAGAACCAACTATACAGAAATCATTTGTTGCCGCAACCAAAACACGTCGTAAACAACAGATCGAATTGATTTCAAAAGCATTACAAGATCAAGAAGATAAATTAAGAGAAGAAAGAGAAAATTATCGTTTCAATAGTGTTCCGGTTACATTACAAGCTGCATATGAACCAGTTTTATATCATACAATCGATGATCATGATGATCAAGAGGATGATGTTGAACGAATCCCATTACATCATCTTCAAGTGGCTCAATGTTTTTTTCCATCAAGTTTAACGACAGCTTCATTTTTAATCGTTAATCTATTGGAAGATACACAAATCAATTCAGACGGACAAGCCGTTTATGATGTTGCATACAAAACAATATGGCATTGTCTAAGTGAAGATTCGGCACTTTTTCTTAGAAATTTATTGGAAAAATTAACACGTGAAAAGAAAAATGTTGTCATTCAAACAATTCGACGTTTAATTCGTTTTGTTCCTAGATTGCCTGCACAAGCAGCATTCACACTATACAATTATTTGATTGGTTTCATCATGTATCATGTTCGAACACCAACTGAAGATTCACAATCCATTATAGCTTCTGTAATGTCCATTCTATGGTTAATTGTACCGAATGTTTTTGGTTTATTTCTAAAAGATTTGAAACAAATTCTACGAAAAGAACAATGCGATTCTACGATTTTGATCACTGCCAATGTACCAAGTGCTAAAAAAATTATTGTTCATGGTCCAGATCCTGGTTCGATTCCATCACAATTTCCCGTACATGAAGATACACAATTCTCACAGATACTGACGGATAGTTTGGATTTTTTCGGTATTGATGAAACAAAACATAATGAATATTTTCTTGTCGATACAAAAACCAATCAAATACATAATCTAAATGCATTTGTAAGAGATTTTTATTTCTTTAAACGTTCACAATATCCACAAATTTCATTGGTACATATGAATCCAGTTGAAGCTTATGATAAATTTCAACAACAAGCTTTTACATTACAATTTACTGAATTGGGTAAAAGTTTAATGTCATTATCATTGATAAAAACATCTTATATGGGCATACAACGTGTACTATTTTTACATGAAGAATTAATGAAATTGCCATCATTTCCGCGTAAAGCATTGGAAACTAATCTAACATTATATTCCGGGCCAATGGGCCGTGAAGTATTGGGTCTAGATACATTACATAAAATTTCTTGGGTCAAATTGGTTGGCCGAATGTTTGAAGCTACATCAGGATTTTTTGCCGATTCTACGGATATTCATCTATTTTTAAATGTTGTCAATGGAACATTATTATTACATTGTGAAGATGCCACAATATTACGATTATGTATGGCAACATATATTAATGCTGCACATCAATTTAAAAATATATTTGCTACAAATGGATATTTGCTTATTGTACAGACAATCGTACAGATTTATGGTACACATCAAACAAATTCATTGCTATGTCGTACAATTGAATTTGTATTCAAACAATTCTATATTCTTCATTCTAAACCGTTTGTGTTGCAAATGTTTGGCGCTGTTGCACCATTGTTGGATACAGATTCCATCAACAAATATGAATCATCATGTCAGATTTCACCGAAAGCATTTTTTCAATTATTACAATCACTTGGCCAATATACAGCCGATCCATTGGACATTTTAGAATTGGTGGATGCAGAAAAACCATTGAAAGCATTAGATTTTTGTTATCAAATGGATTCCGAAACATTAACCGTATTGGATTCAATTTCATTATGTGTCACTGTTATATCATATGCTCCAGATTCTGAACGTGGCCATCAAATGTTGACTATATTGGATTCAATATTACCATTCCATCTGATGCATATGCAAACATTGACAACGAAAAAAGAAACACCTGGTGGTCCACGTGCTGAACTATCCATGATTCATAACATTTCCGTTTGTATTAAAACTTTGATATACAATTGTGAAGCATTGACCAGGTAATTTTATCGAATTTTTGTTCTCAAATCAGTCGACCATTAATGTTTTTTTTTATAGAAACTTTACCGGACCACAACGAACATTGGACATCAGAGAAACTAGTGTTAAGAATCTATCTCCACATATTGAAATCGATGAAGATAGCCATTCCAAGTATGATTATTCCATAGTTTTGATTAACTATCGTTAATTCAAAAATTTTTGTTATTTACAACAGATACAATGCAGAAACTTATTATCCACCACGTCATAATCGTGTAGAATTAGATGATGGTGAACTTTGTCGTCTTGAATTTCGAAAACCTCGTGATCTACTTTTGAAGATTGTATCGGAATTTCTAACCAAAAGTACAACTAGATTTGCTGAACTTAGTAAAAAGATTGCTGAAATTCATCAGAAAAATTCTAGCTATGAATTATTAGATGTTAAATGTCATATTCGTTTGGCTGAAATTGCTCATAGTTTGCTCAAATTGGCCCCATACGATCCACAAACAATGGCTTGTAAAGGTTTAGTTCGTTATATGAATGAAATTCTACCAAATTCTGAATGGCGTCAAGAATCAATGCGTCCAGCATTGATTATGGTATTAAGGAGATTGGATAAAACATTTACGAAAATATCGAAAAAATCTGCAATAAAACGAACAACCGATTGGGAAGCAGCACGACGGCTATTAAAAGGTGTTTATTTAACATTCGCTAAACATCCTTATATTGTACATCTACCTCATCTTAAATCATTAATCAACGTTTGTCAAAACATTATTATCGGTGATCAAACTTCGTATTTTCTTTCGGAATCATCATCGGCTGTTTCATCGTGGACAACTGCATTGTCACAGGCACCACCACCAGGTAACGCTAGCGGTATATGATTCGATATACATCTCATGATCTCATGATGTGTATGATTTAATTTTTGACAGGATTTACTTCGGTAGCTGTTCGTTTAATATCACTTCAAATGATACAATTGGGCGATTCACAATCATTGGAAACAATTTGTAGTGGTGCATTTTCATCACCAGAAAAAAGTGAAATCTATCTAATGAATATGATATATCCAATGTGCATACGTACAACAAGTGGAATGAAAGATACACCAAAATTTCGTCTTTGTGATATTAATTTTGTTTTAAGTGTCATATTGAATATTTTGAAACCGGCAAATTCAAAACCAACAAAAGGAAGTGATTCATCACAAGTTGGTGCACAATTGAAACAATTTTCTCTTCAACAGATTGGTTTTTTAGGTTAGTGAAAACAGATTGTTGTTTGATTATTTTCATTTTTAATAAATCAATTTTTGTCTTTAGGATTGAAAATTTTAATCATTTGTTTTGAAAAACAATTAAACACCGAATGGTATCATATTGCCAAATGTATTCGTGATTTAGCCGACAAACCACATTTGATTGGTTCGACATTCTGGAATTTTATCGATTTCATTTCCACTTATCGCACGCCATTATTTGTATTGATGTTACCATATATTAAATGCAAATATTTACTCAAAAGTTGTGAGAATGGAATCGAAAAAGCATATCAATTAAGGATACAGGAAAAATTGAATGGAAGTGGATTACCATTCAATAGATCAAAAGGTAATCTTTATGTTTCATTAGTGAATGAAATGAAATCATTACGTGAAGATATTATTCGCCGTAAAAATAATCCCAATATTGATGAACGAAGTAAATCGATAGTACAGGAACAGAATAGTGCTAGTGATAAACAGGAAAACAGTGGCCATCGATTAAGTTTTGCATTCTCACAGCTAGCGGCAAGTGCCTCCAAATTATCCAATATTAGTTCAACGATACAACCAAATACAGCTGCAACAGTCGTTGGTCAACAACAACAACAACAACAATCACATGGATCACAACAATCTTCATATGGTGAACAATCACTGAATTCACCAACAACTTCAATCAAACCAAGAGTTTTACGTGGATTAAGTTTTCGATTGAGTTCTGATTCACGACGTTTAGCTCAACGAGGTTTAAGCGTTAAATTAGCTTCAAATCAATCGGATAAAAGGATGTTTGCTCGTCGTACCAGTTATCCTGATCATCCAGATGTTGATGAATGTGGTAAGTCAATCGATAATCAATACCAACATGACTGTAATAAAAAGATTTTCAATTTCAACAGGTGATTTCAAACATCCATCTGGTTCTGAACCAAAACTTTTTCGAAAAATGACATTAAGTTCTAGAGCAAGTAAAGCACATAAATCATCCATTTCTTCCAGTGGTGAAGCATTAACCGAGAATGTTCCACCTCCGAATTCAACATCATCATCAACAATGAATATGCCAATCCGTAAGGAAACGTCATTCACTTTGACAACAACCAATAAGGAAGAAATCAAACAACAACAACGACTACAGCGACAACAACAACAGCAACAGCAGCAACAACAAAAATCATCGACAAGAAAATCATTTCGTTTCAAAAATCGTAGCTCAATATCATCGGAAGAACATTCATCATCGACAACAAAATCGATAGAAAATTCTGTATCCGATTTACATAATAATGATTATAACACACAACAGATAACAAAACCAACATCAATATTAAAATCATCATTGAAATCATCATCATCATGTGATAATGAACAATCCAATATTCAACAACAACAACAACAATATCAACAATCGTTAACAAAATCATCATCGGCCGATCAAACATTACCGATTACAAAGATCAATTCGCTTGTTCTACAACAACAATACTCAATCAATAACTGTGATCATCATCATCATCATCCGCCTACTCTTCCATCAGCAACGATATTATCAATTCAAAATCAACAACAATCAAAAGGAAATATGGTACCAATTGTTGTTGGACAATTACCATTGAAAACATCAATGATTGAAATGAATAATAATCAAACTATAACATCATCATCATCATCACCGATGATGACATTGACAACTACAACAGCTACATTTTCTACATCAACAAACGCCACATCGATGACGATGATGATGTCGCCGATACGTACAACATCGGCAACACCAACCGGTAATAATAATCATCATCAATCATCAACAGCCACAATTGGTTCACAACAAATTATATCAACAATTGATAATAATCTGGATAATACACAAACGATGATGATGAACGCCACCATGACGACAAATGGTGGTCATACAAATCAATTGGCATCATCATCAACAACAACAACAACAACAACAACCACAACATCGACGACAACGGCAATACCGTTTGAAACATCAATACAGGCATCATTACCATTTGCTGATGAAGAAACTTGAATTTTTTTTTCTTCAATTAAATCAAACTAGTTACCCTTATTACCATCACAAGTTAAACTTGGTTTCAACAAAAAAAAAAACTAATGAGGAAATGAAGAAACTAAAAATCTCTGCTTCGAGGGGCTCGATTTGGTTTGGATATCAAACATACAAAACAAACAAAATCACATATAATAGTGAGATTCATTTCATTTTCAAAAAAAAAAATCGGATATTTATCATCATCATCATCATCATTATCATTAATCAAAACCAAAAAAAAAAAAGATTCTAGAATTTTTATTTTAATCAAATCTTACTTTTTTTTGAATTTCATCATCATCAAATTTTTGTTTTTTTGTTATCCACTTCTTGATCAACATTATATATCATCATCGATATCATGGTTATTTTTTTTTTTTTTTTTGCGTCACACCATATCGTGCGTGTGTGTGTGTGTGTGACAGCAATATTTTTTATTTTATCACAAATAATCATCACATATGAAGAAAAATATTCCGTTAAACATGATTGAAAACAAAATTCATGAAAATTTTACAAATGTTGGCCTTTTTTTATTTCCATCATCACCATCACATCATCATTGATCATTGATCATTGATCATTGATCAAACAACATTCAAATCAGATTATTGGAAAAAAAGGAAATGATGAAATCTAAGATCATCATCATCATCATTTATGAAAAAAAATTATTATTCAATATCAAACAATGATATATAAATTATAAATCCAAAATTATTATTATTATTATCATTATCATCATTATTGATGTTATCGATTATTATATTATTATTAATGTCCAAATTCAAATCAATTCTCGCTCTCATCTTTTTTTTTGTCTAACCATAATCATTATCATTATTAAATGATTCGTATTGAAAAAAATGGATATCGATTTCTTTTCACAGGCAAAAAAAAATTTATTTTGATCATGAAAATGAACCAACCTCAATAGTGGTATGTTTGAAACACACACAGTTATATTTGTCATGTTTTTTTTGAGCGCGAAAATTTTGATACAATTTTGTCATTGTCTTGATTTTTTTTCGAGACATTTATCAACTGGTAAATGTGTGTGTGTGTGTGTATGTAGAAGAAGCCACTCAACCGAGCAATCAATTTCAATCTCAAGCTGAGCCATGAAATGTTGTTGTGTGAAGCTGGTGGTGGTGGTGGTGGTGATATCGTATGTATTGAATTCTGGATCAATTTGCATGAATTGAATTGAAGAACAACAATTGTTCATGAACACAACAACAACAACAATAACGAGGTATATTCAATTTTTGAACCCATTTATTTCAATTCAATCTATTCATCCATTTAAAAAAAAAATGACAATGATTTTTTTTCCAATAAAAATGGTTACTTAAAAAGATTCATGTCAATCTGGGTTTTGATCCAAGTAAACAAAAAAAGAGAAAGAAAAAAATGGTCAAGTTCAATTTTTTTTCCACTAATAATCGTGGGTCCACTCTTTTATTCTGTATTTAGTGACCAAGTGTATATTGGGTACATACACACACACACACGATGGGACCAAATATAACAAGTAAACGTTGGCACTTGTTTGTTTGTCATCAATTATTATTATAGGGGTTTTTTTTTTTTTCTTTTGCCCGGGCCTAGAAAATCGATATATAATCAGCTTTTAAATATACAAAGTGAAAGTCTAAAAGAGAGAGAGAGAGAGAAAAAAAATGGGGTTTCAAATATATTTAGTCCGATTTTTTTTCGGTCACTCCCCTTTATGAAATTTTTTTTTCATCTGGTAAACGAAAAAAAATTTCCCTCATAACTTTCGCAACAAAAAAATGTTATGTATGTGTGTGTGTGTGCACGGAGATATTGAATCAAACACAGAAGTCATCATCATGATCATCATAGAAATGGTAAAAATGGAAACAAAAAATACAGAAACTTTGAAATAGTCAAGGAGAATATCTGAAAGAAATGAAAAATGCTTTAAAGCTTCAATTTTTAGATCTTAATGATGATGATGACCACCGCCGACACTATCATGATAATGGCCATCATCATCATCATCGTTGTTGATATCTATTACGCTACAAGGGCAGCCAACGAAAAAAAAAATCGACACGAGGTGTTTTTCTGTTCAGAACACCATCATCATCATCATCACGATGATGATGATCGTCGTCCTCATTGGATTTTTTTTTTCAATTTTGCAGTATCCAGAAAAGAAATATCGTTTCATTTTTTTAGTTGATTGGATTTTAGGTTCGTTCTCAAGATGATAATTATGATTGAGATGACGATATGAATTGATACACTTAGGTGATGATGAACAAAAAAAAAAGAAGAAACCGAATTTCTCATTTCAAAAACCATGTCGAATTTGATTTTGATATGAATTTTGGATAATGAAATTTATTCATTAGTACAGAAAAGATGATGATGATGATGATGATAAAATGTAGATTATTAATAATTTGAAAGTTGAATTTTTTTTTCAAATAAAATTAAATCGAATAATTTCATGTGTCCGTGTGTGTACATCTGTGTTTTTCATGATGAGATAATAAGATTTTGATTCATTGATTGTTACTATTTTTATGTTTATCACGAAAATATTATTATTATTACCAAACTATGAATCAATTGTTTTTGGCATGCATGTATATTGTATTATTTATGTTTATGGGTTATTTTATTGAAAAAAAAATTTGATGATGATGATTATGTCGAAAATTCTATTCAGTTATAAACCCAAAAACGAAAGAGAAACCGATTTTTTTTCTTTCTTTCTCTCTCTCTTTAAACATTCGAATTCAATTGTGTGTGTGTATTTGTGTTTAAATAGCCAAAAAAATTTTTTTTTTCGGGTCGAACATAAATCTCACAATTCACACACACACACACACATTGCAATTACATCAATGAATGAATGATGAGCCTTCTTCCTTTTACAAAACAAAACTATTGAATTGGTCAAGTTGAAAATCCGATTTTGACCACAACATTCACATAAAATTTTCATCATCATCATCATCACCCAAAAAAAAGAGAACAGAGAAAAAATATTTGATCATCTTGAATTGCCCATTATAAACGATCATCATCATTAGATTATGATGATGATGATTTTGGTCAAAATAGAAAATTACAAATCAAAACAGTAGATTTTTTTTTTGTTTGTCAGTCTCTCTTTTTCTCTATTATAATTATACGTATATACGTACCATCATCATCATCATCTCATTCATTTGGACAACTCTCATTCCCAATTTTCGGGGTCTTATAACTTTGAAAACATTCGAATTTAAAAGAATCGAATCGATGTTTGTGTATGTGTGTGTGTGTGTGTGTGTGTGTTTGTTTGTAATACAAGTTTTTGCCTTGGCTCACCATCACCACCACCACCACCACGATCATCACATCATCTCATCGACAAGAAGACTTGTAATCATTACAAACATTGATCAAAAGCAAAAGAAAAACTAGCTCTTCCCGCTTGAAAATTTTCATCTTCTATTCACCAATATTATGATGATGATTTGACCAAGAAACCATGAACGAAAATTTGGCCAAACCAATCGTATTCGTTTTTGAAAGATAATATTTAACATTCTTGATTTTCAAAGACTTCGGTTCTCTCTCTCTCTCTCTCTCTTGCTGTCGATTTTTTTCATCCATGCTTGTTGTTGTTGTTGTTGTTGCAAAATGTGTTATTTAAATTTTGCCCTCCTTTTTTTCTACTTCGATTCAATTTCATTCGGTCATTCGATTTTTTTTTTTGGCCAAATCTTGGTCCGTTGTGTCGATGTCGATCCATCTTCATTCATTCATGCTTTATTCGAGCTTGATTTTCTTTTTTTTCTTCTTTCTTCTCTTCTATCATCATCATCATCTTGATACTCTCCACTCATCGTCCATTCATTGTCGATGATCATCATCCTCATCATTCGGGTTGGTTTGATTTGGTTCACTTTAGTTTTCTTTATATTAGTTTCTTGTTGTTGTTGACTTACAACTTCAATTCAATGGCCTTATGATGAAGATGATCAACATTTGATGGAGATGATAATGGTACCACTATGTTTTTTTTTCTCCGAAAAAAAATTGATGGTGGTGATGGTGGTGGTGGTAGCAGATAAAAATGGTAATGGTGGTTGTTTGGACGATAGAGGGAGGGTGGGTCAAATTAAGGGGAAAATAAAAGAGAATGTCCTCCCGCTTCTTTTGAACAAACACACAAAGCAGGTCGGTTTTTTCGGTTCAAATTCAAAAATTTTTTTTTTTTCGGTCGACGTTCTATTTTGAATTGATTTTTTCTTTCTTTCCACCTCTCCTTTCGTTATTGTGGTGTTTGTATGGTCTTCGTCGTCGTCGTCGTCGTCATCGAAGCTGGTGTTTTTTGTGTATTGGCCACAAGTGCACATTATTTTACATTGATCGTCGTCGTCGTCGTCGTCGTCATTTTTTTCTGGTTTTGTTGTTGTTGTTGTTGTTGTATATACCCTCCGCCGCCATTAACAATTTTTCGTAGTTGAATCCACTTGTTGTGCTTGTGTGTGTGTGTGCGTGTAATTTTTTTTTTACCAAAAACAACAATATTCGGTCACACATACACACACACACACCGAGACAGAGGGAAATATACAAATCTTGTCACGAAAAGAAGAAAAGTCGACTTTAGTCGTCAACTTTTTTTTTTTGATTGTCGTCGTCTTGGTCTACTAGATTTACTGTTCTGTGTCTGTGTCTGTGTGTGTGTCAATGATAATCAATAATTTTTCATTTTTTGCCAAAAAAATCAATTAACAACTGAATGACAAAAAAAAACAAAAATCAAATTAGTGGAAAATTTGTCATTTGTCGTCGATCATTTTTTTTTCTTCTTCATTTGTTGCCAGTTATCGGTTATTACCACATACGCACACACGGGTATTTTTTCTTCTCCATGATGGATGGAATTATGAATGAATTTCTTATTTAAATCATCATCAATTGTGTTCAAGTGTTGATGGAGTGAATTTTTTTTTTTTTGTTGAAATAAATCAAATCCAACTGAAAAAAATATAATTAAAAGAAATGGCCACCGATCTAAGTGATGTTATTAAACAAGGTTATATGCGTTGCAAAAGTCGTTCACTTGGTTTATGGCAAAAACGTTGGATCATATTACGTCGGTCATCGAATAAAGGTCCATGTCGTCTAGAAAAATATCTAAATGAATATTCGGCACGTAATTTAGATCAACATAAAGTTCAATTACTTACCAATGTTATTTCTATTGATCGATTATCAAATTCCAATAAACGTCATGCATTTGAAATTGATTTTAATGATGGTTCAGCCAAATATTTTGCCTGTGACTCTGGTAAGTTGAATAATTTTTTTTTTTTTGGTTTTTGTTTTTGTTTTCATCATTTTAAATGTGAAAAAAAATTTGAATTCAATTTTTTATAGATCTCGAAGCTGATCAATGGGTAAAATTAATGATACAGGAATGTTTCTTACCGGATTCCGGTATTTTAAATGGTGAACCAGATGTACTTAAACCGGGCATACAAAAAGAATTACAGGAACAATTCAAAGTTTATCTAATGCCAAGTTCAAAATTAGATATATTTGGTGAATGTTTCCTACAGGTAACACATGAAAATATCTACCTTTGGGATTGTGTAAATACTAAACAAAAATTATGTGCATGGCCATTGACCGCTCTTCGTCGTTATGGTAATATTTTTTTTTCATTTATTGACCTCACCCGATATTCAATTTTGTCATTTCTTTTGTTTTCAATAATAAGGTTCTGATTTAACAAAATTTACATTTGAAGCTGGACGCCATTGTGCCACTGGTGAAGGAATGTTTATATTTCATACATTGGAAGGTGAAAAAATTTATCGTAAAGTTCATCAAGCAACCTTGACCATTGCTGAAGCACATCAACGAATGAAAAAACAACAGACGGTATCAGTTTCCGTTTCATCCAAAAAACATTCGAATAATGATAATGATCAAACAATGAATACTAGTCTTTCAACAACATATGGAAGTAAAAATGATGATGATATGGATTCAACATCATCTGCATCATTATCGTTTGATGATTTTGATTATAGCCAAAATCGGCAAAAATTAAATAATAATAATAATTCAGAAATTGATGAACAACAACAACAACAACGAATAAATATTGATGGTAATAATTGGTATCATTCAGATAATGATTCTACACATTCATCATCGACGTCACAAAGTCAATTATATCAACATGGACGTCATCGTCATCGTCATCATCATCATCATAATCATACAAATATGGCCATGGGTCTTGAAGTTTAAAATTATTATCATTATAGCGTTGTAGATGATATTTTGTGATATAGATTTTCTTGATGATGTAGCACGAAATAAATACAATAATCGAGTCATTTCATTTCATACATAAAAAAAATCAATTTTTTACCTGTAAGAAAAAAAAATACAGACAAATGTAAATTTTTTTTTCGAAAAAAAAAACATAAATCCACCCACCTACACATTGAATTTTTTTTCCTCTTCTCCTTTATCATCATTTTTCATTTGAAATGTGTACAGATAACAGTTATCATCATCCACCATCGTCGCCGAAACATCAATTTTATATGTTGTGCCATTTTTTTTAAAAATACCGTCTTGTTCGTTACTTTCTCTTTTTCGTGACACATATGTCGTACAAACAATTTTTTGTATTATATAAGGATGATGATATTTTTTTTTTTTTTTGAAAAATAAAATTTGAAAATTGAAATTGAAAATTTCGAAAAACTTCGACAAGATTCATTGAATTTCGAATCTTTTTTTGAAAGCTTCGATCAGCGGTGGATGGATGTCGCCACCGTTCAATTTATTTGTGGTTATGCCATAAATTCAGATTGAGCTCACTCAATGTTTTTTTTATGCAATTCATATTTTTTGTTTTCTGTCTTGTTTTGTTTTGGATGATGAGTCAAAATTATCTTTGATCATCATTTATTTTTGATTGATTGATTGATTGATTGATAGAATCCTTTTTATTTCACAATCATTCTGATCAACCTTGACAACAACGATCTCTCTTTCTCTCTCTCTATATATATATAGATTTTCATTCAAAACAAATCATCAAATCAATTCAATCGTAGCGAAAATTTTTTCATTTATCAGAAATAAACGAGACACATAATAATATTGTTATTGTTGTTCGGGTGTTTCCGTGTTTGATATTTCAAGTTTTTTTTTGGCAATTTTTTTTTTGTTTTGGTTTTTTTTTCATCAATCATTCACCACCATTTCAACATCGTCATAATCATACTGTTTGTTACGAAAAAAACAATATTAAATAATGGGAAATTGGTGTTGCTGTTTTAATAAACCTGATTGTGATAATGATGAAACACAGGGTATCCTGGATCATCCAATCGGCATCAATGATGGTATGATTTGTTTGTTTTTTTATTTATTATTTTGTAATTGAATTTTTTTGTTTTGTTTTTTTAATCAAACGATTAGGTGATTCTCATTATGGTTCAACAATGGTAAACAATAATCATAATGTAAATCAATCATATCAAAATCAAAATATTCCCAATCAAATAAATGGTTCGAATGCTAAACAACAACAGACGGAAAACCAACAGAATCAATTATATCAAAATGTTTTGGATCGTCTTACATCCAGAGTGATTGATATAGCTGCTATTGAAAAAAGTTGTGAACAAGCCGATCTTACTGATCGTGAACAAACATATAGAGATAAATTGATGGCCATACGTCGTCATGTTACGTTGCCATCGAATTCGACAACATTGATTACAGGTAGTAAAAAAAAATATGTTATTCATAGTGATTTACTAATTAATTTTTCGAAAATACAAATTAGGCGGCGATTATCCACATAAAAACAAAGATCCTATGCCAATGGATGATTATAAATTAATCACCGAATTAGCACTGAATTTGAATGCAGCCATTTTGGATGGCTTCAAAATTCAATGTGACGAACCATTTGTTGTTAATTTTGATGCCTGAAAACAAAAAAAAATCAAATCTGGTGATACATCAATTAATCATAAGTTATTTTTTTCGAAACAAACAAAATCATCGCGATTTCATGCTCTGTCAAATTATTAGTTTCCATATATATATATTCAACTAATAGTTTTCCATTGGAATTACATTTAACGGTTTTATTTCATACCGTTGTATTGTATCACTGTACATATTGATCATTTATTTCATATTGTTTCTTTAATTCAATTATATTTTGTATTATCGATAAAATTTTTATTTAAAATTTTATGAAAAAAAAACATTTAAAAAATTCTGAAACAAAATCCACCGTTAAAATTATTTTCCAGTTTGTGTTAAAATAGCCACAACTCAGCGGCTGTAAACAAATTGAAAAATTTTGTAACAAATTTTTTTTCGACATTCCATAATTATGGATGATCAACAAAAACCAGGACCTTCGGGTCAGAAATCTGGAATGCCAGGAAATTTCGACGATATCCTTCGTTATTTTAATATTGTTCGTGATGATCACGATGAATCTGAAATAGACGAAAAACCATTCGATGATCAATGGGAAAACGATGGATCTGGATTTTTATTCGAACCAAATGATGATTTTAATTTTAATTTTAATAGACCAGAATTCGATGCAAATGATGTTGCAGAAATTGATCGATTACTTGCCAATTATATGGATAATTCTGGTCTAAATGATGATGAAATAGAACTTCAAGAACATGAAATATTTGTGAATCCCAATTTGTACAAACTCAAATTTAATGTATGTATCCAAATAAAAGAGAAAATTTTGAATTCATTTATGGTTTTTTTTCTTTCATTAAATAACAGGAAAAGAAAATGTTTCGATTATTTCGAGAAAATATGCTCTACGATCCAATGGATGATATAATTGAAAAAATCGAATCAAAAAAACGTAAACATTTGACCACCGAAGATGATAGTTGTTGTTCTGATTCCGATAATGATGATGGCGATGCTCATTCTAATTCAATAATTGGTGGTGAATGTACATCCGAAATTAGTTTATATTCGGATGATGATGATAACAATGATTCAACTTATAGAAGAAAAAAACACAAAACAACTGAACGTCTTGGCGGAACAACACCATTGGAACAAGGCAGCATTGACGCACCATTGCCATCATCATCGAATACAATGGCTATTAGCCCAAAAAAAGAAGATTCAATCGAACCACAGCCAATATGTCGTAAACTAAGGCGACCAACATTACGAAAAGATTATCTTTCATCATTACCACGTCATGGAAATGTATTCAATTTAATTCGATATTCATGTACATCACGTATTGCACAAGATTTTCTTAAAACATCCGAAGGTCGACAACAGGTATTAGATGCAATACAAAATTGTCGTAATATATCCACTATGATCATACCAGAAGAAGAGACGGCAAAACCTAGTAAAGTTTTACTCATTTCACAGCAAAATTTTAAAAAATCTAAAAGTGCTAATCATAAGTTTCGAAATTCTGGCTGGCATCGACAATTGAATCAAGGTGTTAAAATGGAATCATTGTAAGTATCAATTATCATGTTCAAATTTGTTTTAAATTCGAATCTATTTATTACAGTCTATTCCAGACGAATTTTCGATTTCTGAAGAAAAATCTAAATCAATCATGGTTCATCGAAGAAGACAAACCAATCGAAAAGAATACGGCTCCGATTAATTTCATCAATGATCATGGTTGTTTTAAAACCATTCCAATTGAATTATCTATTCTTTGTGATCGCAACGAACGACAGCGGAAAGAACTAAAGAATGAAATCGCTAAACATTCGATTAAAATCGAACTAAAAGATCTATCTAAACAACGTTCAAATTTTGAAGAATCCAAAGCAAAATTATTGAAAAAATTACATGAACCACATTCGGATATGGTTGAAAAAATTGAAACATCGATCATATTGGATGAGAATTGGTTACGAAATCAACAAATGGTCGTTTTAAAACCGAAACCATTATCGACGAAATCAATATCAACAGATGCCATTGATATTGATGAATTTAGAACAATGCGTATTAAGGAGCTCAATGATTCTGTAAATAAGATATCTGGCGATGATCTATGGAAGAATTTCATTGAATTAGATCGAAAATGTAAAAAAATGCATGGAGAATCACGACCCAATGATCCATATAATTATTTTCAAATGTCCAAAAATTTTCATTACATATCATCTGATTCAATTTGTATGCCAATCGTTAAACGTATAAAACCTGATATATTCGATGATGCAGATGATCTTAAACACTTATGGATACGAATGAAATCATCAAAAGAATTTCCATCTGAACATTTTCTTCGTCAAACGGAAAAATTAATTCATGGTCGAACACAAATGTTACGATTAGAATCATCATCACAAAGACCAGATTATATACAGATGCATGGTATGGCAGCTGTACTTGAATCAATGGCCGATAATCAACTACCGTTTAGTCCATTTTTTTCCATAAATCAACAATAGGAAATCTACAATTGGTTATTGTTTCTGTCAATAGATGGTAGTACCTGTTTTGACAATTTTAACTTTTTTTTAAAATCATCATCATCATCACTGAACATTAATTGCTGGTGTTTAAAAAAAATTGTCCGATTGTCAAAAATTCAATTTTCTATATATATAGATAGATATTTATAAATAATAAATAAAATGAAAGATAATGTAGATGGACGTGTCTCATTGTGTGTGTGTCAGTATGTGTGTGTGTGTCAATGCTAATAAAATCTAAATTTTTTCAATTATGATGATGATGATAATACTGGTAAATTTTTCGTCTTTCTTTTGGTTTCTCTAACAGGTGTCATGATGTTGTAATTTTGTTTGTTTTGTTTGTTTTGGAATCAGAATTTTTTTTTGTATATTCGTCTAGTTTGTTATGTTAAACGTGTGCGTGTATGAAGAAAAAAAAACACAAATATATATGATAATCATGTAGAAAAATTGAAATGAATATCAATGTCATAATCATCTGTGTATAATTAATGAATTGAATATAAAGGAAAAAAAATCCATCCAATCAATCAATGAATCATAAATTGGAAAAAAAAAATTGATTTGATTTGGATTTAGCGATCAGAAAAAAAACAACAATAACGTTAACAACAGCGAAAAAAAAATTCATCGGCAGTGAATTTACTTGGTTATTACACACTCAAAAAAAAAAAAAAAATGTAAAATTTTTCCATCCTCAAAATGAAAATGATGTAAATCAATGTATCAAATAGATTGGATGTAAATATGCATATATATATATTCTATCTATCAATATGGAAATAAATTCAAAAAAAATGGAAAAGGAAAGAAAATGCAGTGTGTGTGGGTGTGTTATTTGTCAAAAAGGAAATCACCACTTACACAGAGCTAAATAATGAATGAAATATGATCAATTTGGATGAAAAAAAAACAAATTTGCAAAAGAAAAAACAACAATAAACAATGTGTCTGTGTGTGTGTATATTGTATATAGAATCAAAAATTAGCCATTGGAAAAAAGGGGTGTGAAGAAGTGTGTGTATCCAATGTGATTCTTTTTAGTATTTTTGTATATTGTAAAGTGAATGAAAACGAAGAAGGAGGTAATATCTGAGAAGAAGAAGAAGAAGGAAATGGAATTCAATAATAATAATAATAATAATAATGATAACAAACCATGAAACAAACAAGGATGAGAAAAAAAATTATTATGTTACAAAATGATGAGTGGGGAAAAAAAATTTCAAACGAATCAATCAATCAATCAATCAAACACCCACACACACACACACGACACACACATACTCGAACTCACACAAACATATACAATATAATATATAAAAAATTTAACAAAAAAAAAAAAATTGGAAAGAGAGCGAGATGGAGCCAAGAAAAAAAAACAGAAAGCGGAAGTGATTTGATGAGATGGTGATGATAATGGACCTTGATTTGATGATAATAATAATAATTAATATAATAACAATGATAATTAATAAATGAATGGAAGTGGGTGTGTGTGTGTGTGTTTGTATGTGTTTGTATATGGTTAACAATCATTATCCTCTAATTTGATTCTCATGGCTGTTGTTTGACCATTGACATTGGTCGATGATAATGATGATGATGATGCAGATGATGATGTAGTACCATCAATCATTGTAATCTGTTCAAATGGTTCAGTTTTAATAATTGTTTGTGTTGTAGTTGCCGGTTGTATTTGTACTTGTGATGATGTTGTTGCATTTGCTGTTTGTATAATATTATTCGATGTAATTATCGGCTGCTGCTGTTGTTGTTGATGTGTTGTTGATGGTATGGTAGTAGTATTAGCAGTAGTAGTATTATTTGATATCATCATTGTATCATTATCATTATTATTCATTGGTTGTTGTTGTTGCTGCTGCTGCTGAGAGAATGATGACATTTTTGGTATATCAAATATCTCGGCAAACAATGGAGGTAGTTTAAGTCTGGACCAATTTGTACGAAACCATTGTAAATGTAATGAATGGCTTGAACCAAGTGCACGTAATTCATTGATTTTCATCCACAATTTCTGGAATGTTGTCTGTAGACCTTCATTTTCTCTATGTTTATTGATTTGAAATTTTAATGCTGCAATTATTGTCTCTTGTATCTTATTGATGGCTTTTACATCATATATTTGTGGTCGATCTGTGAAAGTTTTACCAAAGGGATGTTAAAAATGAAATTTTTTTTCTCTCTCACATTAGAAATTATTTACCTGATTGTAGAATAATAATGGCAGAAAATAATGCCACCTCTTCATCGGTCAAATTAAGACTATTCAATCCGGACATTAAATGAAATAGATTACCAACAAATTCATGCTGATTGTGAATGGAAAAAAAAGAATTTAATTATTGCAATCATCAGTGAATCACTAATCTTACATTGAACATTAATTCCAATTGTCGTCGGCTAAGGAATGATCCATCGGCAAACGTTAGAGTATTTTCAATGAAATCAATAGTTTTCGATATATGTACAAGCCAAACTTCGAAAAAACCCAATTTAATTAGAATCAATTGATCATCTTGTGTTAGGTCGGAAAATCCGGGTATTCGTTTGGCAAATTCAACCACACGTTGTATGCATGGCGTAATCAATAATGCTAAATGTTCCCATAGTTCAATTTTTTGTGCCTCTAAACTTTCCGATACGGAACCAATATCCGGTGATGAACAGGTTTCTGTTTCATGTTTCAATTGATTTGAAAGCTATAATTAATGAAAATGAAAATGAAATCAATCAATTAAATTGATAATTATTATCAATTGATTAGTTGTTATTACAAGATATATTGGTTTCTTATTGATTCCTTTAATCTTTTCATTTGTATATGAGCAATTATCATGATGAGCTTGTGATATGGTCAATGCAATCTCATAACAAGCTAAATCTTTTGATTCATTATCACCATTCGATGATTGATCGGCTTCTGCTTGTGTAACACGTTTATTTTCATCCATACGTTCTTTTTCTTTGGATTTTTTCGGCACACGTCCATAACGAACAGCTAAACAAATAATAATGAGATGAAACAATGGTGATTTGAAATTTTTTTTTTTTAAATAAAACTTACAATCTCTTGACATTCCAACGGCCAAACATTTTTTAAATCGACAATATTGGCAACGATTACGATTCAAACGTATTATTAAACATTTTCCATCACGTAAACAACGATATTCAATCTGTTTCTGTATTGATCGTCGAAAAAAACCCTATTGGATAAGAAAATTTGAATTAAGTTCCGTTTAAAAAAACAAGGATTTAAAATTTGTCTTTTTCAAAAACAACAACAACAACAACAACAACAACTCATTATCTCTTGAGTGTTTGGGTCATTTTTAATTAATTTTAAATTATATCATAAACAGAAAAAAAGGTAAAGGTAAAGAGAGAAGCAAATATGCCATTATGATAATGATAATTTTGTTATGAAAAACAAAAAATAAACAAAAAAAATTAAATTGTACACATAATTATTATATATTTATCCACATTTCATATATAATTATTATGTTGTCGCCATCTATCTATCTATGAAATTATCTTTGAATGAATCAACAACAACAACAACAACAACGAAAAATGATGATGATGATGATTAAAAAAAAGGCTATCATACTTTGAAATGAAAAAAAAATCTAATTCCGGAAATGTTTTTTTTTTTTTTTTGATGATAATTTGGATCTGGAATCGGAAACAGAAAAACAAACACACTCTAATGATTAAAGATGTGCGCAAAAAAGAACTTAATTGATCTTGGTCAATTTTTTTTTTGGTTTTGATCTTGATTACCACTACCACTACCACTACAACCAGCACCACGAAACTATAGGACTGATAACAAATGTTTTGATAAAAAAAAAAAAAAAAAACCTGTTGCATTTCCTTGTTTTTTTTTCGTTCGCTCTCTCTCTCCCTCGCATTCTCTTCCTATCAATTTCTATTTTATATGAAAAATTGAATGAAACAAACGAGATTTCATTATTATATCATCATCATCATCATCAACAATAACAATGACAAATAATTGCAATTGTTTTTTATTTCGGATCCAAATGATTTTTTTTTTCTTTTTGGATTGTTATATAATATACGCGTGTGTGTGTGTGTGTGTGTGTTTGAAAAGTCAAATTATTCATAATACACAATGATGATGATGATGATGATGATGAGAATTATGATTCAAAAGTTCAAGTTATATTTTATTGTTGAAAAGAGAAATGATTTGAAATTACAATTACAGGGATTGTGACAAACAACCACCACCTTCATGATCCACCCGGTAATCTACCGATTTTTGTTTTGTTTTGTTTTGTTTTCATTTTTGCCCGCCATTCGGTATTTTCACTGTTAAAATGTTTTTGGAAAAAAAAAATGAAAATGAAAATTCGTTTTTTTTTCCTGCCTCCCTCTCTCATTCATTTATTCACATTTTTGTGTTTTGTTTCATTTATGAATTGAAATGAAAGTTATACAGTGAAGAAAGAAAGAAAGAAAAAAAATCCGGAAGTGCATTCATCATCATAATCATTGGTAACAATGAAAAAAACACACACGCACATACACAGGTTCCAATTGGAACGAAAAAAAAAGTCATACATAAGAAGAAAGAGAAAAAAACAAGTTTTTTTCTCCACAACACAGGAACAATATCAACAGGTTGATGATCGTCGTTATGTGACCTTAATAGTGAAAATTGTTGAATTGTCGTGTTTGCTAACGAAAAAAAAATCTTCTATCAAGATCCTGAAAATTTTTTCTTCCGTTCATTACTTTCTCTCTACATATATAACAATAATCACTATTATCGGATTCAACATGCGAATGAATCATCGTGGCATTCATATAGAACGTATCATCATCATTTAAAGATTATATCAGACATAAATTTATCTTGATTTTTCAAATTTTTTTTTTGCGCTTAAAAATTTGAATCGATCCATTCAAAAACCAAATTTCATATTTTATAAAATACTGTATAATTGTTTTGTTTTGTTGTTCCTTATTTGTTTAACTGGCGGAAATATTCTTTTGGAACATAAAAAAAACAAAACTAACCGGAAATCGATCATATGGATCGATTTTCTATTTTGTAAATAATAATTTTTTTTAAAAAAACTTACTTTACATCCTTCACAGCTGGTTACACCATAATGATAACCCGAAGCTTTATCGCCACAAACTTTACATGGTACAAATGCTTTTGAACTAGGATTTCCGCTATTCGAATCTGCATCGGTAAATTGTTGTTGTGGTTGTTGTTGTTGATGACCATTTCCGGTAGTAGTAGATGATTGTGCCGTTGATGTTGCAGTGGTTGTTGGTACACCTGTTGTTATTGATGTTGTTGTTGTTGCCGCTGTTGTCGTATTATTTCCATTTGTAGAATCACCATTTGTAGAGATTACTGATTGATTACCGGCACCTGTTATTACAGAAAAAAACAATTAAATTTTTTTTTTATAAAAACAATCAGAATAAAAAACTTTAAAAAACCAAAAAAATTAATTATCCTTTTTTTTAATCAATTTACATTTGATTATTATCATCATCATCATCATCATTATCATTAACTATCCATTATAATTATTATATTTAAATGATGATTATGAAATCATTTGATTGAAACGGACGGAAAAATAAAATTAAAAAAATGGCGGAAATACCATTGAATATAGAAGAAAATTTTTTTTTTTTTTTTTGAGAAAAAAAATGATAAAAAAGAAAGGAAATGCATCAACAACAACAACAACGATGATGGCGACGATAATGATAATTTGGATGAAAATGATTAAAAAAGGGATAGAGAGAGAGAGATACGATGGGCACCGTCGACGACGACGACGATGACGCCCATAGGCGCAATCCCGAAATTTTTTTTTTTGCATAGAAATCGCATGCGTGAATCGAATTCATCGAACGTGTCTTTGTATTTTATTTTTTTTTTTCTGGGAAACTTGATCTCAATCTTTGTTCCATGATGACGATGATGATGAAAATTTTGGTCCCAGGAATAAACGTCATTAACCGGGAAGAAAAATTCCGAATATTTTGGAATCGAATATTATTGAATCGTTCGTTTTTTTAACAATTTCATTATTTTCGTCATCATCATGGCATTTCATTTTTTTTTTTTCACAAACATGATCGACATTCATCGTGTGCATGAGCAACGTATTAGCTCTCTCTCTCTCTTTTCACTGATGATCAATTGTCGATGTTATGTTATCAACCCGGAAGTGTTTTGGATCCACTTGAAAACGGGAGGAAAAAAAACTTTTAGTTCATTTCTTTGGCTTTTCCAAAGAAAATAAAAACATTGTTGTTGTTCCAAAAGAGTTTGTTGTTTCTTCTTCTTCTTTTTTTGCAAAAAAGATTTTGGCTATATACACAAATACACACACACACACACAAATGATCCATTGTGTCATTGCCGGGTAATTTTTTTTTCTTCATCATCGTCGTTTTATTCTCTTTTGAAAACACAAGCATACACACACATCATTATTATTTTCATTGTAAAAGGAATGAAATGGAAAAATAATTTATCAACATAACAATCACGGGCTATGATGACCAAAAGTTGGATGTGGATGTGGATGATGATGATGATAATGATACACACTAATGTATACACGAAAAAGAAAAATTGAATTTTTCACTAGACTAGATATTTAGGTGTGTGTGTGTTTGTTTTTTTTTGTATGCCAATCGGTTTGGTCAGATTGATGGTCACAATGTTCATGAAATTGAATTTTTTTTTATACATGTTCATTATTCAATTTCATTTTTTTTTTATCAAAAAAATTTTTTTTTTTTTTTTTTGGAAAAGTAAGATTAATTTTTAGCACATTCGAAATCGATAGTTTCATCATATACAATCGATTGTTCTTATTGTTTTTTTTGTTTTTTCATTTAAAAATGCATTTGTTATTGGACCTATATTATTTTTGGGCCAGGTAAGTGTCTACTATAGAATGAACTATGAACCCATGAGATGAGAATAATAATACTCATCATTTTTTTTTACTCGATAAAAACAGAAGCAAATGTGTTGGTGGCAATGAAAAAGCAGAAAAAAAAATTGTCAAACCACCCCACTATATATATACAATTTTGACCGAAACGAAATGAAATTCGATCGACAAACAAAAAAACAAACAAAAAAATCCAAAGACGACCACGAGGTCGACCTTTCCAACCAATTCAGACTAAATTCAGATCCAATTTATTATAGCATACATTGCAACGAAAAAAAAAAACAGGAATGGAAAACACCAATGGACCATCATTGCAAAGGTCCATCACCACTATCAACCAACGATAAAAGCAACAACAACAAACCAAATGGAACCAACCACATCAGCCAAAGAAAGAAAGAAATGCCAAGGCCAAACAACAACAACAACAACAAGTAAAACATAGACAAAACAATAATAAAAATTCGATAAAGACGTGTGTGTGTATGGTCAAAGATGATGGTGATCAACTGAAAAAAAAAAAAAAATATATGCAAAGACCCCTCGAACCCGAAAAAGAGAGAAAGAGAAAAAGAAAAAAAGGCGAACGACCTTTTTGGGATAAAATATTTTCGCGCATACACAACAAAAACAACAACAGCAGATTTTACCAAATCAAATCAAAAAAAATATAAGAATGAACAGAACATTGAAATTTTTTTCTTCTTCTTCGTCTTCACCATCTTCAACGTCGTCGTCTTCGCTGTGTGTGTGTTTGTAAACATACAACAGGCGCACACACACACACACACACACAGACATATTTGGATTTCATTCTTGGCCATCGCTCTTTATTATTATTATCCAGTGAACGGGCATTGACATTTTTTTTTCGTATACATCAGCAAAAAAAAAATATGAAGCCCCAAGACCAAAGAAATGGACAACAACAACAACGAGAAAAAAAAATGAGTTTTTGACAGCTCAAAAGAAGCTCGATGTACGGTCTATTTTCTATTTACTCTCCATTTATTTGGTAGTGAACCTGACCTTTTCTTCTATGATGATGATGATTATGATGTTGTTGTTGATGGGGGGTGTGTGATTGTTGTTGTTGTTGTTGTTGTTGATGAGAATTATGATGATGTTGATGATGATGTGTTTGATGTATTTGATGATGATGTAAATTATGATGATTTGTTGCCGATGGTGATTTAACATTATGATGATGATATACAGTACTACATGGACTTAATACAGATGATTCAGCCATTTCACGTTTTATATCATATGTTGTTGGTGAACTAGATGTTGATGATGATGTTGATGATGATGATTGTGATGAATTTGTTGATGTTGTTGATTTTTTTGCCAATATACATGATCCATTTGATCTTGATGATGGTGGTGGTTGTTGTTGTTGTTGTTGTGGCCGTTGTGGTGAATGATGATGATGATGATGATGATAGCCATTTTGTTGTTGATGACCATGATATTGTTGTTGTTGTGGATGAGAATGATGATGATGATGAGGATGATGATGTGCATTGTTTGTATTTGTTGTTGTTGGTCCAACAATCGTACCATGATTAACATCGATTAATGATGATGGTGAATCCGGTATCGTTGTTGCATATAATGATGATGAACCAGGATTCTGTTGTTCATTTGAACCATTATTATTATGATAATTTCCACCGCCACCACCTACTTTTCCATCATTTTCCATATGATGATATTGCATTGAATGTTGGTGATGATGATGATGATGATGGGCGTGTGGATGACTGGCGTGATGATGAGAATTCTTATTCAAATGGTTATGATGCTGATGATGATGATGGTGATGAGGATGATGAGGATCCATCGTAAAGGGTTGTTGTTGATCATTATTGTTGCTACAATTACTACTAGTACTGCTACTACTACTATCTAGATTATAATAACCATTTCCGCTTCCAGTGCCAGCACCATTTATGATTGTATCATCAGCAAATAAATCTACAGCAGAATTTGTTGTATTGGCCATTAATTTATCATTACCGGTTGTTGTATGTGCAACAATCACTGAAGTAGGAGCGGAAACAGAATTATCTGTTGATGATAATAATGTTGTAGTAGTATATCCGGAATCATTGTTATTATTATTATTAGTAGTAGTAGTAGTGGATCCATTACGATAAGATGATGATCCATTTGTAGTAGCAGTAGTTGTGGAAGAATTATTATTAGATCCAGATGATCCATTCGATGTTACATATGGATTCATTGAATGTAATGGACTATTAAGAAATCCATTATTCGAATGATCCGCAACAGTGCCACCAACACTACCGGTTGATGATACAGCAATCGCTGTTGCAACCGATGTTGATGATGTTGAACCTGTAACAACACCACCAACACCACCACCACCGCCACCCATACATGATGATGTTGAACTAATCACCGGTAATGGAGATAGAATATTTGGACAATGTTTGTCCAATGTATAATAATCCATTGATGTCATTTATAAAAAAAAAAATTTTTGATGATAATGTTGGAATCAATTAGAATAAATTATCATTTAAAAACCGGAACAAAAAACATATTTTGTTGATTGTTTTTGAAACAGTAAAAACTAGGAAAAATACACACCCACAATAATCACATGTACGGTTTAACCAAAACAAACAATAAAAACAATTTTGATTTTAAAAATCAAAACACACACACACGATGTTTATGATTTAAAATGATTTGAATGAAAATGAAACAACACCACCACCACCACAACCATCATCATTCTAATCCATTCCATTCTATCATTATCATTGGATTGTTCATTGATATCGAATATGTGAAAAAAAAAAAAAAACCAGCAACAGGTAAATAAACAGTGTTTTTCATTCGAAACAAGAAACAGCTACATGAATACGAACATTGTAACTTTCATATATATATGGATGAAGACCACAAAGATGAAAACTATGAAGAAAACGACGACGACCACCACCACCACCAATGCAGTCAATAATAATAATAACAACAACAACAACAACAACCATCAACCATCAACCATGATCATGATGTGGATGATGATGATGACGACCACGGAACGAAAAAAAAACGACAACAACAAAAATTTAAAAAAAAAATCAAATAAAAACCGAATGGCCACCGATTGATATTATCAAGGCAAGGCTTTTTTTTTGAAGGTTTTTGAACCGCCTCCTCTTTCTCTTTTTTTTTTGGTCTCAAATTTTATAACACAACAAATAACTGGATTCACCAAAAAAAAAAAAAAAATTCAATCACAACACACATACACACACGCAAAGCTAGCGCAACATGGTCTCGAAACAAACCAAAAACAAAACACCAATAGCTTGCTGAATAGTCTCGTTCTCTCTTCGTCTGTCTCTCTCTCTCATATATTCGTGAATCAAATCGAATCATTTTTTTTTGTTGTTTGTTTGTTTCATTTTCCAGTTGTAGTTCGTTCACCGCTGTATAGCTGTTGCTATTGCTGCTGCTGCTGCTGATGTTGCTGCCATGCTTGAAAATTGCTTTTTTTCTGTTTTTCTCTTGATTTCATTCATTCATTCATTCATTCATTCATTGACGAGCTTGAATTTTATTTTTTTTCGGGTTATAAAAATTATGATGATGATTAAACATCGATTGCAAGATCATCATCATCATCGTAGACAGTGGTAACAAACGAAAATTTTTTTTTCTTGATAAAAAAAAATCAACGAAAAGTCTCGTGTTGATATTAAGGATTTATCTTGTTTTGGGCTCTTTTTTGTTGTTGCTGGAGCCCAAGAACACACACACACAACATCGGTAATAGTTTTATCATTTTTACATATAGACAAACAAGTGTGTGTGTGTGTGTATATGAATGAACAAATTTTTTTTTGTTTTCTCCATATTTCAGACATTTATTCGATGCGGAAGTACGATGATGATGATGATGATGGTTATGTGTTCGTTGTGGTAGGTTTTTTTTCATTATAGTAAAACTGCTTTCATTCATTTGATTCAAGTCGAGTTTTTTGTTTTGTTTTGTTTTACCATTCAGATGGGAGGCTTTTTGTCGTTTTTTGGCTTTATTTTACACGGCAGACGATTGATGAAACAACAACAACAACAAATAAATAAACAAACAAACAGACAGACATCAATGTTTGTCTGAAATTTTTCTTTTTTTTGTTACTTTTTTTCATCTCTTGCTCTTCTTTTTTTGTTCGAAATTGAAAATCTGATTCCGGTTTCGGTTTTTTTCACTTATAATTTTTTTCTTTTTTAAAAAATGTATGGAAGGGTTGAAACATTTTCAACACACAAAACACATTCGAACGTTCGATTTTTTTTTCTTTCGGTTTATATATGATATATAAAACAGGAAAAGAAAAATTCATAAATGACGTACCTTTTGGATCAATTGTTTTGGATCCGGAAGCCATTGCTGCTGTAACCGTTGATAATAATGTCATTGTTGCCGTTGCTATCGGTACATTTGTTGTTGTTGTTGTTGATGATGATGATGATTGTAAACATTTTTGTTGTTGTTGTTGTTGTTGTAATTGTTTTTCAATTGCAGATGAATTCTGTATAATTGTTGCCATTTGTGTAGATGGCAGTGGTGCTGATGTTGGTGGAAAAATTGCTTTCTTTATTGTTGTAATTGTATTTCCTGTCCGTATAAACTGTTGTTGTTGTTGCTGCTGCTGCTGTTGTTGAGATAATTCAGAAACGGATATTGATTGTTGCTGATGTTGTATGGATGGTTTTTCTTCAATTATAATCAATCGATGATGATGATGATGAGGATGATTACCGGTAGGTAATGTTTCTGTTGCTGCTGCTGTTGTTGTTGATCCATTTGAAATTGTTATCGGTGTTCGTATAATTGTTTGGCCACTATGTTGATGCTGTTGATGATGAATATTATGATTATGATGCGAAAGGACAACGGAATTTTTCGTTTGATGATCTTGATTTAGATTTTGTTCCCTCTGTTGTTGTTGTTGTTGTTGTTGTTGATGATGATGATGTTGAAATTGTTGTTGAGATTGTTGATCACCACTAATAATGGCCAATACATTTGATCCGACCATTTTACCAATATTTGCCAATGATAATGTTGATATTGGTAAACCACCAGCAGTGGTAAGAAATAATTTTTCATTAATCAATTGATACGTTTGATGATGTTGTGTTGGTTGTAGCGGTGGCATAGTTGTTGTTGCATTATTATTACATGTTAAACGAGCCAATGTTGTTGAATTATTATTATTATTATTATTTGATTTAATTTCAATCGGTATCGATGATATGTTTGTTGTTGATTGTTGTTGTTGTTGTTGTTCGATTGATGATAATTGTTGTTGATTTGTGTATGGTTGTTGTTGTTGTTGTTGCTGATGTTGTGATATTTCATGTGGATTTTGTATCAATGTTAATGTCTTGGTCATCATCGATGATTTTGTATCACGAAAAAATTGAATATCATCATCATCATCATCATCACTATCATTAAAATCACATGGATTATTCGCTATTGTTGTTCTTTTGGATCGTAATTGTTGTTGTTGATGTTGAGATAATGTTGTTGTTGTTGTTGTTGGTGTTGGTGATGTTTGTAATAATGGATGATCACCATCAAATGCTGCTGTTGTTGAACTAACCAATGGATCAGATGATGATGAATTAAGAAATGTTTGACCGGATGAAGAACCACCACCACCATCAACAACAACAACACCACCACTACCACCAACACCACCAACCATACATATTGTATGATTTGTAATCGATGATGGTGAAGTATTACTATTATCTTTCAATAATTGTAGCTCTAGATTATCAAGATAATCATCATCGTCATCATCATCATCAACAATAGTGGTTACAGGAAGAAGACCACCACCACCACCAACACTACCATTACCACTTGATGCAATGTTGTTATTTAACGTTGCTGTTGTTGTTGTTGTTGTCATTTGACAATGTTGTGACAATGTATCTAAATTAATACGATCAAAAAAATTTGGATCAAATGAAACATTTTGTAATAAAATTGTATCATTCAATGGCGATGATGATGATGATGATTCTAATATTAATGCTTTTTCCAGATCTACATTATCTGTAATAATCAATGGATCTGTTTGACCGGAATTGATGGACGATTGATTTGTCACTATTTCGGCTGCTATTGGCGTCGATGTCGATATAGATGTTGTTGACGTTGTTGACGTTGTCGTTGTCGCTGTTGTGGTGGTGGTGGTGGTGGCCGTCGATGTTGTCGTTATCATCATCATCATTGGATCGAATAATAATGATTCGATTAATGCTAATCCATTATTATTATTGCTACTATTATTGGCTGTAACATTATTTTCCGTTGTAATACTTGAAGTGGTCATTTTGTTTCAAATGATTAAAATTACAACACCGGCGTTGTATGTGAATAAATTTCAACGAAAATCAATCAATCAATCGATAATAGTAATGATTTAACATTTTTTTAAAATATCAAAACAAAACAACAACAACAACAACGGATGGATAACAAAGATCATATTCTTCATATTGAATTGCACAAAACTGGAACGAAAAACAATCAATTTTCAAAAAAAAAAAAAATTAACTCCATCACAGACTTAAATGATACCAACCTTTTAAATATCAATGATTCAATGTCAAAATTGATTGAATCAAATTGAATTCGTTGGCGTTGGCGATTCTAAATCACTGTAAATGCTTATGTGTGAATTTGCACAGAACATACACACAAACACACACACACACACACAAATGCCAAAGTCACATAATTTTTGTTGTTGTTGTTGTTTTTGTTGTTTTTATCGTATCTCTGAAGCCGAAGATGAAAAGAAAAAATTATTCTTCATTTGAAATAGAAAAAAAAATAATCGAAAATGAACCGTATAAAAAAAAATTCTACACACACATAGAGGCCATTCCTCTTTTTCAGTTTTTTTTTTCTTTGCTATTCCACATATTCTGTGTGAACCCCACCAACCATTTGACATCTATTTGCCATACTCCGTGTCCTAAATTCGTGAAAAAAAATTCATATATGTCTGTGCGTGTAAGTGTAATGGGCGATGTTGTTTTTGATGATGGTTGTTTCCATGGGAAACCCTCTAAAATAAAGAAAGTGAGTTAGAGAGTGAGAGACGAACAAAAAAAAAGACGAATGGGAGGAGGAAGTCGATAGACGATGTTGTTGATGATGATTCTTCTTTGGATAAATTCGTTCGATCATTCATTTTATCATTAAATATTACGGAAGAGAATTTGTTACTATCGAATAATCGTACAGCAACATACACACACATATAGACAGCAAAAAAAAAATGTCGGACCAAGAAAGAAAAAAAATTGAACTGAATTTATATAGATGAAATACGCCCCATACGATACACAATGAATTCTTTGCCAAATATTTTTTTTTCTTTCTCACAACATTAAAGGATGCTTTGTGAATGTTCAATGTTGCGGTTGTTCCATACAATGTTCCGAAAAATATTTTTTTTTCTGTAAAATACCGCCATCATACACACACAAACACACACACTCTTTATCTGTTTATTCCCTTAAACATCCTTTCGAGATAACATCCATCCATCCATCCATTCATTCATTTTGGATCCACCAAATCATAACCAGAGATATGCAAAGTTCCAAATTTGTTAATATTAAATTCTAGATATCAAAGGCTAGGTGGTAGCCATCATCATTTTGGTCCATGTTATGTTTATACATAACATACACACACACAAAAAACGGTGGCAACGTCTTCTGAATGGAAAGCATTTTTCGTTCGTTTGCCTACTCCTCTACCATCTTCTTCATACACACAAACATACACCACCTTTTTTTCCACTGGTTTGATTTGATAGAAAAATTGGGTTGTTTAGGTTGGAAACAAAAAAAAAAAAAAATTGCGCGCTCATGTCGGTCATTCAACCCATATATAATGATATTCACGAATATCATTGAAAATCATTGCCTTCGTATTCGACAGATAGAAAAAGAAAGAAACAATCCAGCAAAAAATACAAAAATGTTTTTTTTTTCTTTTTCTATTCAATCACCGTTATATATCCGTAATCATCATCATCATATAGAATAGAATAGTAAATAGATTTCGATACTGCTACTATCGAAATTATGGAGGTGGTGGTGGTGGTTGCAGGAGGGGGAGCCTGGCAAAAGAGGTATTCCACCATTTTTTCAGTTTCATTTTATTCCCGATATGAATTTTGATTTTGATTTTCTTATTCAAACCAATGGCGCGGGTTTTTTCTCTCTGTGTCTCTCTGCATGTGTTTTTTTTTCTTGATTTTAATAGGGGAATCGCTCGTAACATTCAGAAAAAAAAACGTAAAAACAACCTGGTCCATGTTCAAGTAATGGAACGTTGACCTCTAAAATGTATATATATCCAGAAAAATAAATTGAAAAATGAAATCTTTTGTCCATCTGACATTGAATACAATAGTGAAAAATCCTGCGGCCATCACCATCATCATCATCATTATCGTATATGCATATGAAGTAAATATTTAGGAAAAATAAAAGAGAAAGCCATTGATTGAACAGATTGAATGACCGTGATGAATATTTTTTTTTTTGCCCTAACAATGATGGTTATGGTGGTAGTTGGAACTAGCATATGGCTGGTCATAAAATATATACAAATAAATGTGTGTACCAATGACAATGAATCAATGGACCTCATGGTCCACACACACACACATCATTCAATACCGTTGGACCATGAGGTCCATAGGAAAAAAAAAGTACATGTCAATGACATTTATCTATCTATCTATGACTTTGATGGTGAAAAGCGAAAGCCAAATGGTTTGAAAAACCAGAAAAAAAGTCAAAGACCTAGGGAACCTAGGAAAAGAGAGTGAGTTTGTTTAGTTTGTAAGGAACGGGGAAGTTCAAAAACCTTTGAATGATTAATCCATGTGTGTGTGTGTGTATGGGAAATGCTTGCAAAAAAAAAAAAAATAATTTATCCGGAAATAAAAAATGATAATGATGATAATTGTTATTTATTTTTTAAATTTAAATGTGAATATAATTTTACAAATAAATAATCTTCTTAATTTAATCAAATCAATCAATAAATCAATTATATTGGTACAGAGAAAAAAAACAAACAATACAATGTGCGATTGAAAAAAAAACAAAAAAAATTGAAAAAGCAAAAGAATTTGTCTGTTTGTTTGTTCAATTTGTTTTTTTTTTAATTGATTAATCAATGAATAATTGTAATTATTATAATAATAATAAAAATTCATTTTTTATAGTTTTTATCTTTCGATACATTGATACATTGTTCGTTTTTTGTTTTCATTTTGTTTGTTATAGCTAATAAAAAAGTGTGTGTGTGATGGTGTATACATCAACAATGAAAAATTTGAAAAAATAGCCACCGAGTATTATTATTGACCGTACGGAAGCGAAAAAAAAATCGTATCAGGTAAATTATTATTGTTATACAAATGGAAAAAAAATTATTACATGTGTCTGTCTGTCTGTATGTATGTATGTATCTGTATTTCGTTGTCATCATCAACATTAATTCATCAAATTCAATTCAACACCAACAACAGCAATGGAGAATTACATTAAGAAAATGTGAAAACGAAAAATTTCAAATGTCTGTACGTGTATGTGTGATATATTGCGAAGAAATTTGAAATAAAACTAATTTGATTAATAAAAATTTGTGTGTGTAATGAAAAAAAAAGATTCAAATCTATCAACGATGATTATAATAATTACAACGATTACAAATGATGATGATGATAATGATGATTAAATTTCATCTGGATATAAGATAAGAATGGAGAAAAAAAATGGATTTGACATAATAATGATGAATGATGATGATGGTGACATGAGTATTTTTCCAATGATGATCAATCATTTTTTGATTGGCAATTTTTTTAAAAGGCATAATTGTCACTGTTTTGTAGTAGGGGGGAAGAAAAAAAATTGCCATCATTTTTTTTATAAAGAGAAATAAATAATGGAAAAAAGTATCATTTTTCGTTGATCACATGTGGGAGATTCTCATGTCAACATACATTAGGATCTATAGGTATCAATGAATGAATGAATGAATGAACGGATGGATTCATTTCAAGAAAATGGATGGATGAACGTTGAACGTTGATGGTGATTTTCTTTGTACAACTAATGATTTTTTTTTGTACAATGACAATTAGATAAACAGATTAGATTTTGTGTTTGAACTTTGAGGTCTGGTCTGGTTTTCTTGCAAGTTGAAAAGTCGTTATCTTTTTTTTGGTCATAGATCAATAGATCAGAATCCTTGTTGATAATCTTCATCATCATCGTCATCAACTTCGGATGAAGATTCATCTGAATCATCATTCATAACGATTCTTTTACGTTTCTTTTTTGTTGTAGATTGTTTAGATCTTTTATTGCTATTTCTATCGATAACAAATAAAAAAAATTAAAATAAATTTTCATAATGAATCAGCTTAAAACTTACGTGTTGTTCATTTTGGCTGATTGTTGATGGCGTTGTTGTTGTTGTTGTTGTTGCTGTTTGTTTGGTGTTTGATCAGCTGTTGTAACCATATTTTGACTATCAACACAATTGGTCATTCCTTCACCACTTTGTTGTGATTGTTGATCATCATTTGTACGATTTCGTTGTTCAACATTGCTAGAAACAATGGCTTGTACTGATGATGTTGATTTGGATGAACCAAATTGAAATAATTTTGTCAATAATAATGGCTTAAAATTTGGATCATAATTATTCATTGAAACTTGTCGAAATCGTTTCCATTCATTTAATAATTGTTTTTCAACACTTTGAAGATCATTACTTAACAGTAATGATTCTTGCATTTCGATATTTGGTTTTGCCAGATTAAACAATTCTTTTAAATGTAAACTTTCAATCTAATGGAGAGAAAAATAAATTGTTTAAAATTAGTAAATGATTAAATAAATAAATAAACATTACACAAACCTGTCGTCGATGAACAGGTTTTTCCCAGGTTTTTGCATCATTCGTACTATAATCATTGATTTTTTCATCTTTTAAAAGATAAAATTCTTTCAATAAAGTTCGTAATAATGTTGATAGATAAATTGTCCGTAATGATCGTATTATATTAATTAAACGTTCATTGGAACGATCACTTAATAATAGATCAAAATTGACATGAATATTATTTTCATATTTTTTAAATTGATCTTCATTTTCTAAATCAATTTCTTCAATATCAATAACATTCGATTGTGGTGGTGGTGGTTGTTGTTGTTGTTGCTGCTGTTGCGATTGTTGATATGGATTCATCATCATTTGCGGTTGATTATGATAAATCATTTGTGCATTTCCCATATGATCATAAATAATTTGTGGCTGTTGATTCATCAATCCTTGCATCAATGGATCTGTAGATGATGGATTATTGATGAATTGTTGATGTTGAGATACAACAGGATTCTGTTGTTCTTGTTGTTGTTCGGATGATGATGATTGAGATCGTTCGACTGTGAAAATTTCTTTGAATAATTGAGTAACATGTGTTGAATTGATTGAAAGTGTACATTCTAATTGATTTAAAATGTAAAGTATTTCATCGAAAACCGTATAAGGAAAAAACAGGATACTTTCGACAAAAAATTCAATATCAATCAATTCTGGTTTCATCGATGATGATGATAATGATGATTCGGATGTTGTTGTTGTTGTTGATTCGTTATTTGTTGAATTTATTGTTTTCACAACAAATTCCGATGTATCAAAATGTCTTAGTAATGATGTAATGAAACCACGTCGTGATTGACGATTCGTACAGATAACCTGATACAATGTACTTAAACGGGAACAAATTTCTTTCGTTGTTGTTGGCATTGAGATCAAAGTCTGTCCATCTTGTGTGGCAGCAGCGGATGTTGATGATTTTTCCATATAGATACGAAAACCGGAACAATTTAATTTTTTACAGAATAATGCCGATAATTGTACAGCTTCTTTGGCTTTCATAGCTACATAGCCATGATATTTACGTTCAATATCATGAAGAACATGATCAGCACGAACACGTATCTGATAATCATCATCACATGTCATTGCCACTAAATGTGGAACAAGCTGAAGCGGATGTACATGGCCACCGGAATGTATCACATGAATTACATTACAAGCAACACGACGAATCGATAGATTTGGATTTAATGCATTGATCAATATTGAGCTCAGATATTTTTGAATAATTTGTGATTGTGTTGAACCAGAATCATCTTCAGAAGATTGCATCGATTTCAATGATTCACGTGCCCATTCAATCGTTTTGACGGCATTCTCATCCGATTCAATCGATTCGGATAGATAATTACGAAAATTATTCAATACCTGAATGCAAAATAATTCATCATTTTTACGATTCGTTGATTGAATACTGACATTTTCCGAATATTCATTTCGTAATATTCTTGTATAGATTTCAATCACATTTGGTAATAAACATATTTTAGGATCAGATTCAATGATGAAACCAAGTGCTACGATTGATTTACATTTAATATCAACATCATATGGCGATATAATCAGCTCGATAAATGTATCCCGTACACGATCTTTATATTCATAGATATGAATTGAAAAAAATTTGGCAAAAAGACCACAAGTAAAAATGGCACGTAATAATTTTGGTTTGACTTGTTGCTCATTATGTCCATCATATAATAGATTTCTATATTGATAAAGAATTTGTTGAAATTTACAGAATAATTCAACGGCCAATTTTGTATTTTTCGTATGATTCTTAATCAAAACAGATAAACATTTCACCGAACATTGTATAATGTTGGCAGATGATTGTAGAATATTTTTAGTTAAATCTTCTTCTATTCTTGTCAACAGATATGGTGATGGATTATGTATATGTGGCAATACACGTTCAATAGTCTGTATGACTTTCATACGTAATGAAATCTCAATCAATGTTTCACATGGTAATGACATTAATGATTGTAATGTATCACAATGTTTAACCATCAATTCTGGACAACATTGTGACATCATTGCAACACATTGTACGGCACTCAATTGTGTTTTCTTTGTTGATTGTGGCATATCATCGATTAGAACATCGTTCATGATTGAATCACAAATCTGTTGAGCAATAAGCATTGTATCTGATTTGATTAACTGGTCAAATAATGATTGCATCGATTCCATTGATGCATTATCATTGATCATATTGGCAATAACATGTAACAAGGAATAAACTTTAAATTTGATCGGTGTTATCTGTGAAGTGTTCGTAAACCAAAGATCACGACATGTATCGACAACAAGTCTTCGAATACCTTCACCATCATCATTGATACGGCGAACAATTTTGACTGCCATTTCACCACATTTTTCATATTCAGGAAATTCAATACAAAAATCTCGAAGTATTTTAATCACACGTTTACGAACGGAAATACCCGTATCAAGTATACGATCACCAATAAGATCAGAATAACGTTGAACAAGATTCTGATCTTTTGATTGTAATACAAATCTACCAATTAGATCGACTGTTGCTTCACGTACCGATGTAGAAGGATCAAGTAATGCAGAACGCATTGCATTTTGTAGATCAGAACGTGATAACAATTGTGTAGCACGATCAATAGTACTTGAACTAAGTATATTTGATAAACATTTCATTGCACGGCTTCTTTGTGTCGTATTCGATGTATTCGATAATGATGCTGTCACATGTGAGATCGATATGTCAAATAATCTTGAATTGGTTGAAAAATGAACAAATTCCATATACTGTATACATAAAGCGGCAGTCGAAATAGCAACAACTGAACCAGAATCATCATTGAATTTTGATTGATTCAATTTCTGTAGAAAATCTTGTTCATTCTGTTCATTTTCAGTAAAATATCTATCCTTGATCCAAATGGAACCAAGACAAAGTTTTTCTCTATATAATTTTTCCGAATTAAAATAATCGATAAGATAATTGTAAACTTTGACAACGAAATTTCCATCTTTTTGTTTTTGTTCCAATTCCTGCTGCTGTTGTTGTTGTTGTTTTTCACGATTTCTATTCTTCTTGATTGGTTTAACATCAGGTTCTTGTTCGATTGTTGAAAATGTTGTCTGCAATTCTTTGATGGTTTCATCTTTTTCGGCTAAAAATTGTGCAAATTTCGAACAAACAATAGATAGATATTCAATGGCTAATAAACGTGCCGCTAATGATGATGTTTGTGATTTATTTTGCTGTTGTGGTGCTAGATATGAAATCAACAACTTTATTATAACCTGTACAATCAATATTGATGCCGTCTGATGTGGTGAATGTAATTGATCCAATAGATCATTCAATAATGATTCGAATATTAATTTGAAATCAACATCTGAATTACCACCACCAGATGAATGATTATGACATTTGCGCAGAAAATGTGATAGAAAACTACTGATTATCTGTAATGCGGCTGTCGATTGTTTTGTCAATGAATCACGTGTGTGCGTTTGAGTTGTATTGGGCTGAAAAAATGCATTTGTTAATCGTATCAACATTTGTGTTAATACAGAATCTTTACGGTGTGATTTTTTCGTCGGTATTTTCGATAATGAATTCAAAAGCTCTTCAAGTATCGATATACGATGTTTTTGATATTCTTCAAATACATGGCATAATATTTCTATAGAAACAAATTGCATTTCGGCCGTATTTTGTAATAGGAACAAGGCACTCATTGAGATCCTGGTTAATGATAGAATCAAAGTATCTGTCAGTGAACCTTTTGTTCGAAGATTAATGAATTCAAATAATAATTGTAATAATTGTGTCCATCTAGTTACATGTCGTTTGGAAACACCAAAATGTTGATATTGATGATACGATGATGATGATGATGATTTAGATTTAGATGATTTCGTTGTAGATGTTGTTACATGTGTGGCAGCGCTCAGATTATTGGATAGAAAATCAACAATAACTTCAATCAATTCTTCCAAACTAATCAATTGGGTTTGATCGGCTCCAAATGATGATTGATTCTGACCGGATGTCGATGTCATCAGATGTAGCGCTGATTGTGATGCATTACAACATAATTCCCAATAATGTTGTCGTTCATTTACATTTTCATCATCATCATTATCATTGTTCATTGTGGATGAATCACCATGTGATGATGACATTGCTGCAACAGATGATTTACTTTTATATCGTGTTAACCATATATTCAATTGATTCGATAATACCGTTAAGAATAGTATTAATTTCTTTCTTTCAATTTCACCGATACGATTTGTTTGTTTTAATTTAGCTGATAAAATCATTATCTCTTTTAATTGATCTGAATCTATTGATACATTAAATGACATTCCATTCAAATGATTTGCCGATGCTATATCGAATCCGGATTTTATTCTTTTATTATTATTACGACTATTTCTATTATGCTGTTGTTGTTGTTGTTGATGATGATGATATTTTTGGTATTGATTATTATTATTATTATTTTCATAACCTGAATTATAATAATCATTATCACTTGTATCATTATAGCCACCCATGCCTGTATTAACATCACCGGCATATAATTCACTATAATAATCATTAAAATCATTGCACGATGTTTGTAAAATTTGATCAATTATCTGTTCAAATCTCACTACAATATCAACGGATTTTGACAAAAATGCCGCATCATTATCGATATCGGTGAATTGATATTTAACAGAACGTATCTGTGGTTTGACCATTTCAATTTTAGGCCTTGCCGGTGGTTGTTGATATAATGGTTTACGATTATAATTTATTGTCGCTGGTGTTGTCGTTGTTGTAGAAGTAGTGGAAGATTTACGTTGTGATGTAGCCGGTAGTTGCCAATCTTTATCATCTATCGATGATGATGTAGCATGTAGCTGCCATTCTTTATCATCTATTGATGATGATGATGATGATTGTGTACCATATTCATTCTTAATATTAGCCGCTGCCGCCGCCGCAGCCATTGTTCGTGTTGTTGGCATTTGATTCATTGAATTTGAATTGCTATTATTATTATACATTGTATCAGATATTGAATCATTGGTCATTATCATTGCTTGAGAATTATTATTATTTGGTATCATTTGTTGTTGATTATAAGGTTGTTGTTGTTGCGGCGGCTGCTGTTGTTGTTGATTTGTTGCAAATGCTGCAGCATTTGCTTGTATAGCTTTGGCTGCCGCATCTCTTTGTCGACTTTTTACACGTTCACCAAGTGATGAATAATTTTGATTCTGATTCTGTAATTGTTGTTGTTGCTGTAGATATTGTTGTTGTTGTGTATGATGAGTATGATTTTCGGATTCTATTTTGATTGTATTATTTACATCTTGATGTGGTTGTTGTTGTTGTTGATGATGATGAATATTGGTTCTTTGTTGTTGCTGTTGTTGATGATATTGTGGTTGTTGTTGTTGTTGATGATGATGATTCATTTGTGAATATTCGTTATTATTATTATTGGACAATAAATCATGTCCTTGATGGCTGCCGGTCAATACTGAAGAATGTTGTTGTTGTTGTTGTTGATGAGAATGCAGGTTTTGTTGTTGTTGTTGATTGTGGTGATGATGATGATGCTGTGAATATAAATCATTTGATGTTGATGAATTGGCCGATGTGGTTTCAGCCACCGCTGATGAGGATGATGATGTCGTTGTCGTTGATGATGGATAAATAGATGATACATTTGCAGCGATAGCAGCAGGTGTCGTAGCCGCTGATGATGTTGACGATGGTGTTGATGATGCTGCTGCTGCTGCTGATAATTGTGAATTAAGAAAACAACCACGTGCTAATAATTCGTGTAATAATTGTGATGGTTGTTGATGATGACTTGGACTTGGTCCACCACCAGTCACTGTTTGTTGATCCGATGATGGTGATTGCTGTGTATTCGAAGTACCGGATGCCGGTGATGTTGATGAATTATGATGTTGTGAATGATTCAGATGAAATGTAACATCGCTCAAATGTTGTTTGGCTATCAATAATGCCTGCTGTATCTGTGGCACCATTGTTAAATCATTGAGCAATGTATTCCTTGCCGATGTCATATTGACATTTAAACCGGTGATCAATGAACGTGTGTGCGATGATTTATCCTGTACGGCTGTTGGTAATGGAAGTTCAGTGAGTACATCGCATAATGATTGACAACAGGCCAATGTAACTGATGAATCCATGTTTGCATCAAATGAACCGAACATATGTTGTAATGGTAAACCGGCACCAGTAGTACCGGATGTATTGGTACCGCCACCACCTGGACCAGGACCAGGTCCAGTTCCAGCCGTTGCCGATGCAGCAGCTGTGAGACCATTTCCGTGGCTAGTAGTGGATGGTCCACCTATTAGGCTATTTATGGGATGATTCATTTTTGTTATTTTCTTGAATAAGATAATTTTTCAATTCTGATATATAATAATTAAGAACACTAATTAATAATGTGATGATGAAAAAATTAGAAGATTATTATTTCAATGATGATAATAGCCACAATTAAAATTAAAAAAAACGATGATTGGATGAAATTTGACAAAAAAAACAATCTAAGAATCAATTCAAATGTTGTTAATGTTGATAAACAGATTATGATATCGATTAAGAATTCAAATGAGATTCGTATCCAATATTTGAGGGGTGTGTCGCTGGTTGGTGGGTGTGCTTTTGGTTGATTTGAAACTTTCAATTGATTCAATGGATGAATTTGGAAATTTATTGCGACATGATTGTGAAGAATAAATTTAAGGAAAAAAAACTAGAATTCCAAATGACAAAAAAAACGTCAATATTTGCACAATAGATTCGAATTTCTCATACCTTTACGAAAATTTTTTTTTTTGGCGGCTTAATACAGCCTGATTTCAGTGGCCGTGTTCAGGACACCACTGAAATGGATCTCAGATTTCTTCGAAATTCAGATTGAATTATGTTGAAAAACAAAACACAGAATAGAATTTACGATTTGTAGGTGAAAAAAAAGTTGAATAAAAATAATGGATTCCTATTAATTATAGTGTTCATTGTATTCCATCACCAGAATAATCTCTGTGTGGTAAATGATGGACCAGAAGAAAAAATTTATCTTCTTCACGTTATTATTATCATTTGATGGTCGATATCTAATTGAATTATGTCACATACATACACACACACACACACAAAAAAAAATTTAAAAATGGTCATCATGATTATATTCTTAATAATTGAAATCAATGTCATTATTTGTTGTTGTTGTTATTATTAATTATAAAAAAATTTGAAATACAAGCGGCGGCGTCGGCGATGTAGAGATGAAAAGAAAAGAAAACAACAACAATAACAAAAAACATCAAAAATTATTTCATTTTCATATTTTAGATTCACAAATATTGTACCATTTTTTTTTCATTTACGGATTACAATAAAAAATTGAATTTTAATTGAATTGAATAATTTTTGTTTTTGTTGTTGATGACTGATGATGGTCGTCGTGATGATGATGATAATGGTGGTGGTGGTGGTAAATGTTGATCCGAAACCAAAAATATCAAAATTAGCATCTCATCATCAGCATCATTATATCTCCCTCGCTCGTTGTTTTTTTCTATCATCATCAACATCATCAATATCAACAACCAAAAATTTTTTTTTTTTTTTTTTTTGGTTCTCTCAATTGGTCTGACTTTTTTTTTCTCCAAGATATTCGATTGAGGATGAAAAAAATGACCACTACCATAGTAAGGTAATATAATGTTTTTTTTTCGAACCACTACTATTGAGGATTCTCTTTTTTTTCGTACACGCACATAAATATATTCAGTCAGACATTTTGTCATCATCATTACAGTGAAAAGAAAAGATAAAAGATGAATTGAGGAGGATGAACAGATATTTTGCTCAATTTGCTGCTACTACTTTCGATCATTTCCATATTATATTGCTACTACCTTGTTGGGTTTTTTTTTCGTTTGCTGTTGTTGTTTCTTCAATTCCATTCAAAGAGGACGTCATCATTTTTTTTATTGGTGTATTATTCCTTGGTCTAATTTAAATATATCAATTTGGATCATTTCATTTTGGGTATATTTTTTGTGCCATTATCAATGTATGCATGCGGTAGCTGGTCTTGTTTGACGTAGGGGTTTTTTTTCATTAACTGGCTCGATTCAAATAAAAAAAATTCGTTTGCATTTTGGAATCATCAAAGATATAGCACATCCTGGATCAAGGGTTCTTTTTTACCATTCTGGTCATCATCATCATCATTCAAATTAAGCTAGGTAATTGCTTGATGATAATATATGATTGATATAAGCTAAAAACTGGCGCGCGTATCACATTCTGGACGTCTATCATCATCATCACAATCACCCTCTTTTACCACTGAACCACTACAACTAGACTAATAGACTAGACTAGACAATATATATTGCAAATAAAGAAAAAATTCTAACGCTTTGTCTGCCATCTAGTGGATACGGTTTCTATCATCATAACAGTTAAAAAAAAAAAATTTTATTTTATAATTTGTTGTGGTCAACGGCAAAAAAGGGTTGCAATATAGAATAGCCAAAGACTGAAAATAGCCAATCAAAAAATAAAAGATAGTTAAATAAATTAGCGCAATAAAAAATAGCGAAAAATAATACGTTATTTATGAAATGCCATGTCACAATGTTTGTGCTCGATGAGTGTATGTGTTTATACTCGTCGTCGTTTATTAAGATTTGGAATGTCATATGTCCAACTTGAATGCTTATGAAGGTAGTTTAGAACGAACTGTTAATTATCTTTGATATTATATTTTTGGTAATTATTGTTGTTGCTTCTTGTTATTGTTATTTCTAAATGTTGGATGTCGATTATTTACTTTGGTTGTGGTGTCCTTGGCCCGAAATTCTAATGGTCAACAGTGCCATTTTTACATGTTGATCCGTTATTTTCCCAATTATGTAGGCCGCTATCCACCTGTTGCATATTGTGACAGTCGATACAATTGTTTAGGTGGGCGAGTTGTTGCGGGATCACACGAAATGCTCATACTATAGTGCATTCTAGTTGGATCGATACTGCTCTAGTCCATGTACTTTTCTTTTTTTTATTGATTCATGAATTTTCATATGTATTATAAATCGTGGATCGGGAAATTAAGCGAAATAAGCGGGATAGGCCATTTGGTTGGTATCCATGCGATCCGAATTGGTTAATTCAATGAAAAAAATGAACAATGAACAAAAAATGAAAAACTAGCAGCTGCCATCTTGTGGTTATCGTTGGATTTTTCATTGAACAAAAAAAAAAAGAATAGATCTCACGATAATTGAAATTGCGCTTGGTCACAAAATCCAGCCAAAACCAACCAGTCAGATATTTACCCACCCGAACAATACACAAACACACACAGACACAGACATCGTATATATAGACACAAATAGACGGGACCCGTTATTTTAAATTCTTTCCCACAAAATTTTTCTCTTTTATGTTGTGTATGTGTGTGTGTATTGTTGTTTGGCTATTGAATTTTGAAAATGACACACACACACACACACACACACGCGCACGTGAATATCATTCTCGTTTCCCAGCTGCATATGGAAAGAAAATATTATTCTGCTTTGTTGAATGAAAAAAAAAAAAACGAAAACGAATGTAATTTTTTTTTATTCATTTTTTTTCTCATACATTTTACACACTAACACACACACACACACACATTTGGCGCCAAATCCATTTTTTCCAACAAAAAAAAAAAAAATTTGCACCAAAATTCAAGGACAATTTTCAATGTAATAATATATAATGAAATCTTAGGTCAACGAATTATACTGAATATAATATATACTGAAATGATGAACCGGAAATCAAGTAGAATGAAGATTCTCGTTCCGTAATTTTTGTAGGACTGTGTGTGTGTGTGTGTGTGTGTGTGGATATTGCGGGGGTGAACAACAACAACAACAAATCTTTATGTATACAATTCACATTTGATTTTTTTTTCTATTCATTCATTCTTGTTGTTATCTCTCTTATTACACACACACACACACACACACACACACACACACACACACACATACAAAACACACGAATGTATGAATGAATAAAACAAGAAAAAATACAGCAGCACATGCGTTACATATGAAATAACTTTTTTTTTTTACTTTTTTTTTGAAAAAAAATAATATTTTGCCTGTGTGTGTGTGTGTGTGTGTGTGTGTGTGTGTGTGTGTGTGTGTGTGTGTGTGTGTGTGTGTGTGTGTGTGTGTGTAGGATCGATCCTCAACAACAAATATACACACACACACACACACACACACGCAAAAATAAAAAAAGAACGCCATTACTTGTGTGTGTGTGTGTGTGTGTGTGTGGATGTTGGTTTGAATTAATGTTTGTGAGTGTGTTGTATTTTTGTCAGTGTGTGTGTGTTGTATACTATTATCGTCATCGTCGCCCTTTGTGAATGTGTGTGTGTGTGTGTGTATATTTTGCTCGGGTCCGTTTTCTTTCTTTTTTTCTCTTGTTTTTATAGTTGTGGTCTGAATTTGATGTGTGTGTGTGTGTGTGTATTTGGTATATTCAAAGTTTTTTTTCATATATTCGTGTTTGTTGTTTTTTTTTCTGGTTCACATTCGTTTCGTTTCATTTCATTTTCTTTCTCTGTCTCTCTCTCTCTCTCTCTCTCTCTCCATCACACAATCATAGTCTTTAGGGATTCTATTTCTCACATACCATTTTTTTTTTTTTGCTTATATGTCGTCGTCATCATCATCACCATCATTATTCGTATTTCGTTGGTTAGTAAAGGTTCATTTTGCTGATTTTTTTGTTTGTTATTAACATGATGATTGGGCGTGTGTTTTTGTGTTGAATGAAATTAAATTGTGTTCAACAATAATTGAAAAACAGCAGCAACAACAAAAAAAACAAAAACAAACATAAATTCTACTTACCATCTTTGATTTTTCAATCATTCACTCATTCATCAATTGTTTCAAATGACTACTCATCAACAGAATTCAAATCATCATCATCATAATCAAATTATTCAAAATTCAAGATCATCATCATCAACATCAACATCATCGAATAATAATCATAGAAATAGACATAATCATCAAAAGTTATCATCATTATCATCATCATCATCATCATCATTATCGAATTCTATGGTATTCAATCAAAACCAAAAGATCAAATCAAAAACAACATCGTCGTCATTGAATTCGAATGTTTATCATTCGATGAATGGAACGACCGCCACTTCATGTATGTCGTATTCCGTTTGATTTCCTAAATTTTTACTAATTTTTTTTTACAATTTAATTCACAGTGAACAACAACCAATCCGGTTTTCAATCATCAACAACGACGTCATCAACAGCGACACCAACTTCGGCTGTGGCCGCATCATTTGACAATTTAGTTGCATCAACATTATCCACTGCTAACGGAATGAAAAATATTGAACATTTTGTTGATAAAACATTGATCGATGGTAAACACTGGTATTGTTGTAATTGGCAAAATTGTTCATATCGAACAACACGTTCCGATTCGATTGCTAGACATTCACGAAAACGTGAGTATTAATGATGATGATGATATATCAATCATCGTGATAATTGTCTTGTTTTATTCGAATTTTCAATTTAGATACCGGTGAACGTCCATACAAATGTTGGTTTTGTTCATACGCAACAATACAAGCATCAGGTAATTTATGATCGAAATGAAATTTATCAATTTATTAATTAATTCCATTTGTTTTCATCAGCATTGAAGATACATATGCGTCGTCATACTGGTGAGAAGCCTTATGTATGTAAATTTAGTGGATGTGGTAAACGTTTTGCTGTTCAAAATACGTTAAGAGTACATGAACGTACACATACTGGTTATAAACCATTCAAATGTTCATTTTCAGCTACCTGTAATTATTCAAGTAGTGATCGCTGTAAAATGGTTAGTCATATGCGTCGATCACATCATCAATTGGATATAGATTCAAATTCAATAACACCGATTAGTAGTGGTGGTGGAACAGCATCAGGATCATCATCATCATCAACCTCGAATCGCAAACCGAATTTAATAAATAATCAACAATCATCTGGTCATCATCATCATAATCAAGCTCATCAACATCATAATCATAGATCATCAGGATTATCGGCAATTTTTTCCAATGTTGTAGCAGCTAATGGACAAAATTCTTCAAATATTTCTAATGTATCGGGTAGTTCATCCAATTCTTTAGCACTTGTTTCTGGTGCAATGTCATCATCACAATTATTGATGGCACATCATCCAAATACTCATCATCAAACACATCATACTGCTGTTTATAATCCATTTACAGCATCATCAATACATTCATCAACACAGAATACAACAAACGCTGGTCATCATCATCATGCAATGATGAATCAATTTCATGCAAAAGCAACATCATCTGCCGCCGCCGCCGCATCATCATCAACCAATGTTGCATCATCAGCTGTAGCAGCAGCGGCAGCTGCTGCTGCTGCATCAAATTCAATTTCAACGACAATCGTACCATTAAATCTATTAAGTGTCATATCCAATGCTGGAAATTATGAAAATCTTCAAAGTAATTATCATTCATTTTTCTTATAATTATTTCCATTTTTTTCCGCTTTTATCTATTCATCTTTTGGCCTGTTTTTTTATATATTTGAATTTTTTTTTCTTAAAAAAATTCGGGGAGAAAATATAAGGAAGAGGAGGGTAAAAAAAAAATAGGATTGACAACACTACCAATACATGCAGACGACAGACTATCGATAGTTTCGTTCATTCTTTCAATTTCCTTTTAATGATTATCTCTTTTTTTTCATTTTATTCGTTTGTTATTGATGAAAAATTCTGAGACTGAATTTTTTGTTTTACTAATAATATGATTTTTCTATTCTCTCTCTCTCTCTCTCTCTTTACATGTACTTTACCTATTTATATATGCATCATTTTTTTATCTTCCCTTCATTTTCCCCATTTGTTTTTTTTTCATTTCACATTCCCTTTTCCAATATCTTCCACCTACCTACCAAAAACTATTTTTTTTTTGATTGAATTTAAATGAAAATTAATGTTCGTTCATCAACAAATACATTTACACACACACACAAAACACTGATGTGCTATTCTGGATATATCAACCTACACACACACACACACACACAAACGCAATACCTACATTCATATATTATACACCAACACAAACAAACAAATAACATGACAAAATATTCTCATCATTTTTGTTGTTGTTGTTGTTGTTCATCCACCCTATGTGCCCCTCCTTCCTATTACTCCCCAAAATTTTTTTTTAAATATTCTCTTTTTTTTGATATAGAATACTTTTGATTAATCTCCCACTACTATATATAATAACCTATATATATAAAAAAAATAGGAACAACAACAAATATGACGTATTCGACGGCATCAAACAACATTGGTCAGAATCTTAATCATCATCATCATCAACAACAACAACAACAGCAACAGCAACAACAAAAATCAAATAATCGATCATTGAAACGATCTCGAAATAATAATCATCATCATACAAAAATTGATAATAATAGAACAAATCTGCAACAGCAACGACAACAACAACAATCATATATTACCGATTTGGATACAATGAATCAAACATCATCAGCTAAAAATTCAATTTCAGATGATATTCATATTGGTGTTGGAAAAGAAGAAAATAGTATAAGACGTTTAATTGAAATGAATCTAATTGAAAAACGTTTTATCGATAATCGTTCATTATATGTTTGTCAATGGCATGATTGTTCATATTCAACAATACGATCGGATTCAATTGTTCGTCATAGTCGATCACGTATGTATTTTAAGTTTTTTTTACATTAATTCAATCAATTAATTGATTAATTTTTGATTTTTTAAAAAATTCCAGATACTGGCGAACGTCCATATAAATGTCATCTATGTGATTATAGTACCATACAAAGTAGTAGTCTTAAAAAACATATGGCTCGTCATTTGAATACATAATAATAATGATGATGATTATTCGATTTTGATCCATTTATTCATCATTTTCTTTTTATCAACACATGATTATCTTTTTATCTTCATTAGCATTTTTGTTCTTCATTTATATAAACAAACAAACCAACAAATTTCACAGATAATAATTTTGTTAATAATACAAAAACAAAATTTCATCTTTTTGTTCCATAATTCATCATTTGATTCTTAATTGACCATTGATTCATTCACATATCCGTCGATAACATACACACACACACACACACACACACACACACACTGACCATTCATTAATATATTAATAACTAATATATATACTTGAAAATATCGTTGTTGTTGATAACAATATTATAAGATAGGCACACTATCCATCAAAGAAGAAAAAAATTTAATAAATGTCATTTATAAGTACACATACGAATGAACAATCATTTGCGAATATATGTGCCTTATACATATAAAAAAAATTATATATAAATAATATAAGGAACCACTACCGCACACACACCCACACCCATACACACACGCACACGCACACCCCCAAAATAATTAAAATCACTTGGTTAACTAAATGAATTCTAATTGTAATTTAAATTTTTTTTTTTGTGCATGATCACATCACCATCATCATCATCATCATTTGGCAACATCTTTTATTGATTATTGATTGGTAAATTTTTTTTCTGTTCAAAATAACAATAAACCTATTTTTCATTTTATCCACGGAAAATTGATTTTGTTGCTTATTTTATTAAAATTAGAAAAAAAAATCAAATTATTTAAGAAGAAATTTATCAAATCAATTAACAATTATTTCAGATGATGATACATTGTTTTTTTTCTGGAGAATTTAGAGATAAAAATTTGCAGTATAAAAATATTGATGATGATGATTTGATCTTTGAAAAAATAAAAAACAGAGAGAATTTTTGATTCAATTTTTTTTTGGATAGATATTTGACAGACAGACAAGTTTGGTTTGATTCCGTTTGTTTGGTTTTTTTTTTTGGTTTGAGAGAAAAAATAAAACAATGTTGATCAATCGTTTGTTAAACAATCATCAACATCAATGGCTGACGTTTAGATTTCATAAAAATTTTCCATGGCCATTCAAATGAATTTACAATCTCTATCTGATGATGTATTGTATTTTTTTCGAAATATTCAAATATTGTATACCACCATGTATTCAATGGATTCCTTTCTAATTGACATTGTTGGTGATGATGATGATGATAGATAAATGATTCTCCCGATGTTAATGGATGATTATTATTGTTATTATTTTTATTTGAATCGGAATCTGATTTAATAACTATAGACGTATCTGTTGATTGATGATGATTATTATGTTCATTATGATTGTAATGATTATCACACTGTGATGATTGTTTCAAAAATGAACATTGTTGTTGTTGTTGTTGTTGATGGTAGTGACTATGAATAATGGCATAATGGCACAACATGTGATAAATATAAAATATCAATTGACTAATAACAATAGCTAAAACAACATCGACCATATAATGACCTCTTGCGACGAGTATGGCAATAATTCCAGTACCGACCAATAAATGGTAGCCATATTTGATGAATTGAAAATAAATAGGACGACGATCAGATAACCAATAATAAACAAGAAATAGATCAGCTATTTTGAAAAAGAAAAATTTACAATCTTTAGCTATTTGAATCTAGAAAAACTTATGATACTACTTACATGTTACAAGTATGACCGTATGACCAGAGAAAATAAAATCTCCACAATATGTATGATGGCCATTAACTGAAAGGCCCATACCGACAGATAGATAAATGATGCGCCACATAACAGTTTTGAATAATTCCCAAGCCGATGTTTCCTGTAGATTGAGCCTTGGTGCACAATAATAATCTTTATTCGAAACGGGAACTTGTGTTACTGACATACAAATGGCACGAAAAATGTATAATAAACCAAGAATAATGAATAAACGTGAAATTATAATCCAACGATATCGATGACTTGCAATCATTAATAGGACGGATGCACTCATAAACATGATAATATATTCAGATACATTCAATGCTAGATCATATTTTGGTAACAAATCGAATGCAATATCTGGTAATGTTGCCGTATCATATGGAACACGTTCATGTATAATGGCTAAAATATGGAAAAAATATTCATATTTGAATTATTAATATATCAAAGTATTCGAATAATAATAATTGTTATTATTATTATTACCTAAGACAGCAAGATTGAATATGACACCAACACAAAGAAATAAAAATGATGATAGGAATGTTGATAGATTGGCACGTAATGTTAATAGACTAGAATTGATCATCATTGATGATGATGATGACGATGATGATATATTTGCTTCTTCCGTTTTTGTATTCATTGTTGTTGTTGTTGGTGGTGGTGGTGGTGGTGGTGTTGTCGAAATTTCTATACAATAATTATTATCATGGATATGATGATGATTATCGGAAGGACTATTTGTGGCCATCAAACGATGTTCATCATCACAATCATCATCCGATAAATGATTTTTATTATTATTTACTTTATTATGATTAGCAATTGAATTTATATGAGCTTGATCAACGACATTAGTACCGGTGTTTAATGATTGTTGTGAAATGTTGATGATTTTATGATGAATATTATCAAACAGATGATGATGTTGATGATCATCATAATGATGAATTTGAGGTTGTTGTTGATGATGATGATTATTATTATTATTATAGCTACTATGATTGATGGCCACCGTTTTTGTATTGCCATTTCATCATTGGTTTCATAGTTTGATGGTGATGATTTTCAGTTTTGTTTTTGTGATGGTGATGATGATGATGAAGATGATTATTTGAAATAGTGCCATCAAGTTGACCGTTAGAAATGTCATCACCATTGTGATGACCATTGTGGTGGCCACCACCTCGATCGTCATCATCAAATTCATTGATTCGATAAACATCATTGGCCATTTTTTTTTGTTGTTGGATATGTTGAATAGAATTCTTGATTTTTTTTTGTCTTTCAAAAAATCAAATTTTGTTACTAATAATAAGCTCGAAGAAGAAAAGAGTCTGGTGGCTTCGTTTCGTTGTTTGGCAGTCTATATGTGATTCAATTTTATCATCATTTGTTGCTACAAAACAAAACAAAAAAATTTTTTTTTTGTTTCAAACTTAGCAATGACTTTTGACGATGATGACGATGATGGCAAATGATGGTGATGATCAATTGGTCGATTTTTCACTTTTTTTTCTTATGACAAGTATTATATTCTTAGGTGGATTTATGATTTTTATAATAATGTTGGTGAGTCCATCAATGAGCATTTAATAATAGAAATAATCAATACAAATATATCACTAAAGAATAAGGATCATCGGCGGTCGTTTTTCTTTTATCATCATCATTAATAGTTATATTATTGTAGAGTGGTATTTCGATTATATCTTGTCTTTTTTTTTCTTGTTCTTGTTCAGATAATAACAAGGATTATGACTGGCGCCATACAATAAGAAGAAAAATTGCATACTTCCTTATAAGGGTCTTTCATATTGAAAAAAAAATCGAAGCAATCAATTACTCATACACACACACACACACACACACAAACAAACAAAAACACAACATTAGTCATCGATGAACGGAAACTGAAAAAAAATAATAAACAAAAAAGAAATGAAAATATCCGGAGCCATACACTTATACACACACACACACATGCACACGTTTAAATGATGAACAAAATCCAAATCAAAATTGATGAGATCAATAGTTGAAAATTAGAAAAAAAATATCTTTCAAAATTGATTCAATTTAAATGATATGAATGAATTCAAATTTAATCTTCTTCTTCAATTATATTATTATTATTATTGTCACACTATATATTATTCATAGATATTGGATAAAAATCCACCAGTAAAATAAAATCGATCCAGATCATCGATTTTGTTATTTTGGCAGTTTTATTTGTTGATAAAGCTTATCGATAGTTGTTTGTTGGTTTTTTTTGGAGGTGTGGTCACCATCAATGATTTGATTTGATTCAATTTGGGTGTTATTGATTATTATTATTATTGATTCTATCCAAAAAAAAAAATTTTTCTTTGGGATTGATGGTTGGTATGGTAGTACGGTTTATCGTTGTCATTAATGATGATGATGATATTTAGTAAAAATAAAGTACACAATTGAATACAAGATTGCAGAGAGAGAGAGAGAGAGAGAGAGAGAGAGAGAGGGAAAAAATATTTATGTTTTTTTTTTATAAATTTCTTCACTATTTACAGAGTCACATGGTTGTTGATGATGAGGATGAGGAACACGAAAAAAAAGGAATGACGACGACTACGTTCCATGTATATATTTGATGATAATGTTTGATATGTGAAATGATGATTATATTGATTAGATAAGACATCCGCCTGTGTGCGTGCGTGTGTGTTTGTGTATTTAGGATCTGGAAATTGAAAAAAAAGAGAAAGAAAATTATTAGCAATTTTTTTTTTTTTTTTTTTTGGTCTGATTAGGAAAAAAAAGTAGTTCTCTGATATATGACATGCTACTATTACAACATTATAAAAATAGATACTGAAAAAAAAAACTAGAAATTACATTTAAAGGAAAAAAATGTTCTTAGATACAAAAAAAAAATTATATCGATTAGATTGATGTGGCTACTCTGCTACACTACCACCACCACCACCACCACCAAAATACACACCGGTTATTTGTTGTTACACATATAACGGTTTTTTTTCATATAAAGATGATGATGATGACGACGATGATGATGTATCATTTATGGATGGCTTGTTTTTGGCTTTGAACCAATAGAAAAAAAAATTTTTTAATGTTTAAAGATAATTTTCATTTTTTTTTCATTCGAATTTACAATTAATCGATTTGTGCATATGTGTGTGTGTGTGTTGGCGATTGAAACAAACAAACAAACAAAAATTTCCGTTTTGTAGAATTCAAAAGATTGAACAAAAAAAATGTAGATTGCAGATGTAGGCGAAAAAAAATGAGAAAAACACGCGCGCATTCATCTCAACATTACATTGGAATGTCTATACAATGCCGATTGCATTTTTTTTTTTTTTTTGATATATCGAATGATGATGAGAATAAATAAATGAAAATGCCATATGCCAACCGGCTTGTTGCCTTATATGATGATGAGTATGTTTACAGATGATCACACTTTTGAAAAAAAAATTTGTTGAGATTTGAATTCCAACATGAACAACGATAACAAAGTTTTGAGTCTTGTTGTTGTTGTTGTTGTTGTTATTGTTTTTGTTTTGGTTGATGGATTTGCCCACTATCTATATTTATGTAATGCAAGTTAATACTTACATATAGTGGTGGTGAGAGAGAATGAGAGAGACAAATGAAAAAAACCCGACGATAAATGACTAATCAGTCAGTGTTGTTAGTATGTGTGTTTTTTTTTGTTGAAATATACGAAATAATATTGCCGAAAGAAGTAAGAAATGTGTATGTAAAGAAACGAAGACGTTTGAAGATGATGATTATTATTATGATGATGATTACAATTTAACCAATATTACCAAGACGACTACGACGACGACGACGATCAAGTCGACGTCGACGCCGTCGGCTTATTATTGGCCTCTGTCGAGCCACATTTTTTTTGCCACTAAATCTGACAACGACAACATAAATAAATAAATATAAATGAAGAAAAAAAAACGATAGCTTATAGCCAAGACAACAGCCGATGAATAACAACAATCACAACAAAACAAAAAAAAAAATCAATAATAAAAACAATTATGATGATGATTAAAATAAAAATGAATTTCAATTGACGAAGAAAACAATAATCATCATCATCGTAATATAACGATCATCATGATAATGATAATAATAATTTTTTTTAACGTTCGAATTCGATGGATCGATGTTGATGAACAGAAGAAACAATCGGCGATGAACAATCGATTGTTTTTCGTATTTCGAACGTTGTACATTCGAATCGAATATACCGAAAATGAAGTTGAATGTCTGATTATTTTGTTTGCTATGATTATTTAATTTATTGATCAAAATATTTTTTTTTTGCCGATTCTTTTTTTTGCCATCAATCATTGATTGATTGATTGATTAATCGATTGGCTATATTTTTATTATTATTGTGGATTTGAAAGAAAAAAAATGAATGAATGAATGATCGTATGATCAATGATAACCAGAAAAAAAATTTCTCCAAATAAAACATAAACAAACTCCTATCGATTGACGTATATGACAATGATGATCATGATCATGATCCTGAAATTAAAACAAACAAACAAAAAAAATTGGCTGCCAGACCTATTATGGTATCGTATTTGTTATCGAAAAAAATGTTATTGATCAAATAATGATTGATGTTTATCGTATGACCAACCGGAATGTGAAATGAAATCCAATATATAATCACCGTAAACAATACAAGTGCTGTTTTTTGTTTGATATTTTCATCATCATCATCAAATGTAATCAATTTGACATGTGACATTTTATTATGACATCATTGTGTGTTTGAATCGAAATTTGAGATGATAAATCACAAGAATCGAATATAATAGAATGTTATTTATGGATATAGTTCGATTATAATTCGTATCGAATTTCTGGAATAAACAAAAGAAAAATTCAAATTCACTTGAAATGGAAATTCGAGAAAAAAAAACTAATTCAACTGTGTTTGTGGTCATGGATCAACACAGACAAACAAAATGTTCTTGTTACCATGGCAATCAGACGAAGCTTCGAACTTCACAACTCGATAGACAAAATGGATCTGCAAAGAATGAAGAATGGAAAAAAAATCATCAAGGCAAAAGAAAAAAAAATGACGACGACATTGAAAAAGAAAAAGGAGGAAAAAATTCCATCATTTAACGAAAGAAAATGTATGTATGTATACAGAACCCGACGATGATGATGATCATTTTCCATTTTTTTTTTTCTTTCAAAGTAGAAAAATTTTTCGCTCTTTTTTTCTGATGATTCGAATCCGAACAACCAAGAACAGCAAACAACAACAACATTCGACATTCATGGCCACCAACTGTTTGCTGTTTGTTAATGCAAAAAAAAACTCTCTAGTTCTGAAAATTCCCGGAATTTTGGGAGTTGCAAAAAAAAAGAATTTATCTCATTTTTATTTTCTTTTTGCTCTCTGCATATTTATGGCTTCCCATTTTGGAACATTTGATAAATAAGTGGTGGTATGTATATAGATTTAATGTTAATCAAAAAAAATTTGTGACTTTTATTGACAAATGAAGTAAATTTATTCATTTTTCCTTTCTTTTTGTTACCCATTATCGGTCCAGACAAAATGATGATGATGATGATGATCACCCAAGCAGACCAAAAAGGAGAGACATTATCAATAATTTCCATTTGAGAATGTTATTCCGATAATGTCTTGAATGGATTGTCTTGTTTCGAAAATCAAGAATCAACTATGCTGTGTGTTTGTTTTTTTTATTATTATTGATAGATTGATTGATTGATTGAAAAATTCTGTTTTATTACCACAAATAAAAAAAATTCAACCATCATCATCATCATCATCATCATAGACATCAGATTGGAAATATACAAAAGAATTGCGATTTGAATTTCATATATGAATGCCAAGAAAAAAAAAATTTTGAAATCCAAATCAAAACCGACAACAACCATGAATAATAAAAATAAAATAAACAATCAGATTTTCACAATTGAATTCATGATCATCAACAACATCGAACATGTGATGATTGACATTGAATGAAGAATTTTTCTTTCTCACACGGAATTTAATTTTTTCTTCACATTTGAATGAAAAATTATTCTTCTCTCCTATCAAACAATGTTTTGACTTTTTTTTTTGTTTTGTTTTGTTTATTCATTTATGCCGCGTTGATGATAGATTGAATGATTTTTTTGCTTTTTGTTTTCTGTTTATTCACATAGAATCACATTCGAATTGTTTTTTTTTCTTAAATAATAGCCATATTTATGATTTGTGATGGTTCAATCGTTGCTACTTCAACAACAATTTCATTATTATTATTATTATTCTGTAGTTGTTGTTGTTGTTGTCTTGATATGATTTCATTATAAGTAGGCGGTGGTTGATTATTATTATTATCATCATCATTTAATCGTATTGGATATATTGGAACACTATGTATATCAATATCTTCATAATTTGGTAAATCATCGATATTATTATCCAAATTGTTCGATATCCGATGACTAGATGTCGCCACCGATGCCGATGATGATGATTGTGGTTGCTGTCTTATTGATGATGATGATGATGAACGTTGATGATTTCTTGTTGTGGCCAATTGTCGTTTACGTTCGATATTATATTCAAATATTGCCATCATTGGACTTGATATCAATAGTATCGATGCAATGATTATGAAAAATATTCCTATATTGATGATTGATATGAATAAAATAAACAAACAAAACAAAACAAAACAAAAAAAACGAAAACATAAGATTCGTAATGGAAATTAATATGAACAATTTATCAGACACGAACCAGTACCCATAATAAGATTATAATGACTAGTACGAATAATATTACAGATCAATATGATACCGATGATCAACAATATGATGCCAATAATGAATGAACACCAGCAACTATGACATATTGTAAAATGGCAACATTTACGTATCAATTGTAATTGATTACGACGTGTCTGTACATCGAATAATCGTTGTGGATAGAATTTCATTGTCGTGGTGGTGCCGAATGAATCTTTAACCAAGACAAAAAACACAAACACAAATTTCAAGAATTAACCAGAATTTAACCACCACCAAACATTTGTCATCATTATTTGTTTATGTTTATTATTGGTTTGATTAGAGCAAAAAACAAAACAAAATAATGATTCAATCACGACTGATCATTTTGGTGACATTCACGAATATGATGAATGCCTTATCATGATCGTTGGTGTTTGTTTTTTTTGAATATTTAAATTATTCATGCATTATAATCATTCATCATCATCATCATATGAATTAATTGCATCTGACATTGAAACATGGACAAAAAGAAATAAATAATTGATTCGTGAATCAAAAAAAAAAAATGATGATGATGATGATGATAACGATAATTATCATATTGACAATTCATTTTATTTCACAAACTTGTGTTCGAAATTGTCATATTCATAAATGACATTCAAAAATATTGAAAAAAAAATTTTTATTAATCCCAAATAATGATGATGATCAAGATGATTAAGCAGAAAAAAGAATGACAATAATTGTCATCATAATGAATAATAATGATCGATTCTGATTATTAACAATTGTACTACTACCACCACCACCACCATTCTGGCATTCATGACTATTTGCTGGCCATCGTATACAACCATTAACAATACGTTCATGAATTTGATGGAAATATTTTCTAACATCATCTTGTTGACAATTTGGTTCTTTCATCATTATACGTTGTAAACATTGTTCCCATTTCCATGTAGCACAACATGTACGATATGTTGTTGGCCATGTAAGTTGATTAAAATCTAATTCATATTGTCGTAATGGTTCTAGCCAACAGGTCCATTCACCACCGCTTATATGGAAATAACATTGTCGAAATTCATCATTGGTTGGTTTTTCAACATCATCCCAGAATTTAATATTATTCGATTTAGATGAACTATTTTTGTCATTATTGTTGATGAAATGATCATGACCATGATGAGCATCAATAATTTTCAATGAAATTATTATCAACAATAAACAGTGAAAAATAATTGAATAATAATACATCATCATATGGATCGATTGAATCAATGGATATCTTATATTTGTTTCAAATGGATTTTAATCACAATCATGATATATGAATGATGATGGCAAACAAACAAACAAACAAAAAAAATCGATTGGCCTAATCAGATTTGTATATTTTATTTATATAGAGATTGATTGATTAATCCTAAATAATGTTTCCTTCTTCTTTTTTCTCCCCACTATGTGATAAACATTGTCGTCGTCGTCATTTAAATCCAATGGAATTTAATCAATAGTGATGACATATAGCCTAACTAAAAATGATGATCCTTGATGATGACCAATATTGCAATATCAGTGTCCGGATTCTGTACATGCAACTAATACCAAGGACGAGCAAATAATAAATTCCAATCAATTAATCCTTCAATCAATGGATCAATTGGATCATTATTGATCGTCACCATCACTGTATAAATACAGGAAATTTTCATTCATTCATTATTTTTAGTTTTTTTGTTTTTTGGGGAAAAAAAACTGATTATTTTCAATGTTGATCAATGCATTTATATGAGATGATGATACAGCATTCCTACATACAACAAACATTGATTTGTTACCATACAACTACACAATGGATTGTGTGTGACTATTAGAAACAACATGAATGTTTGATCATCATCAACATTAGCGGCAGCTGAAAAGAGTATGCTGTTCACCTTTGTATGGACAACAACAGCAACATTAAATAGCATCGATCAATGTCTCGTGTGCCTGATGCTGATGATGATGATGATGATGATAATGATGTTCGATGATATTATTGGCCAATCATCATCATCAACAAATGTTTATTTTTTTTGCTCCTTCAATTCAAACTTGTAAAGTGCAATACATTAAAAAAAAAATAAGTTATATATCCATAGCTTCAAGCAAGCAAACAGCCGCAACTATCAATAGAATGGCCATTTTATTGATAGGATTGTTGTTGTTATTTATAAATACAATCCAATTGGAACAATCCAAACTAGTCCTTTTTATTCATTGAATTTTATTTTCTCTCATAGGAGCAAATTGATATTCATGAGAACGCAAAAAAAAACACAACGATCGATGTCATAACATTTTGTGTGTGTGTGTGTGTGTGTGTGTCATACCAAAATGTTGGGAAAAAATGTGTTTTTTTTCCAACAACAACAACAAAAAATTGAAAAATAAATGAATTCAAGTTTTTTGTGCAATCGCGAATTTTTTTTTTTTTGGGGGGGGAGTTTCAGAAAAAAAATAAAATAGTCACACAAAAAAAATTAAAAAAGAGGCAAATGGAATGTTTTTTTTTGTTGTTGTTGAAACAAACATCAAATGGATACACATTCATTGTTTTAGTGACTAATGATAAGTAATAATAAGTAGGATGAGTAGGTGGAAGATTGGGCGTTGGTGGTGGTGATGGCGGTGGTGGTCACTATCGGTGTGTAGTATCCACACACACACACACATATATCAGTTATATCACATTAAAGCAATCAATTATTTTGTTTTTGTTTTTGTTTTTGTCGTCGTAGTGGTCAACAACTATTATCATTATCATCAACATCATCAGCAGCAGCATTTTTTTTTTGTTGTTTTCGTTTGGTTTTCCAAACACATTTATTTTTTTTGATATCTTGTGAAAAAAAAAATCTTGAGAAATCAAAGAAAAAAAAACATTTAGATATCTTTTGACCATCAAAAATAAAATATTGTCGGCGACGTTAACGTTTTTTTTTTTTTTTTATTTTTCAAGGAAAAAAATATGAATGAATTTCGCTCCGTTTTTTTTTCTCGTTGTCACCATAATTATGGACGATTCGAATGAGAGAGAGAGAGACAGAAAGAAATTGCTTCGATGATGATGTACAGATTTGACCAGAGAAAAAAAATTTAATTTTCCTGAATAAAAAAAAAACAAATTGATTCGGCCAATTTTTTTTTCTTCAAATGAATCATCAGCGTCATCATCAATGGATCAAATCACTCATCTTCTGATGATGAAATTTAAAAAAAATGACATTGATGACCATAATTCAGTGATGATTTGATTTTTGAAATTTTCATTTCCATTTTTTTTTGTTGATAAAATCTTTTGTTTACATCGACAATGATAATTAAATCGTCATCTCATATATGAACATGCCACCATCACTCAATCATCATCATCATATGTCGAAATGAAAATTAAATAGACAAAACCATTTTTTTTTGTTGTTTTCTTTTCACAATATTGTGTTTGTTTGTTCCACACCACATCGTAGTCATCATCATTATTTATATATATTAACTTAAATGATTGTAGAGATTTATCCATTTCGAAATCATTATTATCATCATTGACGATCATCATCATCATCATCATGTTTTCTTCACCTTCCTTCCTTTCACTATGTCTTTCTACACACTCTGTCAATAGTTGTGCACATATACATGAAAACAATGAAAGGAAATTCGAAAAAAAACTATCACATGTTACAGACAACAAACAACAAACAAACAAAAAATTTTCGGCTCTCTGTCAATTTTGATTTTATTTTTTCTCTTTCATTTTTTTCGTGGATTTTTTCTCTCCCTCTCTCTCTCTCTATTTTTTCATCATTTGTTGATGATGATAATGATAATCCTAATATGATTTGATATCAACTAAAAGTATCATATCGTGTTTTGAATGTCGTCGTCTTTGTATTCGTTCAAGACCAAAAAAAAAAAAGAAAGTTTACTACTTTGCTTTTGTGCTTATTTTAGCTCCAACAACACGTTCTTGCAACATACACTTGCACGTACTACACATGGACATTCTTGTTTCAACGTATTACAACCTACACGCAAACACACACACACACCAATTAGATTCTGGTTCATTTTCATGTTGATAATTATGATTAATTATGATGGTGGTGGACATTTTTGTTAATGTTCATGTGTTTTACATGTGATGATAATTTTAAAAACATTATTCCTCAAATCATTTATCGAATGTTTTGTTGGGTGTTTTGTGTGTGTGTGTGTGTGATAGTATACTATCGATATATCGATAATATATTTTTATTATATCGACCTTCACATTTCGAATATTTGTGATCAATAATTAATAATTAATCTAATATAATTCTTTAAATGAAAACGAATATCATATCCATTAACGATTACATTTTACAATTTTTGAATCATGATGATGATTAAACAACCATTATTATCATACGATGATCATGATCAATCACCGTTGAAATTATTATCCTGTCTATTGTTTACAATTCATCTGATTGATTCATATCGATCACAACGACAAAAACAACAACAAAGACAACAACAACAGCAACAACAACAACAACAACAACAACGTAATTCCATAATAATTTCCACATTTTCACGATTATTATCCATACGAAAATTATTGAAACAATTACATCAAACATTGACGAATGTTGACGATATGCCATTTTGAATAATTGATTTTTTTTCGTTCAAATCAATTTTTTTTAAATTTTCTCACTGTGTGTGTCTCATGATCTGATTTCAAATTTTTTTTTTAATACAGGTAAGTATATTTGTTATCAACGCTGATCGCCCTTGTTCAAAAAAAAAAAATATTCGATCACTGATCATTTTGACTTTTCAATATCATCACAATCATATTCCTACCCTTCATTTTTTTCTGAGTGTCCTTCGTGAGAATTTTTTTTTTTTTTTTTTTGCCTGCTGTACAGAGAGATTTATTTTGATCTATTGATTGATTGATTGGTTATCATCATTATCGATGAGAAAATTAGCAACGGAAAATGAGAAAGAACAAAAATCATTTTTGAAGGCAAAACATAATTAGTAAGATAAGAAAAAAAAAATTTTAAAGAAAGGTATGCGTGTGTGTTTGATGATTTTTTTCCTTGAATTCAAATCAATTTCCGTGATCAATCAATAATTTTTTTTTTTTTTTTTGATTATTGCTACTGTGCGTGTGTGTGTATTGTATTGTATTGTATTGTCGTTAATCTGTTTGATGATTATTTGATTACTATGAATTTTGAAAACGAAAAAAATGAAATTTTTCGTTTATCAATTTTTCAAATGAGGTGAAAAATCGTGTGTTTGTGGAATGAAATTTGAAATGAATTGAACAACAACAACAAAAAACACACACAGAGACATTTTCCATGCATGAATGAATCGATATATGTATTTATGGTGGTTTTTTGTTTGTTTGTCATCATTGAATCAAATTCAATTGAATTTAATTTAATTTAACACAATGATAATAGCAATAATCTCACTGTTGATTGATGACAGATCTACTACACATGATGATGTCATGTGATCGATTAGATTGGATTTTCATTCTCCATTTCCTTTTCTAGATTCAAATTTTTTTTTCAAATTAAAAAAAACGTGAGTGCATTGCAGCAATATATCTATATATATTTGTTTTCCGTTGGCCAAAATACATTATCAATTGTTTTGGTAAATTCTGGTTTTTTTTCACCAGAATTAATCAAAACAATTGAACAAATTCTATTGAAATCAATCAATCAAAAAAAAAAAAAAAATTTATTTCAAGTGCAAAACAATTTTTTTCTCACATTCAAATATATGTACAATTTATACAACATGAAATCATCGTTTTTTAGAATGAATGAATGATGATGATATGCACTTAAAAAAAATTGATGATGAAAAATGCAAATCAATCACGTATATACCACACAGATATCGTCATCAATGATGATGATGATGATGATGATGATGATGATGATGGAACATATATTTGTTGTTTTGGAACGGTTTTTTTCTTTGGTATTAGCAGTAGTAGTAGTAGTAGTAGTGGTCATTTTCAATAACAATAATAAAAAAATGATGATGATGATGATAATCACGTGACCTTGTTGATGGAGTGGTACAAATATATGAAACTTTTTTTGTCAAAAATTTTTTTTTTTTTTTAATGGACTGTACTCACAATGTTTTTCTGTCTGTGTGTGTGTGTGTGTGTGAACAAAAAAAAAACAAAATAAAAACGAAAAATCCAGAATTAAAATTCATTCATTTTAAATCAGATTTAAATCAGAAAATAACAGCAATAATCAGAAAAAAACATCATGAAACGTGATTCACAACTCATTCGAAATTCAAACATTCCTGATGACGACAATCGACAATAATCATCAAATTGATGATGATGATGATGACGAACTTCAAAATAATGACGAATGGTAAAAGAATCTACCCCCTATAAGTTTTTTTTAAATTGATATTTAATAGTGAAATTGGGAAATTTTCTCAAATTAAAAAAAAAATAACAACATCCATGAGAACATGTGATCATCATCATCATCATCATCAATGTGCTCTAATCGTTTGATTATCATCATCATTTTTTTTGTTGTTTTAATATCACACACATACATGCATGTACAACATCATTATCAAATTTTTTTTTTGATGAAAACTACGTAATTAACGAGACGATTATTTGTTGCATTAAATGTGATGTGACGCCCAATTGTTGCTTAAACAAAAAAAAAAAAGTATCGACTTGTTATGCATAGAAAAAAAAATGTAAATGATGAATTTTGATCGATACATTTGAATCACCATGTTTCATCATTTTCCTGACATCTCTATATTCTATAAATTGGTGTGTTTGTGTGAAATATTTTGTTCACACCCAAAACTGATGATGATACACACGCACACACATACCAACCAGTTTTAGTATATTGACGAAAAATATTTCTATTTGTTTGAAATGAAATGAATGAATGAATGAAAAAGGCATTTTCTTGTTCAGTCTGATTTCGCTACCACCATCATCATATGTATATAAATTCAGAATTTTTTCTTTTGATTATTTCATAACAAAAGCCGAACAACAACAACCCGGTTGCTGGAAAAATTTATCCCTGTGTTTTTTTATTTGATTCGCAAAAAAATTTATTTTTTTTAATTTCAAATTTTTTACGTTTTTTATAATTTTACCCTGAAAACAAAAACCAAAGAATTTTTTCTACCCTGAAAAATAATCATTCATATAGCAAAAAAAAAATGATTGTCAAATCGAATCCTGATTCAATTATTGGTTTTGAATCATCATATCAACAAAAACAACGACAACCACAATTAGAATTGGAACATAATGAACCACAACATCAGCAGCAACAGCAACAATATCCATATCCGGTAAAATATGTTACAATCAATACATGTTCATCATTATATAGACAATGGTCAAAAACAAAAAAATCACTATATAAACGTGCTATTGATGGTTTAGATTTACTTGTTGAATATGCCGATACAATTGATCAATGTCATACAGATGATGATGATGATGTAAATATGATCACAATATTAGCATTACATGGTGCACCAGGTTCACATGAAGATTTTGAACCATTTATACAATATTTTGGATCGAAAAAAATTCGTTTTATTGCACCAAATTATCCTGGTTAGTATCTTTATTTATTCATGATGATATTTGATGTCCTAAATTCAAATTTAGATCAACAGATTTTTTTTTTTTTTTTTTTTTTTGACTCACATCATAAGATCAGTGTGTGCGTGTGTGTGTGTGTACGATTTGATGTTTTTGTGTGCTACAATTTACTCTTAATCTAATCATTTGATGGTTGTTTGTTTGTTTATTTGTTGAAAGTTGTGTAAAAAAAATTTGGTTCATTCTATCAATCAAAAATATTTCAATTTTTCGTCTTTATCAATTTTGTTTTGATTTGAAAAAATTTTTTTGATAATGATGATGAAATCAATTTTCTAATTTTAATGTTTTTCTTTTTTTTTCTTTTGATTTTTGTTTCATCAAAATTAGACATAAACATTACCATACAGACAAAAGTATTTCGTCATTCGGCTGAAGAAAAATTTGAATACATCAAGGATTTTCTTCGTGCCATCAATGTTAATAGGTATGGGAAATTTTTATTTTTATTTTTTTTTCTTCTGTTGTTGTTGTTATTCAATTTGAAATATTGACAATATAGCATGATGACTCATCTTTGAATTTAATTTCATTTTTTTTCTGTTTTGTTTTGTTTTGTTTTGTTTCGTTTTCCATATAATTATCATCTGATGATGACGAAATTTCAATATCTTTCAGTATTGATTTAATACTATCGCATAGTAGTTCAATATATCCAACGGTACGATTATTGTGTGATCAAACAGATGTACAGATAAAAGCGGTGGCATTTTTCAATCCGGTTGGCCATCGTCGTATACAGGCAATGCGTCCAGCATGGTTCACTGAAGGTTCGGTGAAAATTTATCAAAATAAATTTGGTCGTACTGTTTATCAGATTTTTGGTAAAGGTTTTATCAAAGCAACCGGTACTGTGACCGTACGACCAGATAGTATGAACAATGTAATGTTATCGGCACAAACGATGCGTTATTCAAATTATAAACAGGTAATGAAATGTAATGATATATGATTTGTGATTAATAATTTTCTCTCTCTCTCTATCCAATCAGCTGGAAAAATATTTACGAAAATTAAAAGAAAATCAAATACCAACATTATGGGTTTGCGGTGATAATGATCGACTTGTTGAAAAGGAAATCTTTTACGAAATGATTGAAATAATGGATGGTAATGATGAATATAATTGGCAAAAATATGATTGTAATGGCAAAATGTTGACACAATGTAAGTGATTTGTTGTTGTTGTTGTTGTTGTGATTTTTTTTATTTATTTTTTTTTTTTTTAAATAAAATTTAGATCAATCGGACAGTAATATAAAAATATTATTCTTTGAACAAGGTGGTCATTATACATTCCATAAATTTTCGAATGAAGTCATAAAAGAATGTGATAAATTTCTAAACCATATTCTATTGAATCGACAACGAAATAATCATAAGATCATCATCATCATCATCATCACCATCACCACCACAATCATCATCATCATCATGATTATCATTAAAAAAAAAATGTAAACAGGAAAAAACAACAATTGGATAATAATATAGGACTAATATATAACAATTGAATTGAAACAATATAAAATGTGTATTGATAATCAATTTTTTTTTGTGAAATTTGAAAAATGAAAAAAAAATTCTAAATTTTTTATTATTATTTTGTCACATTTTGTCATGTTTTGTTTTGTTTTGTTTCGTTTTTTTGCCAATGAATTTTTCATCATTGAATCAATGCATGTACAATCAATGCATTCAAAGTGCCGAATGTAAATCCTGTCAATATATCGCTCAGGAAATGCCATTTGATTAGATATTGGCTATATCCAGGAATTAAATATACAATGAATATTGCCATTTCTAGCAATAATAACGATAATCTATATTTCCAATTGTTTAAAAAATTCGAAACACCAGTCAATGATTGTTTGTTGTTGTTGTTGTGGTTGTTTTTGACTAAATAAATTCCGATGAATAAAACATGCTAAATATGTACCAGCAAATGCTCCCATTGCTGAATGGCCAGAATAGAATGAAAGACGTGAATTTGTTATATACCATGGATAATCATTATTTAAACATTCAAATTTATCAATATAATGATCAATATGGGTACCATTTGGACAATAACGATCTAAATGACAAAAATCATATACATGTGGACGTAAACGGCCAAATATACGTTTAAATATTTCGGTCATATTCATATTGATCATGAAACCAAATAGAAATTTTTTCAAATTTGAACTCGATGAACATGATGATGATGATGATGATGTATATCGTTGAATCAGGTAAATTATCACCAATGGAATAATCAATGTAGATACGAATAGATATCGTGTTTTAAACCACAATGTTCGAAATCGATATTTTAATGATTCATCTGAACAATTAAATCCACGTTGATATGGTGGCCAATAACGATAAATCAATGGAAACAATAAAATCAATAGGATTATAATTTTACGATCAATTTTCAATGCCATTCTTTTAGTGTGTTGTTTGCAATTTAAACCCAAAAATATAAATGATAATCTACAACAAGTGGAAATAAAATAATCTCATCTTAATTGGTACATTCAAAGATTACATTTTATCATTATCAAAAATCAAAAAAAACCAACAAAATTCATATTACTATCACGTGATTAATTTGATTAGTCTATTTCGACCGAGCATTGTCTAACCAATACGAAATAGGCAAATTATTTTTAAATCAGAACAAAAATTTCCGTGAATATTCTGCAATTAAAATTTGACTTTTGACATTGATCTATTGGAATTCTACGACTCATCTGGTACTTCTTGTCGACGTTCATTGACGGGTGTTGTATTAAAAAAAAAAAACCAACAAACAAACGGATTCATTGTTGTTGTTGTTGTTGGTGGTGGTGGTTTTAATTCGTTATAATCAAAAACATGTGTCACATGACAATGTGACATACATACATGATATGTCATGTCATTTTTTTCGGTTCATTGATAATAGATATTATCTTTCATTGTTTGATTGTTAGAAAACAAGACAAGAATTTGGTGACAAACATATGGTAAGGATTTTTTTTTTTGCTTTCTTCATTTTTTATTGTCATTCATTTGTTGTAAACATTCCAATAGAAAACTATAAGAATCATCATGGACAAACATTCCAGGGTCGGTCACCGTCTTCGTCGTCGTCGTCGAAAATGATTATCATCTAGTAGTAATTTGTTGGCAAGGCAAAGCATATTGATGAACCTAATGTCATAGTCATAAGGGACACGACTTTATCGATTTGTTTAATCGTTCAAAACCATTATACGACGACCATTATGATAATAATAATCATCATCATCATTTGAATATAGCTATCAATTTAATGTTTAGCTCTAACAACAACAACAACAAAAATTGGATCTGTTTTTCTCTCTTCTTTTTTCCTTATATGTTTGGTAGTTTTTTATATTTATTTATTTCATTTTATTTTCGTTTGTTTGTTTGTATTAGTCACGTTTGTTTTTTTTTCTATCATCAACCAATATATTATCTACAAAATCCAGCCAAGCCAAGCCAGCTGTACTCGAAATGAAAATTTTCCCGGCAAATCAAATCCCAAAATTGATGTCGATTCTTCCTGAATACTCATCTCATTTCAACACATTTGCAAATGTAAATTGTCTTTTTTTTTCATAAACAGAATTGTTTCCTTTTTTTCATATTACACCCAATCGAATGATTGATTCGATTCGAATACAAGAACGCATCAAAGAATCTATGGTATGTTTTTTTATTTATTTACGTTTTATAATCATCGAGTTTCAATTCAGACATGATAGTTAAGCTTAGATTTAATGTTTAATCAAACCGAAGAATTCCCATTTTGGTTGAAAATTCTCAACCAACAATATATTTCTGTTGCTGTTGTTGTATTCTAATCATTAATTCTTTCATTTCATTTTATTTTTATTTTCAAATCATCAGACACACACTCATTCACATTATTAGCTGGGCGTGCCTGTTCCAAATTTGAATCATCGTTATCATCATCATCATCAATTGTGGTCACACTACATACCCCCCCAAATTATTTATATGCGTGAATGTGTCATCTGTGGATCCATCATCATCAACAACATCGCTATCATCAGCACAAAAATAGTAGAAAAAATGACACACACACACACACAGCACAGAGCACAACAGAATAATATATATAAAATGGTTTACTGGGCGCTTATAATTTGATTTTAGTTGTCGACTACAACACAACAGCAACAGAGAAACCGAATTATAGCTATTCTGGGCGAATTTTTTATTATTATTATTATCCGCATTGCCCGGATTCGTAATATGTGGCTTTTCCCTCTCTCTGTGTGTGTGTGTGTTTTTATTTCAGTTCTTTTCATCATTGACCACCATATGAATGATTTTAATGATTTCAATTTTTTTGAAATGAATCGGTGACAGTTTTTTTTTGTTTTAGTACAACGGAAACAAAGACATTGAAAACAGCGACAAGATTAAGTGATATATATGAAAAAAACATTGTCAAAAAGTTTGTCGTGTCGTTTTATTCATGGTCAATTATTGCATTCTTGTGGCATTGATAATGAATAATGATGATGATGATGGTGGTGGTTCATTTCAATCAAACTAATGATTGATTTTTCATTTTCATTTCTTTTCTTTTTACACTTTCACTTAAACTTTACTATACGACAAAAAGGTCATTGTACTGGATAATATAACAAATTATTTTTTGTTGCTACGATCATCATTATCACAATCACATTCGATTTTCGGTGGGTAATGAAATGGGTAAAAATCCTATTTACTTTTCCATTGTATCATCATCATATAATGTATTATTATTATGATTCATTCAGCCAATGAAGAGAAAAAAAAGAAACGATTGCAACCTCTTTAACAAGACAATTAACGAATATATCGTGTGTTTAAGAAGAATCAAAAAAAAAATGTTTTTTTCTTTTTTTGTATTTGTTTGTTTGTATCATGAGTAGCAACGAAGAGAGAAAAAATTCCAAATTTTCAATACAAGAAAATAATAATGAAATTTAAAATTTATGTGTAATTGCCGCTATATATATATTGCTCTGTTGTAATCATCATCATCATCATCGACGTAATGATTCGAATAATTTGTTTTTTATTATTATTAATCATAAGTGGTCAATCCACTTTGAGTGTTCATTCTACAAAACAATTATCATCATCATCATCATCATCATCATTCAATGATATAATTGATTTTCGTTTCAACACTGCCCATATTGATGGTATTACTAATCTTATCAATGATTCATTATTGATTATAAGTAACAATTATTATTGGTTACTTGATCAACAAAATCCATTGCCATTACCATTTAATGTTAATGGCCACATTAAACAATTGTATGATGGTTTCGAAAAAATTGATACCATATGGTTAGATCCATATAATGATATTAGTCCACAAATTTATCTGGTATCCAATGTAATGTTTTTTTTTGTATACTGTTTTTCTGGTTTCAAAATTTAATTTGATTCACTTGAATTGTTTCACAGACACCTGAATATGGTTTACGTGTTGTATGCAAAGAATTTGATGATGAACCATTCAATGATATTTCAAGTTTCTGTCATTTACCAGTGGATCATCGATGGTTGGCAGCATTGAAAGATCTGGATCCCAATCGACCAATCGATGCGGCTACATGGCGTAATCGTACTAAAAATCAAGATGGTGGTTTTTGGGTATTTTTTCAAGGTTTGTAAAAGTTTTTCAAAAAAAAAATTTTTGACAAAATAACCACTACCTTTTTTTTTGCTTATAGGCAAAAAAATGATCACTATCGATCCATATGAAATGAAATTGCGATTCACTTATGATATACAGAAATGGATGTCCATCAATGATACATTAACAGCCGCATTCTATGATTATCGTAAAAATGTTTATCATTTATTTTTCGATAATAACCGATATTATACATGGACAGTGAATGTTTCCTATATGAATAGTTTACCAATGTCATGGGTATGTGTGTGTTTATGTGTAAATGAATTTGATTATTTGTTGTTTAATTTTATCTAAATGACATATCTATCATCATCAACAGGATCGAGCTTTTCTTCATGGTAAACTTAGTCTACCAATGAGAATAAATCGTGATTTTTTTGGATTCCCTGAAAAAGATTTACGGCCATATGCACAGCCTTATTATAAGAAAAATTCTTTCGATATCCATACCAACCATATAGTGCCTGATGATGAATTCAATGGTGATGATGATGATGTACGGAATCGACGATTATCAACAACAACGACGACGACGACGACTACTACTTCAACTCCAAGACATTGGTTACCACGAAAACCAATTCATAATTTAAAACAGCAATTGCCAAATTATAACGATAATAGAAACATTGAAAATGATGATGAACATTCGGATCGTACAAATTCAATTCAATATGATTTTACTACACATTTGAGACGTTTAAAAATTGAAGATGTTCGTGATTTTACCCAAATAAAATCAAATCATATACGCCAAACAGATAGTTCATCATCATCGGCAATGCTGGCACCATCACCATCATCATCATCATCATCATCATCATCATCATCATCATCATCATCATCATCATCATCATCATCATCATCATCATCATCGTCAACATCGTCAACATCATCAACGTCCAAATTGAAACCTTGTACACAAATGATCACATATCTCATCATCATTGTCATCATCAACATTTCCTAATTCATATTTTGGCCAAAGTACAAAGTATTGCCGATCTTGATCAATATAATGAAGAAAAAACATTGTATTAAACAATTACATTGAAAAAAATGGGGAAAAAAGTCTATGTAAGCCACGCCTTTTTTATACCAATATTTCAAAACAATATAACTGTTACTGTACAAAGTTTGCCCTCTTTTCCCGGTAGGATTTTTTTCAATGTATTATTTACATGATGATAATTTTTTAAAAGTAATTAAAAAAAAATGAAAATAAAAAATATATATTTATTTTCGAACGTTTATGAATTTTTATTTTTTCAATGGAAAAAACTGCCATCTATTGAATGGCAATAAAACTATGATTCTTTTTTCTCATTCGAATTGAAATTCATTCATTTATTTATTTGTTTGTTTGTTTTTGTTTTGACAACTAAAATCCGTTTTTAGCTATAAATTTTTTGTTCATAAGTAGAGTACCGCGTCTGTGTTTTTCATTATGAATAATGTTGATAATTTTGTTAAATTATTTCATGCAAATACAAGTACAGATGATGATGATTTAATTAAATAATAAATTAATTAATTAATTATTGCCAATGACCGAGATGCTGATGATGATGATAAAAAAAATTGGATTGCTAAATTAATAAGATAAATAAACGAATATATAAAATAATCCAATAAATAATTGATGAATGATATGATGTGAGAAAAAATTTTCCATTTTTGAAAATGATGAAACGAGATACCGGGTGAATAGAAAAAAAAACAATAATAACAATTTGGTATATAAATGTGTCAAATGATGATAATGATCCGATTTCTCAATGAATTGATTATTGTCATTGTTTTGTTTTTTTTCCATTGAAAAATCCGATTATTTTGTAACTATGTGTGTGTGTGTGTTTCAAAGTTTTTTTCCATTGTTTTGATTATTTAGAATCAAAATCTAAATGTGTTATGTCACAAATTGTTGTCGTTGATGGTGATGATGGTGAATAATCTAAATCATCATTAATTGATTCTATTGGCCTCCAACCAGTTGCATTTGGTCCAAATTTATATACTAATCGACGGCCAAATACTGGAAGTAATACTTGTGATTTATAATAATATCTATATATGGATGGAGAAATGAAATATTTGAAATTTTAAAAATTTAAAAAAAACTTGAACACTTTACCTCATTGCACGGCTTAATTTTTCATAGGTCATACGAGGATTCTGTTTACGTTCACCCCACATTTTTGCCACCTTATCAGATTGCATGAATTTAAATATACCATCTTCTTGTCTTTCCCAACGTATGAGACTTGGATTAGTGATCGGATTCAGAAGAAGATCACGAATAAATTCCCATAATTTTCCATTACCTTTACCTTAAAATTAAATTTGAAAATGAAGTGAAATGAATATAATTGATAAACAAAAAAAAATTACTTACTTCGAGATTTATTCTCTTTTTTAGGTGGCCGTCCTCGCCTTCCATTATTAATTGCATTGGAACAATTATTATTCTGATGATGATGGCCTCTCATTGTATATTGATGGTGAGAATTTAAATGTTGCTGCTGTTGTTGTTGTTGTTGATGATTATGATGATGATGATGTGGTTGTTTCAAGGCTAATTCATCATCATTCGATGTTTGATCAATGTCAATGTCGATATTGGACGATTGGTGGTGATCATTATTATTATTGCTTTTGAAAATAACATGAATCTCGTGGCCATTTGGTTGTTGATGTCCATTATTATTATTATTATTGGCCAAATTTGATGATAATGATGATGGTGATGATGATGCTGATGGCAGTTGTTGTTGTGGTTGCTGTACTGATGGTAAATAATATGAACCGATAACAAGGGGAATTTTTTGTAATTGTTGTTGTTGTTGATCATGATGACGATATTGATGATGATGATGTCCATGTTGATTATGATTATGATTATGATGATGATGATCGCTATAAGTTGTACTACTAGTATTACTTTCACGATCAGAATCGAATGCTATCATCATCATCATCATCATCAAAATAAAGAGGGAAAGAAAAAAAAGAAGATATATGATAAAATAATTGATAAAGAATCGATTCTAAGAATAGTGAACGATTCGAATGCATTCGAATTCAAATTCAGATAGATATTTACCATAAGAGTTTGGACTTGGATCATTGAATGGATTATTATTATGATGATTAAGTTGTTGTTGATGATTAAATTGATGATGATGAATATGATGATGATGATTTGATTGTTGCTGTTGATTATTATTATCGTCAAATAAATCATCATTGTTTGTATTGGTGGTGGCTATTGTTGTTGAATCTAAATGTGTATTGTTCATTGTCATATGATATAGATCTAAATGAATTGGTAATAAATGATTATGATGATGATGGTTTGATATGTCATTCGTTTCATGATGATGATGTTGATGATTTTGTTGTTGTTGTGGAGCATAATCGGAATTTAGATTGGTTACCAAAAAATTGGTACTATCAATCGAATTCAATTGTTGTTGTTGCTGTTGTTGTGCGTTTAGATTAACATGGCGAAATTGTTCCATCAATGATTGTAATGAATCATAGATAAGATCACCATATTGTGGACAAACAGTGGTGAAATATTCACGTTGCATTTGACATAGCTCAATTCCAGCCATTTGATTATAAAGTAAATGTGCAATTTCAATATCTTGAATATTGTTTCTTGATGCCCAATATCGTATCCATTCGGCTACTTCAATTGGTTGCCATTGTTCCGGTGATTTTATTGACCATGATTGACCATTTATGTATGATGATGATGATGTTGTTGTTGGTGAATGTTGTTGTTGTTGTTCGATTTGATTGGAAATATTATAATCTGATTCATTCAGAGATGGATGGAGTGAATTAGTGTAAAAAAAAGTTAAAATTGATGAAAAAAAACTTACCACCAAGAATACATGGTATACAATTGACAATATTATTATTATCATCTTCATTTTGATTATTATTATTATTATTATGGCCAATAAGATCTTCAACAAGACATTGATTATGGCTATTTTGATGAATAGGTGACTTTAGCAAGTCGAAATGGCCATTATTTACATTCTCATTGTGATTATTATTATTAATAGTAATGTTCGAAAATGGTAACAAAAATGATGATGATGATGATAATGATTGATGACAATTGATGGTAGTGGTTGTTGTGGTGATTGGATCTGATTCCATATTAATCGATTTTGTTATTGGAGTTGCTGCTGTTGCTTCCGTTGAGGTTGTTGTTGTTGCCATCGATAATTGATGATAATTATTATTATTATTATTATTTTCATTATCATCTATTGAATGATCATAATTCATAATGGTGGTAAATCCATGATGATGATGATCATCGTTGATGATACTATAATGATCGGAAAATGTTAAATTAGCGGATGTTGGTGAAAAACTATCCATTGGATCATCAACCGGATTCGATGATGATGACGATGACGATGACGATGATGATGAAGATTGTGCTACCGTTGAACCAACGACAACACCACCACCACCACCACCACCAAAAAATGGTTCAATCTGATGCATCAATAATGTTGTCATTGTCATGATTTTTTTTTTTTTTTTTTTGTTCAAACAAAAATCAAAATCGATCTATACGTATATGAATCAATGATTCGAATGAATTCGTTTTTTCCTATATGACGAAATCAATGACAAATCAGAAGATGAAAAGAACAACAACAAAAAAAAATTAGTATCTGGTTAGCCAATGAAAACAAAACAAAAAAGTTCAACGAAATTTTATTTCTCGATCAAGGGAGAAAGCGAGAAAGAAAGAGAGAAAAAAAATTCAAATTTTCAATGTCCACGAAGGTTTTTTTTTTGTTTTGTCTACAAAAATTTAAATTCCTTGTGTTTTTTTTGAACATCAAATTATTAGTTTGAGAATCAATGATTTTTGTAATTATAATTCTGATGACCAGAAAAAAAACCTGGTTAAATATTTCTGGATTTTCCATCGATTTGTGTGTGTGTGTGATTGAATCGTGTAATCAGTCATGACATGATATATGACAATTTTCTTTCAATGATGATATTCAATAAAAACTATCGATTTATAGATCGATATCAATCACACATACACACCCACGCATTATCGAACAAAAAAATCGTGGTCATCATAAATCACGATTTTGTTTGTTTCATTGATGATGATGATGACGATGATTCAATGTCCTTGTCATATTTACCATTTTGTCCATCACCATAATAATGATGAGGACAAAAATACAGGTAAGATTTTTTTTTTAAAAAACCAAAAAAAATTGCTACTTGTGTCAATCAAAAAAAAAAAAAATTTAAATTTTGATTTCAAAAAAAAATAAAATAAAATACCAAATCATTTGCCACTCCCACCCACCAAACTATGTAAAAAGAGATATAAATAATGTGTGATCATCACCGCCCATTATACATCACGATGTTCACATTGATATATATTGATATTGATTCAAATTGAAATTGAAATGAAGAACAAAAAAAAATCCAAGAAACTTTCTCGGTAAAAATATTTCCAGAAATATTTCCCTTCAATTAAATACATGTTAAAACTGTTTGTAAATTATTATCATTTTTTTCGGATATAATCTATTTTTACATACATTCACAAGTCGATTGTTATTATTTCACTTTGAAGAAGTTTCAAATTTCATTTTCATCCTCATCCATCCGATTCATTTATATTCATTTTGTTGTTGTTGTTGTTGTTGATTTTTTTTTTTTTGTTTCACTTCGTCAATTTTTTTTCACCGAGAATCACAACTAACAAAATTGATCATCAGGTTGAAACGAAACGGAAAAAAAATGTAAATGATTTGTGTGAACACAACAACAACAACAACAACAACAACAAAAAGCAAACAACTAATTAAAAAAAAAACAACAACAAAAAGTGATGATAAAATATGAAAAATGATGGAAAAAAAACAAAACGAAATCTTAAGAAAATCCAGGTGAGTATTTACAAATGATAATAATAATAATAACAACAACAACAACAATATCGATAACTAGAAAAAGACAAATGGACAAAAAAAAATTGACAGGTAAATTGATCGGGATTCATAAACATGTGTGTGTGTGTTACAAATTAAACAAAACAAAACAAAAAAAAAACAGAAGCGACAAAGACACGATTTTCAGTTCGTTTTGTTTTGTTTTGTTTTATTTGCATACATATTTAGTGTGAACATTTTTGTTGTTGTTGTTGTTGTTATGGATTTTGATGTTTATAAATGAACAACAACAACAACAGAAAACAATCTATAAATCCCAATTATCATTTCCGATCGTGATATCGATTTGTATTTGTGTGTGTGTGTGAATGCAACAAGTTTGAAATTCATCGATCGACAACAGAAAAAAATGTCCAAAAAAAAAAAACAATTATTGTCGAAATGCAGAAAAAAAAAACACATGAGATATGTGATTAAAAAGTTTTTGTTTTCTTTGTTTGTCTACAAGTTATCAGTTTACATTAGTGGAAAAAAAATTATATCACCGATATATCGACAATCTGGTTAATTGGCTTGTGACATGAATGAAGAAAATTATTGTTACATTTTCATCATTGCTGGATGGATGGATGAATAATAACCGATATCTAATGTCATGTAATTTTTTTTTGTTTTGTTTGAATATAATAAAATGGATTCGATTGATTGAACAATTGTTGTTGATTTTGATCATGATGATGATGATGATTATCGATTAATCAATGAAACAATATGTGTGTGTGTGTGTTTTTTCACATGTGGATTGTGATTTGTATATTTATAGGGACAATGAAGATTTGCGAATTTTTTTTGTTGTTGAAGTTATTTGCCCTGACCTATCGGTGATGATGATGATGATGATGATTTTGATCCATATTTAAATTGATCTATTAATGATAATTAAATTTTTTTTGTTTGTTCATTTGATCAATGAATTTCAATTGTGATTTTCAAATGATTGAGAGAGAGAGACAGAGAAATTTGATTTGGATCGGTAGCGATCCAAAATTATTATTATTGCAATTATTGGTATCATCGATTGATAATGATTTTGATCTTGAACTATCTTGATGATTTTATTATTTATGAAGACGAAAAAAAAAAATTTTTTTGTTTAGGTTCATTACACATATATCATTTGAATCTAAATGAGAAACAAAGGTCAAATAAAGGCGGTTGATTATTTAATTGCTTTATGCGTGAATATGTGCGAGTGTGTGAAAATGTTCCATTTGGAACAAAAACTGTTTGATGTATGATTTTGGATTTAATTTGATCAAACAAAAAAAAATTTGACTCTAATTCAAATTTTTGTTGCTGCTGCTGCTGCTGTTTTTGAAATATTACATGTTGATCACATGTGATCTAATCAATAAAGTCATTTTTTTTCCAACCACAATGACAATCATTTCGATGATTATGATGATGATGATCATTATTATCATGATCATGGCCAAAACTGTGAACATAATCAAAAGTTTCGTTTTTTTTTCTTGCCGGTAAAATTCCCAAATTGAAAATGTTTTTTTTTCCATAAAAAGAAAAAAATGTATGAGAAATTTTTTTTTTTTTTTGTCAATTCTTTCATTTCCGATGAGGATTGATAGATTTCATTCATTCATTCAATCATTCTTCTTCTTGGTTTTATTCACCAATTGATTTTGCAATTTGATCTTTTTTTTTCTTCCATTGAAACTTGAAAATTTTCATTTTCTTTTCGAATGCGAATCCATCGATTGTTACAATCGATGGATAACGGAATGGATTTATTTTCTTTCTTCTTTCATTTGTTACTGGTTTTTGTACATTTGACATTTTTCTTTTCTCTCTCTCTCTCTCTCTCTCGTTTTCAGTATGATTTATACGTTCTTGAGATTAGAAATTCATGCAAACACACACACACACACATATTTGGTGAAAAAATCGCGCTACGTAAAATTCATTGAATGAGAATAGATGATGAGCCATGATGATGTGTGAGAAAGTGAATAAAAAATTGAAAATCATGATAATCATTAAAATTTTCTTCTTCTTCTTCTTCTTCTTTCGTTTTGGGCATTACTTACTCGTTTTTTGTTTTGTTTTTGTTTTACGTCAAAAAAAAAAATGTTTTTTGGTTTGAATTTGTTGTTGTTCGGTGTTGCTTTGAATATAATTGACAAATGACGTACTTTTGTCAAAAGAAAAATGGAACGATGAAAATGAAAAATTCAAATACAATCGATGAATGAATTGAATGAATGAATGAAATGAATATCCGTTTTATCGATGATGGCCATTTTATTATTTGTTCACTTGAATTGAAAGATTTGGCTTCTTCATTTTCGTTTCGTTTCGTTCGTTTTTTTTTGTTGTTGTTGCCATCATCATCAAGATGATTCAGTTGCTTTTTGATGGCTTAATATTCATATATATATATTAACATTGTCCCGGATGGCTGCTCGCACTTGCTGTACGTAAATAAACCGATTTTTTTTTTGTTGTTCGATAATTCGAACACACATATTTAATCTTGGGTGATCATCATCATCATGATGATGATCCATTCATTGATGACAGGACCAAACAACAACAAAGGTCGCGCGTAGTCTTACGTTATCTTCATCGTTTTTTTTTGATGAATAAAAAAAAAATTAAATTTCGATTTTCATAACAACAAATGATGAACTTTTGATATTGACAATCGAATTAAAGCAGCAACAACAACAACAACAAAAAAGATGCGATTCATACACACAGAGTTTGATCGGATCAATATCATCGATATCATTTTTTTTTTCTGATTGATCCATCCATCCATCGATCGGGTCGTGGTCATGATCAATAATCATAATAATATTTGGCCATGACAATGATGATTTAAAATCGATTTGGATTTGATTGTTAAATTGTTAAATTTGATTTTTGATTTTTGATTGTGTTCAATCAATACATCCATATATTATATTCATATTATTAGACAAATAAAAGTTTTATTTTACTTGCACCCAAATGACAGAAAAAAAAATTTGAATCAATCGAATGAAATGAATAAAATGTCAAATTATCAAACAATGTCGCCTGTGTGTGTGTATGGGTGACATTCGAATTTTTTTTTTTGAATTTTTTTTCCGGAAAAGTTTGTCCTGGGAATTGGCCATCATTTTTCGTCTATTGTGTGCGTATGTGTGTGCATCATCATTGTCGAAATAGTAGAATCGAACAAAAAAAAAAAAGAAAATCGAATGAAAGTCATCGAATCCATTCAGGACAAGAATTTTTTTTCCCCTGGTTTCAATGATTTCAAGACAAGAATTTTTTGTTTTGTTTGACTATAAAAGAATCTTCGTGAAATTCAAACATTTGACAATTTTTCATTTTCATTCAATTTATCTCCACAATGATTTGGCCACAGCTACTTGTTTGCCATGTGAATATGATATTGCTACACAGTATATCACACAGCATCATCATCATCATCATCATCATCAACATTTGGACAAAGTAAAGAAAAACATTGAAACGAATATATAAGAATAAGAAGAAGCAAAAAAAAAAAATAAAAAAGAAAAAAGGTAAAAAGAAGCAATAAAAAAGCAATTACAATTTTACTTTTTTTTCTTTCTTTTCAAAAAAAAAAAAAACAGAAAATTTTCATTCATATTGCGATTCTTTTGATAACAGAAACGAATGAAAAAAAATTCAACTTCCACATCATCATCATCATTATT